GTACTCACTACCAGGATGCCTGAGGTGGGCAACGCACGAAAGAATTCATATAAACGAGTGAACAAGGAAGAAGGTACAAGCTTCTTGAACCAGAACTGCCTCCACTTGAGGCAGAAGTTGTCAGTGATTGTTAGTCCAACACGACTAACAACGACGAGCAGGCTACTTGGTAGCGAAAATTGAAGTTGCGGTAAAATCTGGAAGAATGCCGAGAACGTTTTTGGATAGCCAAATTAAGCCAAGCCTACGGTACTTTCAAATTTCCGGTATACATGATTATTCAGAATTACCAGTGACTTGAACTTCCACCTGTTTTGCGCGTCGAGCCAACAGCAGTCATCATCTCGCTCCCAATATGTTCCAAAGCGCACTTCGTACATCTGTATGTCTTTCCATTAGTCGTACTCACTCCGTGCATTATAACCTTTTCGTCAGCTTTCACTCCACAGGAGCACTGTTTCCAGCTGTCTAAGGTCACAAACGTTCCGTCGATTTCTATCGCAAGAGTCTCGCGCAAAAATACAGTCTGCAGTGACCGAATACCCTGTGGTACTGTTTATGAAGGGCAACCCAGAGCAGCCTATGTGCGGTTTTTCACGAGGGGTCGTGAAGATCCTCAGCGCTTTCGACATTCCACCTGAAAAGTTCAAGACATATAATGTCCTCGAGGATTTGGAGCTGAGGACCGGAATTAAAGAATTCTCGTAAGTTATGCTTCATTTGACATTGTCACCGAGCCTCAGGCGCTTCTCTCGCAGGGAATGGCCAACCATCCCACAACTGTATGTGAATGGGGAATTTGTAGGTGGGAGCGACATTGCTTTAAGCAGTGAGTCGAGGTCGCATTGCCGCATATATTTCAAACTCAAATTTTCAAAGTGTTTCAATCGGGAGAGTTGGAAACGCTCCTTGAGCAGCATGGGGTGATCCCGAAGGTATCGGAAAGTTGAGACTGTACATGCACCATACCCTCCACAGGTACAGGTACATACGTGCACCAACCCGTCAATCTTACGGCTTTTGGGAAACACCGCGGGTAGATTGTCAAGAGTGTATTAACAACAATCTAATAAATATCACTACTTTTCCTTGTTGTCCTCCTCGACTTCGACTTCGTTCAGAGACTAGAAGGTCCTATATGGTCGGAAGACCACTTCTGTTCCAGGCTCCGAGGTAGAGAAAGGCACGAATTGTTGACCGTGCGAGTCGGTTGCGAGTAAAGTGAAGGAGCTGCCGGTCCTGCGAGAAGGCACGTTCAACCGCAGTCGATGCTACTGAGCGAGATAATAAGTACTGAGTACTGATTGATTGAAAGAGAATTTGAGGGTGGTATATCCGGGACAGAGAGATAGTCTATGTACGTAGCCCAGGAACTTGGTCTTTCTATAAAGGACAAATGGTCGTTGCTTAGTAATTAAGCTCTCTCCCTGTGCTCCCAACTTGCATGTCTTCCGTTCCAAACGGTGCAGACATCTCTGCTGGTACTCACCCGGATCTGTCACTCGGGTCATTCGTATCAGGTCCAAGTACACCCGGCAGACCACTCCGTGTCCCGTCAATATCATCACCCGCTCCCAGCAATGGTGATGGCCCAGACACACCTCTTCCGCGCGCACGACGTCCAAGACAAAGCGCACCAGGAGGGAAAGGCGCTGCTTTATCTTTAAGAGACCAAGAAAAGGTAAGCCAAACCCCGCCGCCCAGCTCTATCTAAACCAACCTACATAACAGCACATCGACTCTCTCAAAAAAGAAAACTTTAACATCAAACTACGCGTTCATTTCCTCGAGGAGCGTCTTGCCCAGCTTGCACCAGACCAGATCGATGCTGCTCTCAAACAGAACATCAATCTCAAGATCGAGGTCCAGCAACGTGGTCTTGAGATCAAGAAACTCAAGAAACTCGTCTTGGAGCTCGAGCGCGAGTTAGAGCGTCTTCAGCGTGGCTCAACGCGCGACCATGATCTGGAGTCGCGGCTGCACGAGCGCGAACGCGATTTGGAGACACAGCTACATGAGCGGGAACGCGATCTTGAGATGCAGCTCGAGGAGCGCGAGCATGAGATCAGGGAGTTGAGGAAGACCCAGGTTATCATCGAGCGCAACGGGGACGACTCTGTAGATCTCAGATATGCACGCAAAATCGAGGATCTGCGTGCGGAGAATGAGGAACTTCGTCGTGAGCTCGAGCAGCGCGATCAACTTCTCATTGTACGCGAGGAGGAGAATGAGGCTCTTGCTGACCATGCTGATCGGTTGCAACTAGAGGTTGAGGATATACAGCGACGGAGAGAGGCTGAGAACATTGAAAGGAGTGAGAGTCGTGCTCAAGTACTTGAGGAAAGAGAAGAACGCGAGGCTGTAGAGGACGATCTCAACGCAATGCGAGATAAGCTTGCTGCTGCCACCATCGAGCTACAACAGAAGGAGGACGAGTTGGAGCTCAAGAACAAAGAGATCGACGATTTAATCCAGGAGCATGATCGTGTCGTTGATGTTGTCGAGGAGGAGTGGAGAGGTGAAGTCGAAGAGGCCAGAAGTCAGGTCGAAGAGCTCAGAGACGTTTGTTTCATTGTCCTATTTGACTTCCGTTTCTCACCATCGTACAGGTCCTCGCAGAACGCGAAAATGAAGCAAGGGAACTCCGCCTCAACATTACAGAGCTTGAAGCCAATACCAACGACCTCCATGCCAAGTTCGAAGCTACACTCGCACACCTCGAACAAGAAGCAGAGGAGAAAGATTCCGAGCTCCGCGCTGCAAACGAGGAGATCGAGCACCTCGGAAAGCAAGTATATGCGCTCGAGGAAGACGCAGATCGCATGGCTGAGGATCACGAACGTCAGAGAGAAGAAGACGTAGTCGAGCGTGAAACACTAGAAGCACTCGCATCTGCCCTCAAAGATGTACGTCCATCCTCATCGTTAAAATTCAAAAGCTCACCTCACAACAGAAAGTTTCAGGACTGAAATCCCAACTCCAAGACCTCCAAGAACTCTACGACCAATCTCTCCAAGACATGCACGCACACCGAGCCCGTCAAGAAGAATTAGCGGGGCACGTTGAAGACCTAGTAACCGAAGTGAAACGAGAGCAAGAAGCCCGGGAGAGTCTTGAGCGTGAATTAGACAATATGGAGAAGACGCACGAGTCTGAGCTCCGACGCGAACGTCGTGCGCTTGAAGACAAAGATTCTGCACTGCGCAGCGCCCTCGATAATCTTTCACGCGCACAGTCCCTCCTCTCACAACGCCAAGGCGACCTCGAAGCCGTCCAAAATGCGCTTCGGGACATGGAGCAGCGATCTAAAGAGCTCGGGGAGACGCATACAACCGCTCGGTTCTCGTTGCAGCTAGAAGTCGATAGGCTGAAACGTGATGTCGACCGCTTAGAGGACGAACTATCTCGTACGAGGAAAGATGTCGGCGACAAAGAGGGTACGACTCGTGATCGTGAAGATCTGATTCATAAACTGCAGCTCGACATACAGCAGCTCACTACACAACTCAACACCCAAACTCAAGCGCGTCTCAGTCTCTCAGAGAAGCTTGACACTACGCAGAGCGGTCTCAAGACCAGTGAGGCAGAGTTGTTTGGGTATAGGACGAGAGTGAACGAGCTGGAGACGCGGTTGTCTAAGGACCAGCGGACGTTACTGAGTACTGAGAACCAGTATCGCGATCAGCTTACGGAACGAAATACGTTGCTGCTTACGATATATCAATACATGGATAAGATCCTCGGCGTGGACAAGACTCCTGTAAGTCCCTTCATTTCTTTCTAACATATGTCACTCACTGACAAAACATGCTATTTCACAGAAGAAAGGCAATCAAGCAGAAACGAAGCCCTTCACCAACTTCAGCGTCTTCCACGACAACCTCATCACACGACTCAAAGCTCTATCCCAGATCCAACTCGACTTTGAAAAACGCGTCAAAGATGCAGAAGGGAAATTCACTGAGAAGCTTGCTGAGATGCGTAGGCAGCTTGATGTGCGGTGGAAACAGATCGACAAGTTTGAGTCGAGCGTAAAGGCGTATGGTGAGGCAAAGGCTACATGGAGACGGAAGTTTACCGCAAAGGAAGGGGAGATTGAGGGTTTGAAGGTAGGTGTTTTCATGCATGTTTACGTCGACTTTGATTAACACTCTTGCTCTGACTCTCATCTGCGAAGGTCACCAACGCAGAATTAACTTCACAACTAGTGACAGCCCGACGACCGACCCAAGGCGACTCCCAAGAAACAAAGACGCTTCTTTCCCGCGCAGTAAATGCTGAGAAACGCCTAGTGGTGGTTCAAAACCAGCTCCTCCTAAGCGAAGAGAAGATTTCGAATATAAACCAAAAGACGACTGCGGCTGATCAGAAATGGGAAGCGAGGGTGAAGGAGTATGAGACGAGGTTGAAGGCTGGGGAAGAGAAGTATAAAAGGGAGAGGCAAGGGACGAAGGAGAGGGTGTTGGAGTTGGAGAATCAGATGAGGTTTGTGTTTATTGTCCTTCTCTTTCCCTTCCCTCTTTTCTCCTGCTTGCATGCCCAAGGTCTTGTGCTGACGATTCGGCATGGTAGGAGCCTAGAACGCCAGCACGAACTTGCTCAAAAACGGAGTGCGCAACTGGATAATGTGACAGAGGCAAATAAAGCTCCTTCACGGCCACGGTAACGATGCCCTCCTTAATGCTTCTCATGTCCACAATGTTCTCTCTTATGCGCTTTGTGTAGCGAAGGTGTGCTCTCGCTTTCGTTCGGTTCCTGACTTCACATTCTTGTATTAATCAGTAGCGTATATCTCGTGTATTTTTGTTTTTTCTTCTGCTCTGGGACAATTATCATAGTTCCTAACTCGCGTAGTGACCTGGAGGGATAAGAGTGCACATGATATCAGTAAATTGCTGCTGCCTTAAAGCTCATTACAATGGCGTTCGTATCATGAATGGAAGGATGATGATAAGTGGATCTGTACTGCTGATGGCGGCAATCCTTACGTTGATCATCGTTCAAGCATGGAGTCGCAAAGCATTTGGTGAGACTTGGACGATAAGTCCGGTATTCAGCTCAAGTGTCAAGGTACTCGGTTGCGAGATCTTCCACACGAATACATGGTCAACTTGCCACTTCTCGCCTTGCTGATCCAGGACAAGGTCATTTTGCGTCAGCGTACCAGAAAGGTCACCCGTGAACAATAAGAGGGATCCACACAAAAAAATCGGATAACTCACGTATATAACCCCTTTCATCCTCCCTCCAAAGTCCTCAGTCCAGGGATCAGACATCTCATCATTCATGCAGCACGCTCTCGTCTGCCTCGGTCATCGGTATTCGCAAAAAAGACGCAAAACGTGTGGTAAGGGTACTGCAACTCTGATCAATGATGAAACCGATACACAATCCAAATGCACTACACCAATACATCATGCAGTGGATGACATCGGTATTTTCGATACTTGACCACTGGTGACCACTGACTTGTGTCAACTTCCGCATATAATTCATGCTGTTCGTTACGCAGTCTGGGCTGGGGATAGAAAGGTGACGCACGGTTGTTTGTAATAGCAGCGTCGATGTTGAATACCCGTACTCCTAACGAAGCCTTCCATACATAATCCACAATTATATTCGTCCCATTGAAAGCCTTTTTGGAGCTTTGTGGTATGCGCTGCGTTCTCGAGAACGAACCGAAGAACGCAGAAGCTTTGCGTGGGGAGGTCAAGATGATGGAAATGGGTGCTAATGTCAGTAGTTTTGTCACTCCCTACAGCCTGGCAGTTGGTGGTGTAGAATAAATATCAATCGGACTTCCAAATAAGTCGTGGCAATTTGGCAATACGGACCTGTTTAACCTATCATCCAGTGTGAGTCTGCCATACAGCAGTACTAGTGGCCATGATGCACCTTTTCTGGCTGTCTCCCAGGAGTGATTTTGTGTGAACAAGGTGATAAATATCTTCGTGAGGCTCAGCTCACGGTTCATGATGGTTACAGAAGAAAGCCCTCTGCTAGTGGTCACCACACATGAAGCTATTTATGGTGCACATCACTTAGTTGCCACTACTTTTGTGCAGGCACCAAATTGAGGCCAAAAAATCGCAACCCTAACCCCTAGTCCAAATTAGGCTGGGGTGGGAGGAGCAGCTTCGATATTCACCTGTGACTCCCACATAAGGGCTCTAAATAGAAGTGATAATAGATAGGGTTATCACCTGTAAAACAATGGATTTTCAACACCTGCAAGCCTCCTTCAATATCTCTTTGATAATGAGCGACTTATAATAATCAGTAGAGCAGTATACTAGGGTAAGTAGGCATGGGCATGTCGGTGCTGATGTAGTTGATGTTCCTGATGTCAGCTATCACTGCCTGCCACCCAAACCTTTGTGCCTGCCATTGTACACAATGAGCTTGTCAAATTGATTGTATTGAGGGCACATTTTAACTAAGCATCATAACAAAAGACTCAGTGAATTGCAACAAGTACTATGATGGCTACTACTCTAGTTCAGCATTGTCAATAAGTTGTAACCCTGATAAATCATCAGTGATGTGGAGGACATTCTGCAAACTCCTGGAGGCTTCCTCTGTCACCTCGTCTGCCTCCTCCTCTTCATCCAGGTCCTCCTGTGTATCTGCACTTACAGGAGAAGATAGGTTATGTACAGGAATGCAGTCACTGAACATGTTGGCAGGAGTCCATGCATTTGGTGCACTGGCACTCTCCCCAGGACCCATGCACATGCTAACACCAGGAATTACTGTCCCACTGAAACCAGGGGCTTAGATATATCATCAAGGTGCTTCAGATGGTGGGAGTTGAAGTGCCCTCAAATGTTCCAATGAATGACCACTTGATGGGCAAGAGCAGGGCTAGTAGCCTTAAGTTGATCCTCACACACCTGTAGATAGTTGTCTTCGTCTCATATGTAGGTCACCAGACAGCAAACCTCAACATCCAGGCAAGATATTTCTTCCTGAGCCTGACACATCTTGAAATAAAGGTCCATGGCACTATGAGCTGCTGGCAAAGACCAAGGAGTTTGAGAAACATCTGCCTGTGCATTGCATAGCAAATTGAAGTCTGCGAGAAAAGCATATTTGACAACCTCATCCCACTTGAGTACCTGCTGTGGAGGGAACATTGCACTTGTGATATTGTTGTAAGTGTTGAGGGCGGATCTGATGGCAGTGGAATGTGTTTGCAATGCCTTCGCAATGTGCTTTCATAGTTTGTAACCTGGAACATAGAATTAGCACAAACAACTACTAGTAAAGCCTCACTGGAACTCACCCATTCCTGCCCTGTTCATCTTTGCAAGTTCAAAAATACATGCTACAACCAAACCTTCAAGATGGTCCAGTGCATGTTGGTACTTCCTGTTTGCCACAAGCCTCCCCACCCTCTGCCACTCTCCATCATCTGGAACCCAGCAAGCAATAATATCAAGTTTGCATTCCAATGCTTGAACCAGTTTCAGGTTTCTCTTGTAATCTTCGAGAGCATGGTGGCATGCACTCTCAGTTTTGCATGTGTTTCCAACCTCTGCATCATATGATCCAGTGATATCACAGTGGCGAGAAGGTGTTCCAAATAGGATCATTGCAGCATTGAGAGCAACACTATCTGAGGGGAGTATCAGTAACTACAAGATACACCAAAATGCAACACTCACTTGCTCACACCAAGACTTACTAACCTCTGCCAGTATTCCATCTGAAGTGTCTCTTCTTCTGGCTCCTGTGTTAGGCCCTTGAGGTATACTTTCTCTTCTTCCAGCCAACTTTCGAAAACACTGGTGTCCATGACTCTGAGGTCTCACATAACATTTGGTAGTACATCACTACCATTTGTCAGGATATCAAGTGCCTGCTTGTAGTTGCTGTAGAGAAAATTAGCTAGGCACAAAGTGATTATGTCAGCCAGTGTCTTGTGTGTGATAAAGCAACTGACATACAAAGATTACCATACACCTCAAGGTCGTCATTGTGCTCAAAGTAAGAGTCAATGGCCTGTTTGCGATGAAATATACTAGTATACCATAGAGATGGTGCAAGTGAATTTGACTTTGAGAAAGTGCATTCACAAGTCTCCAAGTCTTCAATGCTGACACCCTTGGTGTAGGTAGTTAATGAAAAAAGCTGACATAAGTGTCTATGGGCATGCCCATGAAATGTGCCAACTAGGCAAGTGTGATGTAATGAGCGTGCTGAGGGCTCCAATGGAACTTTTGTTGATAGTAGTATTGAATTGGCAGCTAATATCATAACTGCCTGCCCAGATTGTCACCAAAAGCATCCAGCAATTTGGCAACAACCACTAGGGGATACTTCACACTGTACAACACCTGTCAGCAACAAAAAACAAATAATATGTGTTACTTACAGTTCCCTGCTCTGTACCATATCCATGATGAGCAAACAAAAACCATGGTGGCAGACAGCAACAAATATACCCATTTCATCATAGATGCCCCATGCTTTTTGGGTCTTTGAATCATCCATATTTTTCCACCGTCCTTCACAAGAGTTCTCTTCAGGTGCATTCTGACTGACATTGAGTTGTTTCTACATGGAGTCTGCATCAATCACTCACCTCCCACCCTGAATTGCATGACACATCCTGTGAAAACTGGTCTACAAAGTCATGAGCCAGATAACAGTCACTAATGAACAACTGGCCAGTAGGAAGCTCAGATGATGTACCAGGAGTGTTGTTGTTGTTGTCATCATCATCGTTCAGGGAGCATTGTAGAACTCACTTCAATGAATCATTCCCATCCATGGCATAGAGCATCTTGAAGTGTAGCTGGCCTTCATCAGTAAGCATGTAAGTACATGCCAGACAAGCATGTTTGAGGCACCAGTCAGGTGAGTCACATTGGAGTGATTCCATTATGAGTGAGGCTACAGTCCATCTGATTTGGTGGTACAAGTTGAATGCAATTGAGAATTGATGAGACAGGTGCCAGTGGAATTCAATCTGTGTGATTTTAGCACTGAGCACAGGTGAACTTGAAGCTGACCATACCCCATGTAAATCAGATATAGTTTTGACAAATGCTTGAATTGAAAGATGCAGGCTCCTGAGGTGTGCTATACAATAAAATTTGAGGGTTTCTAATGTTATACAAACAACCGGTGATATTGGAGAACAGGGCATAACACCTTGATGAACCAGTGCCAAGGCAATGGTTTTGTCCCTGGATGATATTTTGAGTAGCAGTTTCTCAGCAACTGTGCAACCAATGACATTATAGTAAGATCAACAAGAAGCCAACAAGTCACATACAAAATGCATCTACCACCATCATTGGCCACTGGCCACCATCAAAATCAACAACTTCTTCAGTCTCTTCACTGTGTAGGTGATCAAAGAAATTCTTGAAGCCTTTCTGTGACTTTTCTAGGCTCCATAGAAGGTATGCTTCACTCATTGCTGGTATTTGCTCATTGAAAGCAACATTCCTCTGTAGAACACAATCATGCTGGGTATGATTGTCATGTTGAACACTATGGCCACCATCATGATCATTTGCTTGTACAAACACTCACAATCTCCAGACTTCTTCGAGAACACCTCTCGCCAGGTCACCAAACTCCCCACCAGTGTGGCTGATGGGGAGTGCATCAGAACCATCCCATACATCACTGAAAGTGAAGTCTTCACAATCTTCATTGACATCATGGGAGAAAGCAGAAGGATCTTTGAGAGCTTTGAGAGCTTGATGCTCATCAATTGACATTGCTTTGAACCAGATAAGTATCTGTTCTGATCTTTTCTTGTAACATTGAGCACACGGAGATGACTTACCTTCCAGACAAATCTCTTGCCACTCTTTACAGCTGGATGCTTGCTTGACTAACACCCTTGCTTGAGTATTTTTGATACACAGTGGGAGGGAAGTCCATTCTTATCCTGCAATGAACCAAAGTGGTGGATTGACCGCAAGGAGAGGTTGGTGCGAATTTGCTGGGTCTGACATCCTGAATTCCTCATGTTAACTAGTGTTTTATTTTTCAGATGGTCCAGGTGCATGTTTCCCCAGTCAAATATTCATCCACATGTGACTGATGAAAGCCTGGACTAATGACTTAAGCCTGGAAGAAATAGTCCATTGTCGCATTATACATGACTAATCAGTGTTATAGCTGCTACCACTTCCATCTATTCCCTTGGTCATTTGTATTGACCAATTCCTTAAGCTTCTCATATCCACCATATTGTGCCTCTCCCTCATCATCTGTTGTCTCCCACTGTGATGGTCATGTCCGAGACCTGTGCCAGTTACTTGAGGGCATGACTGTATCAGGTACGTCTATCACATCTAACACATTAGCCACATGTTCATGCTCTAGAATAGGCTCAGCATTGGACACAGGTTACCTGGAGATGCAAGACTGTTGAAGAGACAATAACCTTATCCAAAGCACTGCATATGGACTCCTTGCATGCCAACCAAACAACATCAGTCCCTGCATCATCTGCTAGCTTATGCACTTGTGACCCCCTTCCTTCATCAGACATGCAATCTTTCACCAGCACAAGTATCGCACTCCCTGCACTGCCATTCATGCAGTTGTCCCTCCAATAGTGTCATGATTCCAACGCCGAGTGAGATCGCACCACCACATGATGGTCTGAAGCCTGAGGGGTTCTGGGCGATCACAGTTGGACAAGAAGTTGGTATATTCTACCACTGGTAAGCATTGTCATACTTTCACTTCTAATATTATTGATGATCATTAAATTAGGGCTGATGTTGCTGAATGCACCAACTATGTTAGTGGTAATGTTCAGAAATCATACCCCTCTTTCTGGGAGGCACTAGAAGTGTACACTGTCAAATACAATAAAGGAAGAGTATGAGCAGTCCCAATTCCAGGTGGCCCTTTCTGGCCATCCCCATCTCCAACTTCCCCCTCCTCATCCTCTAACTTGGATGACCTGTGGTTGCAGGTAGATGACTTGTCAGAGACTATGACCCACTGTGACATTTAGATATGTTTGTAGTTCTGTGTACATATTGTAAGATCTTGCCAATGAAATACATGTGGTGATCAGTTAACAGAACATACAAGTTGGGCTCTGCGTGAATTCAGTATCATTATGCAACTGTACAGCACTACAGATATCGATAGAGCCCAAAACCTGAATGATTCAACTGCATAGTTACCTTAAGGTCTGCATGTAGTAACTGACTCCAGCCAGCAATACTATACAATTGTGGTCTTAGTCCATTAGTCTTAAACTTGTAGCTCACACTAACTGCAACCACTTGCATGTTACAGATGCTAGCCTTCAACACAATCAGAGTAATTTAGAATTCTCTGAAAGTGCTTTATTCTAGATATGCTACAATGTTCACCATCAGTTCGCCATCAGTTTGCTATAGATCTGTCATATGTTTGCTATACGTTAAGATTTACGTTCACCATGTTCGCCATGTGTTTAATATACATTTGAGCAACATTTGAGATAGTTCAACATATCTCAAGTTTGTCTTCAATAATGTTACCTTACTATACCATACTACAAGTCTGTTTGGGTATTTTCATGCACAACAAGATCCCCACACTTAAGATCTCACTGATTCAGATCTTCCAGTACACACTTGTGGCAGAAGATTCATGAAAAGTGTGGTCATGGACTTGTGTCAGGTCTTCGATCAGGAGCTAGAGCCTCTCCAGATTGAGACAGTGCAAAAGGAGACTATTCACCCTCATATGAGTTACAAGATGAATTCATCTTGCACCAATATCTTGCTGTTCTTAGCTGTAGTACAAGTGGAACATTTCTCAGCCTTGACAACTAATTCCTGATCTGGGGGTGTTGTATGCGCACTGAGGGATCCTATAATACAGACAGACTACATAGTAACATTGTTTTCTACTTTAAATTCAAAGAACTTGATCTCAGAAGTGACACAAACCAGCAAATCATATAGTATAATGGTGTCATACTTGAGCGACTCCCTGCAACATGGGCAACTTGTGTGCACAACTTCTCGAATACTTTCAAGAAGTGCTTGCCCCTCCAAAGCATGTATACTGCACTCCTCAAAGAAAATGGATGTCCAATGTCCCCCCTTGCATCTTGCATGGCTGAGTAGTTTCCCATATGACTCATTCCACTTATCTTCAGACTGCCAGTCCTTTTTCCATAGGTTGACCATAATCTCAATACTTTGGAGGGTTGGCAAGTCGCAGGAACAACTGAGGTGATCTTCCATGACGAGTATAGAGTCATCATTGACTTCAGGAGTGATGTTGCGAGAATTGGGACTGTTGACTGCAGACGAAATGGCCAAAGGGGCACCTGAGTTGGATGGATGGGTTTGGCTTTATGTAGGCTTGTTGGTATTTTTTCCTAAGAGCAGTTAGCAAGAACAAGAGATGTCATTACTAAACAAGACAATGCATTACCTTTCCTGCTTGCTTTCAAACTCATGCATAAGTACAATTATTAGATATGAGAGTGGGAGTGGACTGACCATGCCATCCAAGCATGGGCCTTTGCATTTTGCCCATCTTGAACTCTGGAATCACAGGCAAGTATAATTTCATTTTAAAAATTCAAGTGCTTACCCTGGCTTTGCAAGCCAATGCTCTGTAGCCACACGCTGCCTAGCAGCTGGACTGTGAGATCTGTACCAACTTAAATGACCCTTTTTATGTTAGACATCATGTACATAATTTGAAAATCAAGACTTACCATCTGAGTTTGAGGTGGAAAATTGACTTGTAAGATTTCACAACATCGACAGTATTAAGATATAGCTTTCAATTGTGGTGTGATATTGTTAGGATTCCCCCTTGTCCAGTTGCCACCAAATTATGAAATCTGCAATGTAGACTTGCCAATAATGCTGTGCAACTGAAAGGAAGCCTGCACCATATAACCATCAGGATGGGCTGTAGCAAATGCAACTTTAACTAAGCCAAGGAACACAACGGGGTATTTGATGGTGCATGACATGTGGTGGGTCATCTCCAGTGCATGGATCATGTGGTATGGGCTGTGCTATGAGCTGATATACTAGTAGTGCATCCTACTAGATCGAGTATTCTACAACATATTCTACAACATACCCATTGGATGATTGCCTTGACATACCTGAGCTGGACTCTATTTCCGGTCATCAACTTGTACTGTGAGTGTTATACCTGTGTTTTGTGCTGTCACTCAAACTGAATGTTGATGACCTGAGCAGTAACCATCTTTAATGGTGCATTGATACAATCAGTACTAATGCCGATTTTATTTAGTAGGTTTTCAATCACATCAGATGCACCCAGAGTCTTCCATTGACGTGATTCTAGGTTCTCAAGGCAAGCATAATTTATTTTCTACTGGTGTCGCCACAACCTCCTTCCTACACACAGAAAAGTGTTATGAGCTACATTTATCACTCAGACAACTTTGACACCAATGGGAACTTTGTCGCTAATGGAGGACCTGATGATTTCAATGTAATGAATGACCATGATGGTAAGGTTTTATTTTATTTAGACATGTCTACACAACATAACAATACTTTAAAACAGTGGGAAGTCCCAGCATTTATCACACCAAGTACAACATGTCTGGTGGAGATGCATATTCATTTGACAATATCAACTGGGAGGACCCATCATTGTACAATATGCTACTCTCAGCTGAGGAATTACAGGCCATCAATGCAGAAACCACCTTTCCAAAGCTTCATGACCCTCCCATTGCAAACCTGTTGTCTGCCAGTGATACCAGTGAATCTGAGCCTCCCTCTCGCATGCCATCACCTATTGGAAATTCAAGGTCAGAGCCTCTTCACAATGCAAATTCATCCACATGGGCAGCACATAACCCAATGCACTCTGTTATTTGTGTATGGACCCCACCATTTCAACTGTCAGATGCCCAAAAGGCATCTCGCAAGATCAAGCACAACCAGAAGGTGGAGACAACAAAGTGCATACACGACACTGTTGCCATATACCTGGATGAGCAGAAAATGAAAATCAGATCCCTCTCCCATGCTCTCGATGTCACTCCCAAATATATCAATGACATTATTGGCAGTCACACCAAATATTGCATGACATGCAAGGTGCAGTTGACTAACGCTCTTATTCATGCCAAGGCCAAGGAAATGAATACTGGTAATTCACCTCCCTTGACTTCTCACTGTCATAACTTAAATTCTGTGATGCTCAGATCAACCTGTTGGTTCTCAATACACCTTGGTTGAACTGCGCAAGATGGTCGCCAATGACCCTCAGATGAAAAAGTTGACGAGGGATGAAAAGGCAGGTTATATTGCAGCTCTCACTGAGCACTGTAAGCAGAATGTAACTAATGTGCAAGGAAATAATATGGCAGCAGCAAGAGATGTTCTGCTCACAACAGAAAGGGTTGTCAAAGAGGTATGTTCTCATGTACATCAAGTATGTTCATCTGACCTCATTTTTTTGTAACTCCAAAGCTTGATGACTTATGTGTTCGCACTGGCACCTATGTGACTATGTTTGTCGTCCATGGCCATATCAACGACACAATTCAAAGCTCAATGCATGGTACTGACAATTCCAATGATTTTTGGGAGGACATTTATGACATTCCAATGGCTGACTATCTCCGACAATATGAACAGTGGGCGTGCACACAAAATCAAAGTGAGTTGTTGATGTTTTCACATTCATTCTGTTGATAATGACTATCCTGCAGATCTAAATGAATGCGACTCATTGGAGGCCATGCGCAAGCAAGTTCGAAAATTGATTATCCATGGACTGAGTGAGTGGCAACATCGATTACCATGTGAGATTCACATGAAATATCCTTGACAGTTGCGGTGACTGGCAAAAAAAACATTGCCATGAACTACAACAACTACCAGACTGCAGTTGTTGAAACATGTGCCATCCAGCTCATAGGATGGCCTGGAAGCATTAAGTTCATCAATCCTTCAAATATTGGTACTATCGGGGACATTCACAAGCTTCATGATGTGCTCAAGGATAAAACTTGTTATTGGACTGCACTTACGCCAACAGAAGTCAAAGCTTACATGGCAGAACTTGATGTGTGCTGTTCAGCAGGCAACATTGTTCACCAGCCACACAAGAGGTGTTCTGATGCTGGAGGCTCTCACAAGCGCAAGGCTTTACCCACCACAAGGAGAGAGAAGAACAGGCCCTCAAAGAAGGCAAAAAAGATGGCCACTGGCAATGGTGAGGCTCCCAAAAGTGTGGAATTTGTTGTGTCATCTGACGAGGAAGAGGAAGAGTTTGAGGACATGTAGTGTACTCTCTGCTACCTTTGTTAGCGTGTTGTACATAGCTGTCATATCCCACAATCTGGACTCACATTCCATAGTATTCCCACACCTTCCAAGCCTACATCTGGACCCCATATCTGACTCATTCCCAGATCCCCTTCTGCTGTGTACTCCACACCTCAGCAGGATTGACTATGCTCTGGATTTACCCCTGAGCTCTGGACCTCCAGATCCTCACTGCTAGCCTGATCCGTACAACCCTATCCTGTCCACCCTATGCACACTCCATCTAGCAAGACATCCAGACTTCACCTCATCTTGGATTCCAGACTATATCCACCTTGTCTTCTGGATCCCCAGATCTCCAGACCTATTCCCACCCTCTCTGATATCCTGTGCCTATCCCCATTTAGGCATTCTCTGCCTTCCGGCTTTTGGTTACCTCTTGTTCTGTTGTGACAGTCAAGTTTTCCTTGGGCTTAGATTTACTTACTTTACTTACCTTTACCTACCCTCACTTTCTTTAGCTTATGTTTGCATTTTTGCTGCTTACTTAAGCATGTATCTCTTTCACTAGTGTCAGTACCAGCCTGAATGACAGTCCCTTTTGATGATAATTTCTACTCTCTGAGCACCAAGCCAAGTCAGAATCCCATGGGCTGAACATACTGCTCTCCACTCAGCAGCTTGGCCAGCTGAAATATGATTCCCACACCATCTTGCTTATTGATCCTTGTACAAGTCCTCATCTCTGAGTTCATTTACTTATGTTCCGACTTACTTACTAATGTGTTTCCACATGCTCATACATAGCCTTGCTCCTTTGCTTACTGATCCCCTCAGATATTGTTCAGTACAGTGGCTCAAAAAACTGTCCACATGTTTTTGCATTTTTTACTATTTACAATATTGTGTGAGAATACATAAAGACCTCAGTGACATGCTGATACCATATTGTAGTGCTGCTTCAGGGCTTTGGATTGAGCACCACATCATGAGAATCAGAGGAGATATGGTAGAGATACAAGGCTTACAAAATCATGACTCATGTGGACAGTTTTTTGAGCACATATTAAAACTATATAAATCATCATTTATGACACCATAACAATCATGCTACCATTAAATAAATTATAAAGTGGTGTCATTATGTCATTTTAAAACCATATCTAACTATACAAACCAAAAATTTCCATATGTCATGGTTATATTCACCATGAAAGCCACCCCCCCTGCTCAAAGGGATAATATCCTCTCTCTTTCCTATTCTGGCCTCTCTGCTTGTCAAATTTCCTCTAGAACTGGAGTATCCAAGTCCACTGTGGCCAAGTTCATCAAAGAAAGTCACACAGACAAGGAAAACTTCTGTGAAGGGCATCCATCCAAGCTCACCTCTACTGATAGGAGAGCTATTATTCAACATATCACTACAGGAAAGGCTGATAATGCTGTCCAGGTCACCTATTACATCAATTCCACCATCACATTCCCTGTCTCTTCACACACTGTGAGAAACATTCTCAAGACAGCTCATCTCAGGTCAGTAACAAGGAAGAAAAGGCTCTCCTCTCTATCACATATGCAGAGAGGACTAGCACCCTTCTTTTTTCACATATATACCTTGCTATCTGACCCAATCCTATTTATTGTGGTCTTATATGATCATATAACATGCTTCCAGTCCATGTAATCCAATTCTGATGGGCTAAGGCAAAGGTTAGTCCTCTCTGCATATGTGATAGAGAGGAGAGCCTTTTCTTCCTTGTTACTGACCTGAGATGAGCTGTCTTGAGAATGTTTCTCACAGTGTGTGAAGAGACAGGGAATGTGATGGTGGAATTGATGTAATAGGTGACCTGGACAGCATTATCAGCCTTTCCTGTAGTGATATGTTGAATAATAGCTCTCCTATCAGTAGAGGTGAGCTTGGATGGATGCCCTTCACAGAAGTTTTCCTTGTCTGTGTGACTTTCTTTGATGAACTTGGCCACAGTGGACTTGGATACTCCAGTTCTAGAGGAAATTTGACAAGCAGAGAGGCCAGAATAGGAAAGAGAGAGGATATTATCCCTTTGAGCAGGGGGGGTGGCTTTCATGGTGAATATAACCATGACATATGGAAATTTTTGGTTTGTATAGTTAGATATGGTTTTAAAATGACATAATGACACCACTTTATAATTTATTTAATGGTAGCATGATTGTTATGGTGTCATAAATGATGATTTATATAGTTTTAATATGTGCTCAAAAAACTGTCCACATGAGTCATGATTTTGTAAGCCTTGTATCTCCACCATATCTCCTCTGATTCTCACGATTGTGGTGCTCAATCCAAAGCCCTGAAGCAGCACTACAATATGGTATTAGCATGTCACTGAGGTCTTTATGTATTCTCACACAATATTGTAAATAGTAAAAAATGCAAAAACATGTGGGCAGTTTTTTGAGCCACTGTATGAACAGTGGGCGTTTGCAACAAAATCAAAGTGAGTTGTTGATGTTTTCACATTTCATTCTGTTGATAATGACTATCCTGCCAGATCTAATGAACATGGCTCATTGGAGGCTGTGCACAAGCAAGTTCAAAATTGATTATCCAGGACTGAGTGAGTGGCAACATCGATTACCATGTGAGATTCACATGAAATATCCTTGACGTTGCAGTGACTGGCAAAAAAAACATTGCCATGAACTACAACAACTACCAGACTGTACATGCTAGTTGATCTGCACATATGCCATCCTTCGAATATTGGTACTATCAGGGACATTCACAAGCTTCATGATGCGCTCAAGGATAAAATTTGTTATCGGACTGTGCTTACACTGACAGAAGTCAAAGCTCACATGGCAGAACTCAATGTGTGCTGTTTGGCAGGTGACATTATTCACCAGCCACACAAGAGGCATTCTGATGCTGGAGGCTCTCGCAAGCGCAAGGCTTTACCCACCACAAGGAGAGAGAAGAACAGGCCCTCAAAGAAGGCAAAAAAGATGGCGCCAGCAATGGTGAGGCTCCCAAAAGTGTGGAATTCATTGTGTTGTCTGATGAGGAAGAGGAAGAGTTTGAGGACATGTAGTGTACTCTCTGCCTACCTTTGTTAGTGTGTTGTACATAGCCCAATCATCACTGGCAGTAGCTGTTGAACATGTGTTAAAACACGCCCTCAATACAATCAATTTGATGAGCTCATTGTGTACAATGGCAGGCACAAAGGTTCAGGTGGTGGGTGGTGATAGCTGACGTCAGGAACATCAACTACATCAGTACCAACGTGCCCATGCCTACTTACCCTAGTATACTGCTCTACTGATTATTATAAGTCGCTCATTATCAAAGAGATATTGAAGGAGGCTTGCAGGTGTTGAAAATCCATTGTTGTACAGGTGATAACCCTATCTATTATCACTTCTATTTAGAGCCCTTATGTGGGAGTCACAGGTGTCGATATTAGTGTAGCTGCGGTCAAGTTACAGCTATGCATTGCACGGAGTACCTAGTGATCATAAATGTAAATAATATACCAGCTATTCCTCATTACAAGGACCATCCATAATGGCCAGAAAAGCCAAAAAAAACTTCAGTTGCACATGCTCAAGCTTTTTGCCACAAGAAACACCACCCAGCAGAATCCAATGATGCTCAACCAGCGGTCCCCGATGACAACAATGCGGAGAACAAGTGTGATTATGAAGGCAGCATCAACTGCTACTGGCCCAAAGACAGTGACTATGCACCAGATTCTGACTCAGACTGGTCTGATGGTGATGAGAGTGTTGTGGAGTTCGAGGGTGAAGAGCTGGAGCAGAATTTGACAGCACTCAAGATGCTCAGTTACAGGTCAAACAATTTAGCTCTACATGCTATAAATCACACAGACGAGTTCCTGAAACAGTAGTGAGTCTTTGATCATGTATAGCCACATTTTGTAGGGATGCGCCAAATTGACCTTGGAAGAAAAAAAAACTCCCTCAAATTTGAGTATTATCAAAATCCGTCTGGAGGTTTTGTTCCTTAGGCAAAAACAAGCATTTTTGCCAGAGGGATAAAAAATCGGGTGAAATTTCGAGGTGCTAAAAACGTTGCACAAAAGTAGCGGTGACTAAGTGACGTGCACCATACGAGATGAGGGCAGTGTGGGAAAAATGATCTTCATATGTTGATTGCGGTTTTCGAGGTCTGTTGTGATGACCGTTACGAGGGTCCCATCGTACCTTGTTTGAACTTTGTTCAGGAATTCAAGTTGGATTGCAGGAATCCGCATTGAACCCGCGTTATCTTTCAACATGCAAATAATTCAATCACTCTTCCGCGCTATCAGCGAGGCTTAGCTCGCGATCCACCGTGACGATGGTTTCAGAAGAAAGCCCTCTGCTGGTGTCTACCGCGTATGAAGCTATTTATGACAGATTCGCACCACATCAGAAGAGGTGGATCGTGTGTCTCGTTTCATTTGTGGGTTTGTTGCCTAGTGAGTACTATGACTTAAAGTGTACTGCTGATGCAGAGGCGAAATATTGATGAACAATGGTCAGTGTTCGTCCAATCGACGTTCGTGCCTTCCATCCCTCAGATAGCTAAAGACCTCAACTTGACACACGCTGTCGTCAGGTGTGTGTTGTATGTTCATTTGGTGTAATATTTAGTAATCCAGCGATTGCCCAGCTTGGCCTTCAGTCTATCGATCTTGGCAAATACCATCGGAGCATTGGTTTGGGCTGCTTATTCGTCTTTCTGTGCGTGTATTCATAGCATGTTGTGGACTCGTAGTAGGTTTAAGTCCTGACAGCGGTCCCGCAGATGGACGCCGATCGATGTATTTGTGGGGGATGCCGTTTGTGTGCGTCGGGAGCTGTGGTGTTGCGCTATCGACTTCGTTCCGGAGTCTCTTATTCTGGCGGTTCGTGCAGACGTTCGGATGCGCTGGGGCGATGTCGTTGGGGACGGGTGTTATTGGTGACATTTATAAATTGGGAGAGAGGGGGACTATTATTGGGGTATTCTTCAGTGTGAGGGATCATGACGGTTGAATTTTTTTTTCGGTTTGATACTGACACACCTATCTCAGGTCACACTTTTCGGGTTTGCTGTTGCCCCGTTTCTTGGAGGTAAATATATTCTGGATGTTTATGATCGCTGGATTTAGCGACGCATTTGAACAGGTGCAGCGACACAGTATTGGTCCTGGCGCAATTTGCACTACTGTCTTGGTGCATGGGGCTTCCTCGAGATGCTTCTTGTATACCTTTCGTTTCCTGAGACGAGCCATCCTGGCACACTGGGTATTGATAAAGTGATGCGCAGGAGATGGGTCCACATCACATGGGTAAATCCTCTGAGCAGTCTCTGGTTGCTTCAGAGTCCGAACCTATTCGCGGTTGTGAGTACATTTACTGTGCGCTAGTACAAACTCTGAATTCTGTGTGAGATGTAGATGCTTGCGTCGGCTCTAGTGCTCATCAGTAGCTATGGTGTGTTGATGCTTATTACTGATTGTGCGGTGCATTCTCATATAAAACAATGTAGTTCTCCTCGTACCGATGGCGTATACTATCGTAAGCTGACAGTCGTTTTCCATCTCGCATCCTGATCATGGTACAGGGCATCCGGTATGGAATCACGAACGAGGCCATCATCGGGGCGTGTTTCTTCCCAAATGGATTGGGAAATTTCAGTAGGTACAGAACATTGTATTCGCAATCCACCAACATGATCTTTAACAGCTGGAGCTCTGGTTGGTGGCCGCCTATCGGATACTGTAGTCAGAAGATGGCAGGAGAAGCGCGGAGGAGTGTGGTGTCCCGAAGACCGCTTGAGAGCGACGTGGATCGGAGGGCTGATCATGGTCCCGGTATCTATTGGGGCATCAGGGCTGATCACGACGTATATTGGGGGCCCGATCGGCCTTGCGCTGAATATATTATGTCTTTATGTGAATGGAGTGGGGGTAAGTAGGCTCTCATTATGTGCGCGAAGTGATTCACTGAGTTTTATAGGTCGACTCGGTGTTGAATCCAATTAGTTCTTATTATGTGGATGTAGTGCATTCCAGAAGCGCAGAGGCCACAGCTGCTTACATGTCAGTCTTCATGATATTGCCTGACTATCAAACTTGAAATTGTTCGTCAGGGCGAGCAGGTTCCTCATCATATCTGCTGCGACTGCTCTTGTCATTCCATCGATCGAGCGCATAGGTGTTGCATGGACAGACATCATCGCAGCTGTCCTTGCGCTCATTGGACATGGGTGAGGGTCTTTTTTGACTGCAAGATCAGGGATACTGAAATAGCATCGTTTCAAATTTTCTTGTCGTAGGCTCATTTCCTTGACCATTCGTTATGGTGACCGCATGAGAGCGAGCATGGATGTTGGTTTCTCAACTATGGAGAATAATTGACAGATTTATATCCGTTTATCTGAAGGGAAGCAATGTATATAATCAATATGGACATGTGGAAACATATATTCGTCGTTATTGCCAGTGGGTTGATCTTTTATAGCGGCTCAGACCCGCCTTGAGCGAATCCGATACACTATGCTAGACGCCGGAGGTGAAGCTGATCGTGCTCCCTACAGCAGGGTCCCATTTCACATAACCAAGAGGAACCTGGTTTTTGCACCGTCGACACACGCAGACAATTCGAAACGGGTTAGAGACATACCTCCAAAACAGAAACGAAATCATCGTCATGCGCAAGATCTTCGAGACAAAACAATGACTTGATAAAGCGCTTTGCATTGGGGGCGCCCAGGAGGGCGGGCGTACTCGAGCTGCCTAGCGCATTTGGGGTCTGCAGCGTTTCGAATATTCTCAGTTTGATAGCGTGGTGTAAGCACGCTGGCTTACTAGAGTTCCCATGATCTACATAAATACTGTCTACGATACTGAAACATAAGCTTTCAGTATCACTGCCTTTTGGCGTAACAGTTAAGGGACGACAGTCTTAGCTAAGTTACACGTGGCGTGCGTTACGCCTATTGGCGAGCCGATTCACAGATGGACTTGGTCACGGTGTATCGTTGGGATCGTAGAGTGCGACCAACTATAATTGGAGACAATGATATCAATCAAAAGAACGTCAATTTTGGATGACAGAACGAATAAATAATGAAGCAGGAATAGAGCGCCGAAGGTTTCAAATATAAGTAAAGGCAGCTTACCACCCAAGCTCTCCGCTACAACATACACTCCATGAATTACCCAATGCACCGCCTGCCACAAGGGAACCTCAACACCTTGTGTATGAGCTAGATAACACATGTTGTAGAGAAGCATCGCAAAGCCGGTCGTGAACGATTGGGTTTGAGCGTGGGCTGGTGCCTGCTCTGAGGCCTCCGAGTCGGCTAACGCTGTGGGTGTATAGGATGGCGATGAGGAGGGAGAGGATGGTGTCGAGAATGGCATCGATGACGCTTTGGAGGTTAGGCGAATAGGGTATTTGACTGTCCATCTATGCGTGGAAGGAGAGAATGCGAAAAAGTTCAAGTAAAAAATATGTTAAGTGACGAGAGACGCACTTTGCCCATGATCCACTCCCTCGTCTTCTGCAAGACACGATACTTCGAACGGTAGTTTGATGCCTAGGTAGAAAGTAAGGAGTCACAGAAAGCGAGTGGTATGAGTCGATGTGATCCAATGGGTATCCTAGTGCCTCATTTTGCGGATTCCTCCTTGCTCGTATCCAGGCGTAGTGGCCAGTGACTAGGACTAGTAGTACCTGGTTTACGGCAATGAAGGCAAGCTGCACAACTATCAGCTTGAAAGAGACACGAATGCAGAGTACTGTGACATGAATCCAGAATTTCGGATAGTCGCGATATATATGCATTAGCTGGTGAGTTTCGTAGGGTCTAGATGTAACGCATCTGGCTTGCGTCAAGGTAGAACTTGGATAAGGGTCACAGTGCGTCTAGCATTGTACCTTGTGAAACGCATGAACTTTTGACGCTGCCGGCAGTATGCATTATATTGACTATTTCAACTGTGCTGATAATCCCTGCTAGCCAACAATTAACCATCGCACACTGACGACTCATCTGTTTTATGAAGGACAGGATCCAATGGGACCAATGCTGGGCGTTGAACTGATAGATCGTGTCAAGTTTAATGTTCGGATTCAAACACAGTTAAGTCTAGACACGACCATAGTAGTATACAGTGTACGCCTTGAGCTCATTCCCGTCAGGGAGGCTCCGACATGACATACATTTACATAAACCCCGCTGGACATTGCCGACGAACTTGACGTTTCCATGTCTGCTGAGCCGATGAAATGTAAGACTGTTCTCCCTTAACAGTTACGCCAAAAGGCGGCTGGTGATAATCAAAGCTCAAGCGCTCATACTTGATTATCGCGAACAGTATTTATGCTGATTATGGGAACTCAGTTACTCAGGTAACTCCAACGGGCTTGCATGAAACTCAAATTGGAGGTAAACGCACAATTTGCGCTTCTGGAGTTTTTCGGGCATAGACAGATATCTCGATGATGATCCACCCTCATAAACCCTAAGCAGTCGACACACTTGACCATGTAATGTCCGTGGGAGAGGAGGAGAGTTGACTGGCCCTTTTCTAGCCTGCATCATCACACTAGTCTGACTTGACCCGAATTCAAGTTAATTCGCCTGTCATACACGTCAAAAGTTCTCGATGACGAAACAAGAGGAGCACTACTACTAGTATGTATAGCCTGGCCTCCTTCTCGGATGCTAATACGTACTCATTCCAGATTCTTGTGCTAGGCTCAGACTAGATTGACAGAATGAACGTAACGCAGCGTTTTCGGATCCGAGCATGTCATGATATATAGCTGCAGCTGTGTGCGAGATCGCACTGCAATTCACTGCGATGGTTTCAGAAGAAAGCCCTCTACTGGCGTCCACCACGCATGAAGCTATCTATGACAGGTTTGTGCCTGACCACAAGAGGTGGATCGTATTTCTCGTCTCTTTTGCGGGCCTGTTGCCTAGTGAGTACTAGTAGTTAAAATGTACTGCTTATATGGTGGTGTGATGCTGATGAGCGCGAACAGTGTTCGTCTCAGCGACATTCGTACCTTCCATCCCCCAAATAGCTGAAGATCTTGACTCGACGCATGCTGCCGTCAGGTGCGTGTTGCATATTCATCAGATGTAACATATTTCGATTAAGCAATTTCCTAGCTTGACCGTCAGTCTGTCGATCTTGGCGACTGCTGTCGGATCGTTGGTTTGGGCTGCCTATTCGTCTTTCTGTAAGTGTATCTATATGGCACAATGGACTTGTTATAGTATCGAGTTCTAATAGCAGTCCTGCAGATGGACGACGTTTGATGTATTTATGGGGAATGCCATTTTTATGTGTCGGAAGCTGCGGTGTCGCGGTGTCGACTTCGTTGCGAAGTCTGTTATTCTGGCGGTTCGTGCAGATGTTGGGATGCTCTGGAGGAATACCGTTGGGTGCAGGTGTTATTGGTGACATCTATAAATTGGAGGAGAGGGGGACTGCTATTGGAGTATTCTTTGGTGTGAGCAATCATGATGATTGTGCGCTTCTGTCGGTTTGGTACTGACGTGAATTTTTCAGGCCTCACTTTTTGGGATAGCTGTTGCCCCGTTCCTTGGAGGTAAACATATTCTGGATGTTTATGCATACTGAATCTAGCGATGTATTTAAATAGGTGCAGCGGCGCAGTATTGGTCCTGGCGCAATTTGCAATATTCTATTGGTGTATGGGGCTTGCTCGAGATGCTTCTCATGTACCTTTCATTTCCCGAGACGAGCCATCCTGGCACATTGGGCATTGACAAATTAATGCACAGGAGATGGATCCATATCACATGGGTAAATCCTCTGAGCAGTCTCTGGCTGCTTCAGAGTCCGAACCTATTTGCGGGTGTGAGTGTATTTCTACGTGCTAGATCCAAATTCTTACTCTGCGAGATGTAGATGATTGCGCAGGCTCTAGTACTTATCACTGACTATGGTGCGTTGACACTGATGGCACAGTGCATTCTTACATGAAACAATGTAGTTCTCCTCGTACCTATGGCGTATACTATTGTAAGCTGACGGTCATCTTCCATCTCGTATCCTGATCGTGGCGTAGGGCGTCCAGTATGGTATCACGAACGAGGCCATTATCGGGGCGTGTTTCCTCCCAAACGGACTGGGAAACTTGAGTAAGTGCACACCATGATGATCACTGTTCACCGACGCTACCTTTTACAGCCGGATCACCGATTGCTGGCCGCCTATCGGACATTGTAGTCAGAAGATGGCGGAAGAAGCGCAAAGGAGTATGGATTCCAGAAGATCGCTTGAGAGCGACGTGGATCGGAGGGCTGTTCATGGTCCCGCTGTCAGTTGGGGCGTCGGGGCTGATCACAACATATGTTGAGGGCCCGATCGGTCTTTCGTTGAATTTATTATGTCTTTTTATGAATGGAATGGGGGCAAGTCCTCAGCTACGTTTTCTCGCCTGCACGTGACCTAATTTACTGGTTTTTACAGGTCGACTTTGTGTTTAATCCAATCGCTTCTTATAATGTGGATGTAATGCACTCTCGAAGCGCAGAGGCCACAGCCACTAGCACGTCAGTCTCCATAGTATAGCGTGGCAATCAAAGTTGAACTCAATCGTTTGCCTACCAGAGCGATCCGGTCACTTATTATATCTGCTGCGACTACTCTTGTCATTCCATCGATCGAGCGTATAGGCGTTGCGTGGACGAACATCATTGCGGCTGTCCTTGCGCTCATTGGACAAGGGTGAGGGTCTTTTGATTGCAAGATATCGAGGATACTTAGCTTCATTTTTCTTAGGATCATTTTCTTGATGATTCACTATGGTGATCGTATGAGGGCCAGCGTGGACGACAGTCTCAAGGCTGAAGAAAATGATCGATAAGTTCCTCTTCGTTTATTTGAAGGTAAGCAACAGATCATGTTGACTAAAATGTTGTCATTTTATTACTTTTCTTATTGCAGACGTTGTACCAAGACTTGTGATCATATTGTCTCTCGTCGTGATGCTGATTCGCTCTTACTATACTTTGTCTCTAGCAATGTCTTTTTGGTAGCATTAATGTCATGGCAGTTCTGAACCGATGCTGATCAATGGCGTTGTCCCGACCTGGAAAGATGTTAACATTGCAAAGTCAACTTGCCGCCGCTGGCTTCAGTGCCATTTATTTCGTACTTAAAGCTTAAATACTAAATACCCATCGAATCTTGCGAAAACCTCAGTCTTAGAATTACAACGAATGCAGAGATGCGACTGCTAGGGGATCGCCTGTTATCCGTGGGCCCGCCACCGGTATCCTGACCTTGACTCGGATAATCATTCCGCCCACCTCACAATTGCCAATTTCACACCATCGCCTCTCAACGAATCCATGCCTGCATGTTTCCTTTCTCCACAATGCACACTTATGGTCAGTTCCTGGCGCACAAGAATGGACCTGGTGGGAGCTACCTCGGTCTTCACAATCACCGTGACACACGACCTGCTGTTCTTTACGTCTGCATCGAGGTCTCGCTCATGAATTTGTACAAGGTCAGTGATCGTGCCAGCAACAATCAGCAATTACACTCACTGAAGTCCACAGGTTTTCGGGGGATTCACTGGCTGTCAATTCATTGAGCTACGTCTCGCAATCTTGAAGATTTTATTCATAGATTGTGCAGCAGTATTGAGAATCAGAGAGGCTCGGACTAGGAACGACGAACGAGAACTATATTCGACGAGGAGAGGTCTTTAATGCCATGATTGAGACGGAGAATCAAAGGGGAACGTGTATCAGGCGTGTAGTGAAGAGTGATTGCATATGTAAAAGGAAAGGAAGAGTACGTACGAGAGTGACGTCGATAGTTGTATCTTGACAAGCAGCTCAGAACTGTGTAGCTTATTGCCCCAACCCAAGCGTGTCTCAGCCTCATAAGGCGAAATTGATGTTCATTCGGTGGTGAGATTATTTATTGATTGGTGTTGGACATCATTTTCTTCTTCTGTGACACGATCATTCGAATTCCTGACTCGCGCAAATCAGATAAAAACATGTTTGACAATTCCCGTCATTATCATTGAGAGCTTTCCCAGACGTGCGCCATACAAGTCGGAAGATAAGGTCTTACGCGAATGCACACCGTCTTTCAACGTGACAAGCCCGGCACTAACACGCTGAGAAAACCTCTAGCTTCTTCTTCACCTCGAGGCAGCAAAATTTACCTCGTCGAGCTATTCTAATGCTAACACGAGTACATCTTGCTGCTTCTTCCGGTCCGTAGCACTTATCTTGATCACAGGATGACTTTTTATATATTCATTTGCTATCACCTTGACAGGGGCTGGGCATGCATATAAATTCGTGCATATAAATCTTTCCCGCACTGTCAACGAGGCTTTGCTCGCAATTTACGATGGTTTCAGAAGACAGCCCTCTGTTGACGTCCACCGCGCATGAAGCTATCTATGACAGGTTTGCGCCCGACCAGAAGAGGTGGATCGTGTGTATTGTATCTTTTGCGGGTCTGTTGCCTAGTGAGTGCTGGTAGTGAAAGTGTACTGCTTATACAGTGGTGTGTGGTGTGATGCTAAGGAACGCGAACAGTGTTCGTCTCATCGACATTCGTGCCTTCCATCCCTCAAATAGCTAAGGATCTTGGCTCAACGCATGCTGTCGTCAGGTGCGTGTCGTAGGTTCATCGGATATAATATTTTGTGACTGAGCGATTTTCTCAGTTTGACCATCAGCCTGTCGATCTTGGCGAGTGCCGTCGGAGCGTTAGTTTGGGCTGCTTATTCGTCGTTCTGTGCGTGTATCCATAACGTGTCGTGAACTCGCGATGCCACGTAGTTTCGATTCCTAACTGCAGTCCTGCAGATGGACGGCGATCGATGTATTTGTGGGGCATGCCGTTCTTATGCATCGGGAGTTGCGGTGTCGCGATGTCGACTTCGTTGGGGAGTCTGTTGTTCTGGCGGTTCGTACAGACGTTTGGATGTTCTGGGGGAATACCGTTGGGTGCTGGTGTTATCGGTGACATTTACAAATTGGAGGAGAGGGGGACTGCTATTGGAGTATTCTTTGGTGTGAGTGATCCTGATGTCGAACACTCTTGTGTAATTGACGTGGCTTTCTTAGGCTACACTTTTCGGGTTTGCCGTTGCCCCGCTTCTTGGAGGTAGATATATTCCGGATGTTTGGGTATGCTGAATCTAACGATGCATTTAAACAGGTGCAGCGGCGCAGTATTGGTCCTGGCGCAATTTGCACTATTCCCTCGCTGTATGGGGCTTGCTCGAGCTGTCTCTTGTATACCTTTTTTTCCCTGAGACCAGCCATCCCGGCACATTAGGCATCGATAAACTCAAGCGAAGGAGATGGATCCATATCACATGGGTAAATCCTCTGAGCAGTCTCTGGTTGCTCCGGAGTCCGAACCTATTTGCGGTCGTGAGTGCATTCATGGCGTACGTTGCTCGTTACAGACTCTTAGTTTGGTGTGGGATGTAGATGCTTGCGTCGACTCTGGTACTGATAACTGACTTTGGTGCGCCGACTCCCACTGTATAGTGCATTCTCACATAAAATAAAATAGTCCTCCTCGTGCCGCTGGCGTTTACTATCGTAAGCTGACAGTCATGTTCCATCTCGTATCCTGACCATGGCGAAGGGTGTCCGGTATGGTATCACGAACGAGGCCATCATCGGGGCTTGTTTCCTCCCAAACGGGTTGGGAAACTTCAGTAAGTGCACACCATAGAAATCACTGTTCACCGACGCTATCTTTCACAGTTGGTGCGCCGGTTGCTGGCCGCCTATCAGACATTGTAGTCAGAAGATGGCGGAAGAAGCGCAATGGAGTGTGGGTTCCTGAAGATCGCTTGAGAGCGACGTGGATCGGAGGGCTGGTCATGATCCCGCTGTCTATTGGGGCATCGGGGCTGATCACGACGTATGTTGGGGGTCCGGTCGGTCTTTGGTTGAATTTATTGTGTCTCTATACGAATGGAATGGGTGTAAGTAGGCTCTCATTATGTGCGCGAAGTGATTCACTGGTTTTTATAGGTCGATTTCGTGTTCAATCCAATCGGTTCTTACAATGTGGATGTAGCGCATTCTCGAAGCGCAGAAGCCACAGCTGCTAGCGCGTCAGTCTCCATAATATTATATAGCGCGGTTATCAAAGCTGAACTTAATCATTTACCTACCAGAGCGATCCGGTCACTTATCCTATCCGCTGCGACCGCTCTCATCATTCCGTCGATCGAGCATATAGGCGTTGCGTGGACGAACATCATCGCGGCTGTCCTTGCTATTATCGGACAAGGGTGAGGATTTTCTTCACTGCACATGAACATACTAATGTTATACTGCTTCGATTATTCTCTTTCAGAATCATTTTCTTGACGATCCGTTATGGCGATCGCATGAGGGCCAGCGTGGATGTTGGTTTCTCGACTATAGAGAACAATTAATAGATTTATCTTCGTTTGTTCGAAGAGAAGCAACGAATTAGAATCAAGATTTATGGATAATATATTTGTTAAATTGCCAATACACTCATCGGGTCGGGGCCGTCTTGAGCGAAGCCGATGCATTATGCTAAACGCCGGTGACGTAGTTCACTGGGAAGCTTAATTACATGCTTGGTCTTATTGGACGCAAATCGGTTCGAACTGTCTAGTGCGAAGGCGTATGTGAAGGAAAGACCACCTGGAGGTGTAATTTTAGGGCGATGGAGAGGGCGCCTGAGCCATTCAAAGTGAACGCTGTGTTCGGCATGGTCGTTGAATATCGTCATCGTCATCTATCACAGCCACCAACGTGCCTAGTAGAAATGAAGTGCACCGGTAATATGTGAAAGCCAGACTCGGGACGACCAGCCCAGCACGCTGGCGCGGCCACTTTCGCAAGAAAACAGGACTTTAATCTGGATCTATCGCACCTTCAACGCCTGAGAAACACTTCGGTGGTGGTGCAAAACCAGCTGCCCGTATACGACAAGATGATTTCGGGGAGTCTGATGCAAACGAGTATGAGGCGTGCTTGACGCTTCACTAATTGAACCTCAAGAATAAACTGTTTGAAGATCTTCCATTGAAGATTCGAGAGCATCCGAGCCCGGGCCGACTCGGAGGAAAATAACTTCAAGTCCGGTTCGAGTCCGGTTCGAGTCCGCACCGGTGTTGAAATTTTGAAATTTGAAATGAGATAAATCTGCATTGCACGGTCACCGGTGCACCTTCATCCATATTCTCAACTCCACTGACGTGTCAAATGGCTGGGGCCCAAATTACGATGAGCTCAGTAGAGCATTAATGCTTGACATACGGTGGCCAAGTTCCAACTGCGGTCATACTTTTCTAGGGACTTTAAGTTGTTTGCAGCCTGACTATATATGTACGTAATTAATAGTTGTACTCCAGTGTTATCAAAAGATCTTCCCAATCGAAAACGCCACTCGATACGCCACTCTTCGCTACGCATAGGTGATTCAGCACTCGAGGCAGTAACCGGAATCGTTATCATCTTCATGGCAGTGCAAGCACTGGCACTAGTGGTGTATATCTATTTCCGGCCCGTGGCACTTATCTTAACCGCTCATATGATGACTTTTCTAGCACCCAAAAGCTTTATCATGATATACATTTCTTTAAGGGCGTTTGCGTATGATCCCGTGGTATCATGGCTTCAGAAGAAAGCCCCCTACTGACGTCAAGCAGCGATCGCCATAAAACTGCGCACGACGTGGTTTATGACCGTTTTACGCGAGGCCAGAAAAGGTGGATTGTGTTCATTGTCTCTTGTGCGGGTTTGTTACCAAGTAGGTGGTCGAGGTATTCGAATACACTGCATGCTGATGAACGGTATCTATCAGAGTTCGTTGCAGCGTCATTCGTACCCTCCATTCCTCAGGTAGCTCAAGAAATTCACTCCACACATGCTGCTGTCAGGTGCGTAGTACTGTGGGTGAACGATGTGGCAATTAGTGCTTAAATGGTGGCTTTCTGATATAGCTTGACGGTCAGTTTGTCGACCTTTGCGACTGCTATCGGAACGCTGGTTTGGGCTGCGTATTCGTCTTTCTGTACGTTCATTCATGATGTGGTCTTTCGTCTCAAGTTATAAATATCGTGCAGATGGACGCCGAACAATGTATTTGTGCGGGATACCATTTTTATGCGTTGGTAGCTGCGGTGTCGCGATGTCAAATTCATTGTGGAGTCTACTATTCTGGCAGTTCGTTCAGACATTCGGATGCTCTGGAGGGCTGTCATTGGGCGCTGGCGTAATTGGTGACATATACAAATTGGAGGAGCGCGGCATTGGTATTGGGATATTCTTAGGTGTGAGGGATCATGACGATTGGATGATTTATCGATTTTGTAATACTGACACAGCTGTTTCAGGCCATGCTTTTCGGGTTTGCTGTTGCTCCGTTCCTCGGAGGTAAATATTTTTCTGGAACGTTTATGCATGCTGAATCTAGCAATGGTATTTGAACAGGTATGGCGGCGCAGTATTGGTCCTGGCGCAATTTGCACTATTCTCTTGCTGCATGGGGCTTGCTCGAACTGCTTCTAATATACGTTTCTATTCCTGAGACGAGCCATCCCGGCACATTGGGCATCGATAAACTAAAGCGAAGGAGATGGATCCATATCACATGGGTGAATCCTCTGAGTTGTCTCTGGCTACTTCGGAGTCCGAACCTATTCGCGGTTGTGAGTGCATATTACGCGTATGCTGCTTTGGGTACAAACTCTTGACTTTGTGCGTGATGTAGATGCTTGCGTCGAGTCTAGCACTCATCAGTGACTATGGTGCGTTGATACAACTCCTCAGTGCGTTCTCACACAAAATGATACAGTTCTCCTCGTACCGCTGGCGTACACTATTGTAAACTAATAGTCATCTTCCATATCGCAAACTAATTGGGGTACTTGTAGGGTGTACGGTATGGCATCACGAACAAAGCCATCATTGGAGCGTGTTTCCTCCCTAATGGACTCGGAAACTTCAGTAGGTACAAATGATTGTAGTCACAGATCATCAACTCAATCTTCAACAGTCGGGGCACCGCTTGCTGGCTGCTTATCAGATGTTGTAGTCAGGAAGTGGCAGAAGAAGCGCAAAGGAGTGTGGTCTCCAGAAGACCGATTGAGAGCGACATGGATCGGAGGGATGTTCATGGTTCCATTATCTATTGGAGTGTCGGGGCTGGTCACAGCGTATGTTGACGGTCCGATCGGTCTTTCGTTGAATTTATTGTGTCTTTTTGTCAATGGAATTGGGGTAGGTTCTCGCGGCTGGGTTGTCTTCCCTCAACTCATTGTTTCTTAAAGGTGGTCTTCGTGCTAAACCCAATTGGTTCTTATAATGTAGATGTGGTGCATTCGCGAAGCGCAGAAATCACAGCTGCTAACGTGTCAGTCATCATCATATGATGTCTCCATCGCATTCGCAACTCACTAACTCATCTTTAATTGTTTTCCAGAGGTGTCAGGTCATTCATTCTATCTATTGCGACCGCTCTTGTTGTCCCATCGATCGAACACATGGGTGTTGCGTCGACGGACGTTATTGTAGCTGTTCTTGCACTTCTCGGACAAGGGTAAGGGTTCCTTTGACTGCACGATTGAAGACTGACACTAAGTTTCTTTTATATAGGATTATTTTCCTGACGATTCGTTACGGAGATCGTATGAGAGCCAGCGTGGACGTTGGTTTCTCGACCATAGAGAATAATTGATTGATTGATGTGAGGAAAGACGAGCTTCGTTCTGAGAAGATCTGTCATATCAGCTTGAGAACCTTGAACGAAGTTCGCACTATGTAATACTATATATAGTGCTGATTTATGAATTTCTAATGCTGTATTCTTTCGTTTCTTAATACCCACAAATCATTCGATGTTAACGTTGATGTGTCGTGCCTTGGGGAGATTCGTGTTGTGAATGTGGCTGTGTCGGGACCAAGAGCTAATTCAGAGCTGCAGGTTTTTGTTGGGGATCATTAAATTGATAACCATCCCGACTACTATAGCATGTGCATATTATTCGCCTAAATTCAAAATATTGTCACGGTGGTCCTCCTTGGGCCTTTTTACGATTGCCCGAAAAGCGATGATGTTATGGAAAAAAGTCGTAGCCAACGACAAGAAACACTGGTGAGACACACAAAATGAAACAGAATCAGGTTCCGGATTGCGGAACGACGACGACGGTATGCAAGCCAGCTATACTAGTAAGGGAAAGAGGCGTCTTACGGCGGGCCATCAGAGAACCTGTGAGAAGAAGATATCGTCATATATCGTCATATATCGTAATATATAGGAAAGGTTTTCGTCACATTGGAATATAAAGTGATATAAAGCAATATATGGCTATGTAAAAGCGCCATAATCAGCATAATCCCAGCAAGAACTCACCGGTTTACTGATGGCCACAATGTAACGAGGTGTACGTAAGCAACCAGGCTTACATATTATCCATGTCATTAAGTTCTTTCAAACTTCAAGTTTCTCCATCCTTAAACAATAGACTTTAGGACTGGAATGCGTTCTAGCAATACCTCACCGTGATGCAGTGTCCTCACAGATATGACCTCACAGCTACTATAATTGGTGTCAGCATCAAATATATCCTGATAGATAAATTACAGCTGGTAGCTTTCCCGTTCGAGTGGTGATTAGGTTTCGCAGCGCCGGTCATGTACAGTAGATGATGACGCTAGTTGGAACCTAACTCCATCAGCTAGCCAACACCCTCGGACATCATTCATTTCGACAAATACAAATACGTCTGTCCAGTCACAAGTCGATTTGTCCCCATAAACTTACCCAACTTGGCGCATTCACCAACAGGCTGGGTCTTGCGTCAACACGTGGATCACTCGATTACTTAATTGTTATCTTCGCCTCTCAATGGGCGGCGGTCCGCTCTCTACTGGATGGTTATCACCGCTCATTTAATGAACAGCGGAATCTGTTGTCCATGTCATCACACTGTGACACTCAACAACTCGGACCAGCTTATTAACCTGGGCATCAAAAGTCATCCGCGTTTGCTGCGCCCGTGACGTTATTGCCGCCGTTAGATGAAAGCGATAACCGCTATCGCAGAATGAAGAACTGCGGTGGTACTCGAGTCGCTTGGGGGTCAGATATGATGCTGTGCATTTGTGGCGGATGGTGTTTATCACTCAGTGTCGTTCATCCTGATCATCGTGATCGTCTGGCAGCGTGTAAGGCACACTTGAAGGAACTTTCTCAGGCGCTGGGGAACGAAAGTTGGGAGTAGGACGCATGGTGTTCAGATGCCGTGCGGATATATCATCGTGAACTGTTCTTCAGGGTCGGTTTGTTAAGGAAATCGCGAGCTAGCTGAGATCTCCACCTAACTCCCCTTCTGCTAATTGTACGCACCGTTTGACGGGACTCGGATAGTATTCGTTTGCAGCCCACAGAGGCCGAGCTCGTTAGTCTTAGCCACCTTGGAGCAACTGTTACTGATCGGCCGTGAGGTCATGTAACCCTAACCCTGAAGTAAGGTTTGAGCTCATCGGATACAACCTTCCCGCAGCCGAATATCCTGTACTTGGTGTGCGCAATTTGGCAACCTGAACCCGAAACATCTCTATGGACCACCGACGTCCTCTCACACTATTTGTCTTCAAGACGCCATGGAAAGCGCTTACCACGCTCTGCAGAGCACCAAAGTCAAGCTCCGCAACCACCTCAACACCATCGAGCTCGCGGCGAATGAGTTCCATGTAGATACCAAATACGTGGATCTGGTTATCAGGGTAAGTGTTTATCTTGTTGAGGCGTGCTGGGTGCAAATGAAGGGTTCTGAAGTTTATTGGGGCGTCGGATCTTGCAAGGGTGCATGTTATTGGCACGATGAACCCGTGTTTCCGTGCTACACTTGACGACAAGGTTTCGTACACGTGAGTGTTTTGCTGTCTGCATATTGACACTGGCCTACTTTCTCGCAGGTCGTCCGTCAAGCCGAATACCCTCTCCCCTGTTTGGGATGAGACTTGGATCGTAAAGACTGTTCCTTCCACAGCTACCTTGTCGGTGGTAGTACGAGAGGTAGAGACTGGAGCGCTCGTAGATAGTGATGTCGGTGTGTTTCAGACCACTGTAACTCCAGGCACGAAAGAGGTTGAAATAGTCGGCAAGCGCCTTGGTCGAAATAAAGGGTCATTTTGGTTGAACGTATGTCTGCCCCACATTTGATCGCCACAGATTGTGCTTATCAACGTTTGGTTCTAAGATTGAATCCTCTCCTTCGGTTCATAATTCAAGATCACTACCATACTTGTTTGATGGCCCGATTCACTATTCTCGACACGACTCACCAACAATGGGCGTTCTTACCAATCTCAGGGACACGCGGCTGTATTCGACATGGAAGATCTATATTAAAGGCATTCCACAGCTCTTTGGGGATACGGTGCAACGATGGAACCACGATTACAAGGCCGCACAGGCAATTTTCAAAGGACCTACATCAATTGCAGTGCGTTCCGGCATTATGGCTGGCCACCACATGTTATACGCCCGGACCGTTTTGAATGGTTTTGGGGTTATCACAAATGCCGATGATGTGTTCAAGCTGCTGCGAGGCGACTCACGTCGATCATCGGGTGACGGCAATAGCGCATTTGAAAATCGCATCAAACCCGCAGTATACACGTATGTTATCACCGAGGAAGACGAGACCTTCCGTTTCTCAGAGACAGGGGCGACGTTCTTCGTAGACTTTGCATCGAAGCATGCACTGCATAGCAACTGCGCAGAAAGCGTAGTATACAGTGGGGAGTTTCACCCTCGCCCAGAAGGTGGCTGGGAGAAGTTCTCCGATTGTACGGACGATAGTGGTGTGAGATGGGAGTTGGTGATTGATAACAATTCTGGGACGTATGCACCTAATCCCGATCTGCTGGCTAAAGTGGCGCAACTTCTGGAACTCAATTTTACGGGGATCAATGTAGTTGCGCTAACACTGGACGATCCAGAATTGAAGAAGAGTATAGATGCGTGCAGGGAGTATGCGTTGACGAAAAGGGGGGTGAAACCTACGGAGTTAGAGCCTCATGCCACTGAGGGCGAAGAGACATTATCGGATCGGGTCTCAGCACTTAAGAAGACCTAATTATTGAGGATGATGTGGTTGTCAGGTGTTAGAGAGCAGGTGATGTAAAGATAAATGTGTTAGATAATGATTTATAGTGCTCTATTTAGTAGTGGTTGAACGTCGTGGATCTCCTGCAGGCCCATCAAGGAAATCACCGAACACGAGTTTCTCAGCCACAAACCTTTGGTTGGGCACGAGGAGACGGTGTCAAGCACTGCAACGCTCTTTGATTCGATATCGTCTAAAGTAAATTCTTCTGTTTCTTCTGTCTTTTGTGATGTCTTGCAACCTTTGATGTACCAGTTGTAAGTTTTCGGTTCTTGTTTTTTTGTCTGCTTGTTTTTTTTTGTTGATCAAACTTGGCGCTTGTTGCAGGGCTTGAATATCGGTGGACATAATGGATACCAGGGATAATTTGACTAGGGCTGCCCTAGTTCAATACATATCCTCTCTGAATGATTCCTCCTTGCTCAAACCAGAGCCGCAGCTCGTGTTTACCCCCGCTCCACCCTGCTCGCAACCTTGGCAGCCAATTTCTAGCTGCAGCAGTAGCCCTTTCTTCTCCTTTTTTTCGGAGGAGGACTTTCCCCCTCTCAACTCTAAACACACACAAGGCGTACCTGGTCCTTCCAATCTTCTGAAGCAGTCTGGTCCGGTGAGCTTATACCCGACTCCGCCGTCCAGCGCTTCTCCATCAAAGTGCACCATCCCACTACCAGAAGAAAGAGGCGAATTTACTCCCATCTTCACTACCCATTCACCAGGCGTCTTGGACTCGCCTATCGTTATGCGCCGCGAGGACCTTGCTTGTCATAGACCTCTAACGCCACCGCCGACGCAATTGCTCTATAACCTAGAGTTGCCGGGCTATGAAGATGATGACGATGATTCGATGTTTGAGGAGAGTGGGCACACAACTCCTCATCAGGGTGATTTTGAAGAGGATTTTTACGATGGGATATCTGCCATGTCGGATAGTTCCGCAGAATCGGATTCGCCGCTCTCGCCTCTATCACCACCCTGGAAGCCACCCGAGCACGGTCTGGCTAAGTCCCATTGGAATGATCCGCCCTCCCCTAATTTTTCCTGGTCTCCCGGTTTAGGGAGCGAAGACATTGACGATATGTCTATGCCAGTATCCAACGAAATAACGTCCTTCTCACCTGATCAGGTGCCCTATCTTCTTGGCGTTGACCCGCCTCGTCCCAAACTCGTGCCGCTTCACATACCCTGGTCATCGCACCAACACATACCCATGCATCAACTAGATGAGCAACCCCCATCCTCCCCCCACCGTTCCGCCCTCTCATTGGCAGACATGATCATCGATGATCCTCCAGAGCTCAGAGCCCCTCATCTCTCCCTTTCAGGTCTCCCCGAGCTAGAGCATGAAAAAGCGCTACCCCGTATACCACCATCATCTCCCAGCAGACGGTCTTGCTCCTCTCTTCCCGATGATACAGACAACCTACCATCTTCTCCATCGTCTCCTGGCCCATCTCTCCTATCGCTCCCAGGTGCTGACACAGACGACGACCTCCTCCCCGATGTATCCGCGTTTGTGCCCCTCACGCCATCCCAAGGCGTCCCGTTCGTCCCTAGCCAACCACTTCTGTTCATCCACGATCCGAGGGACGTGCCCCTCCCACGCTCACCCTCGCCCGAAGATTTTCATCTCTGCCTTTCTGTGCACGACATGGACAGCGACCCTGAGCTCGCACAGCTCTTCGAGTTGCGCAAGCGCTCACTTGCGGTAGTGCAGGGGTTGCCAGAGGGCCCGGAATGCACAGACGCATACACACGTAAGTCGAAGAAGAAGCGGGAGCGGGAGAGGAGTGCGGAGGTCGGAGCTCTGCTCAGGTTGAAGCTGGGCGACAAGGTCGGCATGGATGTAAACGAGGGGAAGAGTCCCGAACGCCGCAGGAAGGGCGTCATAGGGAACATATCCCAGCTTGTCGCACAGATGGTGTTCCGGCGGCACGAGGCTTCACGACCGTTGACGAAACGCAAACCGGTGCTGTCTGCGCAGGAATACGTGCATTCTCCACTTTCAGCATGTATTGCTGTTGATTCATAGTTATGAGGATTGGATTAGTGACTGTTTTTTTTAGGTGCGTGGGCTTGGGTTACGCGCATTTTGGGTGGGGTACTTATTTCGAGTGCGTGGATCGTGGTGTAGACTTCGGAGGTGCATTGTTTGGCACTGTACGTTCAAGTGTTATGTTGTTGGACTATGTCCTTGTATGCCTTTAGCTTGTAACCACCATTGACGGAACCGCTCTCACAAACCCCTTTGTTTACCATCTATTGGATTTATGCTTGCAGATATACGGATAGGCGCCCGTATGTTACGGGAAAAAATTGTAACTACGTCGATGACTACATAACACCAATTCGTTGTACATCATATATGCCAGATTCATGATATCTATGCACTTCCGTTATTACCGTCCTGATTCTTTACATGCATTCAAAAGGTGTTCGAACTTCGCAGCCTCGAGTGGGAAAATCTTGAGCAATTTCAAAAGTTCAGATCTGATTCTTGAGAGACTATCATTTGATCCCGTCGATTTGATGGTGGCGTTGGGAAGTCGATGTTACGCGAACTCGAGTCTTGGAATGCAGGTACCTAGTGGTTGTCACTGACATGTACCTGAGCAAGATGCTGCGCGTAAGCGGCCAGCGTACAACACGTGGGTGCGTACCCTACTACGTACTGTAGGTATGTAGCTGATGCTGACATCCGCGCCGCAGTACCCCGAACCCAACCCAAGCGAAACCATTACTCCAAAGCGCAGAAAAGTGTGCGCAATACGTATTGCGCAGCCGCCTGCGGTTCATATTCATATCATTGAGTAACCAGAATTTGATTAGCTTACTACTCGGACACAGAGCGATGATACCTGCGCAGCCTCGATGGTCGGCAACATTTACATGCATTGGAATAGGAAACGAGTAGGGGTCGTAGATCTGGACATGCCACAAGAACTTGCCATTCCGAACATGGACCCGTACAGGCGTGAGACCGTCAGCTTGAAAGATAGATCTAAAGTTCACTTGAAAAAAAACTTGCGCGAGTGGATATAAGCAGATTGGTAAAAATTGTTGGGCATTGGCTTTGCGTGTGCTATTGCAATCAAGAATCTATAAGATACAATAACACGAGGAAACAAATAGTACCGGCAACCGTAAACTGGGCCGAGATACGGAGTCGCAGAAAGAAACCGAAAATCCTGTCAGAAATCTGTAGGCAAGAAAAGTCAGTTTCGTTTAGAGGAAATGACAGATGATGCTTACGTTTATACTTGACAGAGGAACTTGCACCAGCTTCATAACGCGATTTTTTCCTGTCCGGCTCAGAAACTTCATCACTGAGGTGTGGACGTTTGTAGTTTGATGTGTGATGTCTGTAACCAGGTTTTAAGATATCAACGTTTATACTACACCCGAGCGCAGTGTAATCAGTAAAACCCACAATATCATTTGTCGAACTTGATCGATCCAAACGAGTACACTCAATATTTGGTTTATATTGTAGATTTGAAACCCCACTCACATGCTATGGATTCCGCCTCGATGGGATATTTCTCAGCAGCAGTCAGCATCGCATTGACTTGTTCACGACGCGCATTGAGGTTCTCGACCATTTCCTGGTCATTGAATAAGCTAATAAGTGCGACCAAGGATTCCAGTCTCTTCAGGTAGGCGCGGATGCTGACCAAGGTAAGTTTTGAGTTTGCGGCCGTCATAACTGCGCTATGGTCAGCCCCCCGCCCTAACTGACCAATCTGCACCACTGACCTAGCCATTGCTCCTCAATTTCCTGACCCTGCTTCTCGATACTGTCGACCTGCCGTTTGATAACCTTCCGATGCCTGCTCCACGACAATACCAACAATGTGGTGATAAACGTCATGATGGATGGCACAATGAAAGTTCCGTCGGTGAATGCATCGTCACCAAACAATGCATCGGCCAGTTTGACGGAAATGACATGCTTTAACTGCGTAGCTTCCATCGTCGGAAACTAAGCACTACGGATTTATCATATTATAAGGTAAACAGATTAGCACATGACTCACATCGTCCGTGATCTTGCACTTCAACCTTGCCATAACGACATGCGGTTCACAACCACTTTCTTCTAAGATGCGGTCGACCAGTTTGTTGATGTTCCATTTAGCCCATGACGTCTGAACCCAGGCATTCCACGCGGTACGACCTTCATGGTCTTTATCCTTCCCTTTCACAGCGTGTTCTGCAAGATCCGCAGCCGTCCTACACTTGTTCATGAAGGCTTCGACTGCCTGAGCCTCGTCCACTGTCCATTCAGCAACATGGCTTACACCCCTACCATGGCCGTACGCCCACGGGTCGCCAGGAACGTGTGTTAGAGACTGCCATACCGGATTGGACCATGGCAGCGCTGGGTCGGCGATCCAGAGTTGGATTAGAGCAAAAGAGAGTGGTGTGGTTGGCATTTTGGGTGGTGAGCTGGGTTATGAACCATCGGTAGGCTCTTTTATCACTCACCTTAAACCACAACCCACGAGGCTGCTATTCGGTACGCACGTCCGCCAGATCCTGCCATTTAGTTTAGCTTGCTGTACATTCTGCAGGTTCTGCTGAGTGCTCCTTCCAACTTGACCCGGGTGAAATTGAATACACTGCTGACTAAGCTAGATAAATGCTGGCAAACACCCGCTCTCTGACGGTCTGTCGGACTCTGTCCACGTCTGTTATAATCAACAACTCAGGAGTCAGCATCACCCTGACCGCGTGGCAGGGAGATACCTTCTAAAGTTATTGATCTCAGGATGTGCACGTCTGAAACAGCGATTGCCCCTCCCTGCAACTGGAGTACCGTGACTTACCCCCAACTTCAACTCCAGTTAGGGTAGAGCACGGGTACGGGTGTGGCGGGTACGGGTACGGTGTGGATTCTGGAGACCCGTACCTACACCGCGCTTACCCGTGGCGGTTTACGGTGTTGGACGGGTGTAGATCCCTCAGCTTGTCCGAGGGTGCGAGGGTCAATTTTTTGTTGCTCATAAAGAACCTCCCGAGTCGGAGCTGTCACGCGGGTTCACCCGTGCTCAACCCTAACTCCAGTCTCGACTCTCCTGGCGCATTTTTACGCATGGATGGGTCGGAAGATTCTATTTTCACTGGTAAATCACTGAGATATTCGGACTTCCAGTACCAACTTCACCTTCGCACTATCTCCACGGGCGAGGGACATCCTTTAGCTCATGAATTCCTTAAAGTCACGGACGGTGCAACCTTTCTATCAAAATATGGGCGAACCGCTGCCTTGGGGATCGCCTTGTTCTCTATGATATTTTGAACTATCTATTCAGAAGGTCAGACACACTGGACGTTGCACGTATGGAATTGGCATCAAGGAGGTCCAGCCGAATAGGTTTCTCGTCTCGTTTACCATTCAAAGAGCTGATTTGGGCATTTTAAAGGACGTTGTTCATGTTTGGCGAAGGCCATGCGATGTCTGATATGCGCTTTCTTACTATGGCGAAGCTTGCTAATTCTCATCGCACGGACACGTAGAGTTATACGACGTCGAGGATCTGTCAATAGCACCTCAGCTTCAAGCAAGCTTTGCACTGTTCGTTATTGTTCAGCCTGCCTGCTTCCGATTTCCTTCGGGGTTTCATAGTGCCTTAAGTTGTGCACGTGTCGTATCAAAAGAGGAGCCTTGGATCTGGACAATGAACCCTGAAGATCGGTGATAGTCGTGGAGGGGGCCCCGCCGTTATCTTATGGTATCGCTCGCACTTTTTTAGGACCATTCCTCTGATATGGTTTGATGCGAGCTCAAAAAGTGGCCAAGTTGATCCATGGCCATGATGGGGTCCACAGAATTCTCGCTACATTCCTCGTTAGTACTGGGCGTTGCAGGATCTTGTGTCATATGGCCGTATCAGCCCCACGTTTCTGGTTCAAGTTGTGCGTGATCGGCTTCAATCCCTCTACCGTTCAGCTGCGGCGGGATATGTGCCCCGGAGAATGCCATTCCGTTCAGCAGGGCTTTGGCAAATGTGTCAAAAATCAGCGTAACGTTTGAAAGCATGCTCTGATACACTGATCAACTGTAGGCAAGCCACCGGTCCGGCTGGAACCATCCATATACCAGAAGGAACATGGCTGATGACAATAACTTCGCTCGAACAAGAACATCTGTAACTGGTACAATTACCATCATTTAAAATCACTTCAAAGCTCAGAAAAGTGTGTACAATGCGTATTGCACAGCGCGCCTGCGGTTCATATTCACATCATTGAGTAACCAGAATATGATTCGTTTACTACTCAGACACGGAGCGATGATACCTGCGCAGCCTCGATGGTCGGTAACACTTACATACATTGAATAGCCCACGAGCAGGGATTGTAGATCCGGACACACCGCAAGAACTTGCCATTCCGAACATGGTCACGTACGGCGTAAGGCCGTCGGTAAAATTCGTTGGGCATTAACTTTGCGTGGGCAGTACTGCCCGGACATTCAATATTCAATATTCAACTTCGGTCAATCTTATATCAAACAAGTTTGTTGCTTCATGTCTTCCATGTGTCACTGCGATCAAGAGTCTATAAGATGTGACGATACAAGAAAACAAATAGTAACGGGCAACCGAGATACGGAGTTGCAGGAAGAAACCGAAAGTCCTGTCAGAAATCTGTAGGTAAGAAAAGTCAGTTTCGTTTGAAGGAAATGACAGATAATGCTTACTTTCATACTTGACAGAGGAACTTGCACCAGCTTCATAACGCGATTTTTTCCTGTCCGGCTCAGAAACTTCATCGCTGGGGTGTGGACGTTTGTAGGTTGACGTGTGATGTCTGTGACCAGGTTTTAAGATATCAACGTTTATAGTGCACCCGAGCGCAGTGTAATCCGTAAAACTTACAATAGCATTTCTCGAACTTAATCAATCCAGACGAGTACACTCAATGTTCGGATTATATCATAGATCTGAAACCCCACTCACATGCTATGGGTTCTGCCTTGATGGGACGTTTCTTGGCAGCGGCTAGCATCGCATTGACTTGTTCACGACGCGCATTGAAAGTCTCGGCCATTTCCTGGTCCTTGAATACGCTAATAAGTGTGATCAAGGATTCCAATTTCTTCAGGTAGGCGCGAATGCTGACCAAGGTAAGTGTTGAATTTGCGGCCGTCATGGCTGCGCTACGGTCAGGCCCCCGCCTAACTGACCAATCTGCGCCTCTTACCTAGCCATTGCTCCTCAACCTCCTGAGACTTCTTCTGGATACTGCCGACCTGCCGTTTGATAACCTTCCGATGCCTGCTCCACGACAATACCAACAACGCGGTGATAAACGTGTTGATGGATGGCACAATAAAGGTTCCATCAGTGAATGCATCGTCACCAAACAATGCATCGGCCAAATTGACGGAAATGACATGCTTCAACTGCGCAGCTTCCATCGTCGGAAACTAAGCACTATAGATTATCACATTATGGGATAGATAGATTAGCATATAACTCACAACATCCGTGATCTTGCACTTCAACCTTGCCATAACAACATGCGGTTCGCAACCACTTTCTTCTAAAATGCGGTCGACCAGTTTGTTGATGTTCCATTTGGCCCATGATGTCTGAACCCAGGCATTCCACGCGGTACGACCTTCATGGTCTTTATCCTTCCCTTTCACAGCATAGTGTTCTGCGGGATCCTCAGCCGTCTTACAATTGTTCATGAAGGCTTCGACTGCCTGAGCCTCGTCCACTGTCCATTCAGCAACATGGCTTGCGCCCTTACCATGGCCGTAGGCCCACGGGTCGCCAGGAATGTGTGTTAGAGACTGCCATACTGGATTGGACCATGGCAGCGCTGGGTCGGCGATCCAAAGTTGAATTAGGGCAAGAGAGAGTGGAGTAGTTGGCATTTTGGGTGGTGAGCTGGATTATGAATCATCGGTACTGCGGCTCTTTTATCACTCGCCTTAAACCACAACCCACGAGGCTATTCGGTACGCACATCCGCCGAACCCTGCCATCTAGTTTAGCATTGCAGCATTACTGGCGTCAGGCAATGAGCATGTTGAGTTTGGAAGCCTAGTTATCCTGCGTTGACGTCCTTGACCAAGGCATCACTTTGGCTTGCTCCTTTCAACTTGCATGTTACATTACGTAATTACGTGAACCTTAAGAGTACTAGTCTTGGCTTGGAATACACTGTTGACTAAGCTTCAGCTCAGTGACAAACATTCTCCTGCTCCCATCCGAGAACGTTTTCCGAAGCTATGCCTATAATCAACAATTTAGGAGTCAGCACTTGACCGCATGGCAGGGAGATATTATTTCTCAAGTTATTGATATCAGGATGTGCACGTCTAAAACAGCGAGTGCCCCTCTCCCGGGGCCTCTCTACGACTGGAGCACCGTGACCCCACTCCAACCCTAACTCCTGGCACATTTTTATGTATGGATAGACGGAAGACCATATTATTACTGGTGACTTGCTGAGCTATTCGGACTTCAAGTACCAAATTCACCTTCTCACTATCTCAACGCACAAGGAGCATCCTTTGGCTTATGAATTCCTTATAGATCCTCCCGCGAAGTCGCGGGTGGTGCAACTTTTTTTATTAAAATATGGGAGAGCCACTGCCTTAGAGATCGCCTTGCTCTCTCCGATATTTTGAGTGATCTACTTAGAAGGTCAGACATACTGGGCGTTGTAGGTATGTAATTGGTATCAAGGAGGTCCAGCCACCCCGGCAGGCTGATCAGTTTTGAATAGGTTCGAAAGCACGCAAGCTCGTACACGCACCTCTGTACCATCAAACATCTCATCTCATCTTGTACCACCACCACTCACTCGCACACACGGAGTCACTAGCTTCATCACTGGTATCAGTCAGACGGAAACGGATCCTCCCACCAGCCAACAAAACGGGACCACCCACTAATTATTCCTCCTGCAACCTTTCGACTCCTGTACCTGCCCGCTTATGCGGCCGAGTACGTGTCTTCGTTTTCATACCAATAGCCCATACCTATCACAAGCATACATATAAGTCGTCTCATCTTCGAAGGGTTGCGCGTCTAAAACGGCCGGCGGGAACAGCGGACTGATGGGGCACGTCCCACATCAGGGCATTCGCGAACTCAGAGATGCGCAGGGGGCACCGGGGGCCCCCTAGACTAGATAGTATTGTCCTCCATAGAGTATTACTCTCCATAGGACATGAAAATTGAATCAAAAAAAAAAAGGAGGTCCGGCTAATGTAGGTCTCCCGTCCTGTCTACCATTCAAAGAGCTGATTTGAGCATTTAAAGGATGTTGTTCGGGATGTCTAACATCCGCTTTCTTACTATAGCGAAGCTTCTATTTCTCATATCACACGAACACGTAGAGTTGCACAACGTCGGGGACCTGTCAATGGCACCATAGCTTCAAGCAAGCTTTGCGCTGTCCGTTAGTGGGCGGTCTTTCTACTTCCAATTTTCTTCGGGGTTTCATAGTGCCTCGAGTTGTGCACGTCTCGTACCAAAAGAGGCGCATTGGATCTGGACAACGAACCGTGGAGATCAGTGATAGTCGTGGAGGGGGCCCCGTCATTATCTTATCGTATCCGCTTCCGTTTGTTCAGGGCCATTCCCCCGACATGGTTTAATGCGACCTCAAAAAGCGGACAAGTTGATCCGTGGTCATTATGGGGTCCACAGAATTCTCGCTACATTCCTCCCCAGTACTGGGGGTTGATGTATTGTGTGGTGGACTATGCCAGGAGTCGAAAGAAATTGTTGAGAAGATCGTGATCATAACGCAGGGCGACAGCCTCTCGCGTGCAATCTAACACGTTACTACGTAGTACATATTAGTTCAATATACTAGCACTGTCGTAAAGGAACATGTCTCTCACCTCGACAAGAAATTGCATAACCACCACTATCAGCCTCCGGTCCGCCGGGCACACGATCCTATCGGAATAGTATTTGATATGCCTAATGCCTGCCTTAGAGCGAGTCGCTTTCCTACACCTATATATATGCTGATCATAATCTCATCACTACTAGGTGAATAGTATGAGTCCCCAAAGCCAAACATACCAACTCAGCGGTACACATCTCGTTCATGGTGATCGCGGATCGGGAAGTGAAGCAGCTCCTATCTCTGTCGCCTCGCGTGAGTTCTTCACTACTGGCTAGGACAGCAATTCATCATCTATGCAGCATTCAGAACTGTATCTCATGGCGATCCCAAGGGGGTTGAAGCGATGGATCCCGACAAACATATCTATTCCCGCTATTCTCAAGATGTCACATCGAGGGTAGAACAGATCTTGAGCAAGGTTAATGTAGGTCTCATTGCAGGAACGATCGGATCATACCTGATTTGCGTAGCACGGATATGCAGTCACCTATGCATCAGGATTAGCTGCTGCATTTTCTGTGAGTTGGCGTAACGTGTTGATGTAACATGCAGGTGACTGACAAAAGTGACCCTATGGTCTGATAGGCTCTTGTCCACTTCAAACCAAAACGCATTGCGATTTCCAGAGGATACACTGGCTGTCACGGCGCCATATCCACTTACACCAAAGGGAGGTTTGTTGATACCCCGATCGTTGACCTAGACGACGAATTCCAAGAGGGAGATCTCTGCTGGCTCGAGAGTCCCTTGCACCCTACGGGCGAATCGAGGCAAGTCTTCGAGCTGCTTTGATTTTTTTTAAATCGATGATCTGGATCCCTGTCAGAAACATTCAGTATTACGCGGACAAGGTATGTTTTAAAGAACACAGATTATTAGCAGGGGTGCTCATGTGCCGTCACTGAGATTCATGCAGTCGGAGGGAAGTTATTCGTAGATTCGACCCTCGGTCCTCCGCCTCTTCAATACCCATTCAAATGGGGGGCAGACTGCGTACTTCACTCCGGTATAGTAAATTTCATCCCAAGCACGACATGATAACATCATGACCTGTCACAGGAATCAAGTATTTTGCAGGCCACTCAGATCTGTTCTGTGGGATTCTTGTCGTCAAGACCGAGGATGAACGTAAACAGGTATTTGTTATAGAATTCCCAGACCAACTGAAGCCCATTTTTGTCAGCTCTGGCACGACCGTGCGCACATGGGAAATATCATGGGGTCCATGGATTCTTGGCTCTTAATACGATCCCTTCGAACGATGCATCTGCGTGTCTCAAGGCAATCGGCAAGTGGCACGGAACTCGTGCAATGGCTTAGCAGAGCCGTTGTTCCAGAGGGTCAGGAGTACGACGGTATTCCCGGTGGGGTGATCACCAAAGTTGGGCACTCGAGCCTCCAGGAGACTGACGCCAATGGGTTTAACCCTTCGGCACAAATGGAAGGTGGATTCAATGCCTATTTCTCGATCTTGGTGCGTAAACGCGCGCACAGTGCATAATTCTGTCCTCATTTGAATGAAAGCTTTCAAAAGAAGAGTACGCAGAGAAACTTCCGCACGCGTTGGATCATTTTCATGTGGTAAGACACCTCCACTAGAAAGTGAGTGCGTTGATGACTGATGCACCTCAGCCGGCAACCAGTCTTGGTGGTGTCGAGTCTTTGGCAGTGCAGCACATCAGGACGGATCCGAAGGAGAATCCCCTTCTCGTATGCCTGAGCATCGGTGTAGAAGAAGTGGCGGTGAGTCTCAGCGTGGCATACTGGTTTCCTCCTGGCTGAACATTCGCATCTTTAGGACCTGAAAAACGATTTGCGAAGGGCACTCGTGGAGATATCGAAAGGAATTTAGAGCGAGTGATGTATGGGTGTCATACCATTTGTGAAAAAGGTCACACAAGGTGACAAGTCTGGAAGCTAGAAATATTGCGGCTAGGGCAGTTTACAAACTAGCTAGTCTTTGGTCGAAAATGAGTTTCGCTGTATTAGCAGAAGGCTTTGCCAAACAGAAGTACACACAATTCATCATTTGGACGTGTTACGGTGGTGCGACTCCGAGCGCTTGCCTGTTTTGGTGACTCCACCTCCTACAGCTTCGAACTATGCGTAGTCTTCTCCCACCTTTTACATACCGACACCGAACTTGGCTCATGTCGTACAATTCTCCTCTGCGTGAGCAAGCTTGTGCTGTGGTGCAGCTCAGGAGTACCAAAGAAAGGTCCACGAATCAGGAGCCTCACCTGTGTGAATATGTTCTGGCTCGAACATAGAGCTCAGCTGTGCTGCTGATGGCCGGTGTGCACATGACAGTATTGAGCTTGGGTGAAGGGGAAGATGAAGGGTATAGAGGGTGACAAATGTAGGAAAAGATGCATTCATTAGCACAAGATGAAGACAAGCCAACAAAACACGTACCCGGACGCTGTAACGCACCCCCGTGTAGCAATGATGTCCAACCTTGTCTCTATCCACTTTCCAAGAGCCTCGTCATTCAAAACAGTAGACCCGTATTCTAGTAATGCGCGGTGAGATACTCGCATGTACATTCAACTGGTGAAGTGTATCAAAATAAACTCATGTGTGTGGTGAATGAACAAACTCATCGAGCTCGCTTCGGAGCAGTCCCGGTCCTCGTTTGAATCCGGGGAAAAGCTGCACCTTCAGCCTCGAGGTGTGGTGGTACGAGTCTACGGCAGTAAGTTCCTAGAGTTGGGTATGTCAAATACAGGATGGTCTTGCAGGCAAACGATCGTATCGGACGGTGCCGCGGCAGAAGCAATGGCGGTGGAAGTAGTACAAGGCTGTAGTGGTGGAGGTGGCCGCGGCGGAAGAGGCGCATGCGCCTGATTGGGCTCGAGACCAGCCTGGTTTATATAACCACGGACAAGTCGAGTACTACGTCAAAATTCCCCACCTCTCAAAATACGTACGTCAGACTAGTCACGGATCTAGCGCCTGATGTGGGACGAGAGGGTGAACTGAGAAGAACAAGAGCAAGCGCTGAAGGTACAGGAAGTGGTCCTGAATGATTTGACGTCAGTACATGGGTCATCGAGATTCAACGTGCACGCAGATGTGCGATGTGACAGTTGGCGTCTTCGACTAATGTCTCCAATATATATGGGCATCGCTGGAGGTATCAGAGGGAAAGCTGAGAGCATGGGAGTGGTGCTGGAGACTCAAAAATGGTTAAAGGATGCTTGTGCTGGAGCCTGAAGGCATACAAGGAGCATGAATATTAGAAACCGGGTATTGAGAGACCCTCAAGTTACTTGTGAGCATGAACTTTGAAGTCCACAAAAAAAATACAAGAAAAGGGCATTATACGCAGGCTTACTTATCAGGCCAGATGGTGCAACAGGTCCAGTATATGCCCTTAATATTAATAGATTGTGACCCTCCTGAGCATTTAAGAGGGGACGTAGAGCAAACGTTTACGCATTGCATATAGTCATTGGCAGGAATTGCATTTACCACAGCGACAGCGGCAAGGATGGCAAAGTAGACGGGCTGAATGGGCTTCATAATACCTGTTACAACCATCCTTTAATGATAGCGGTAAGTACTAGGATCTAGGAAACTACCCACCAACAAAAGTTTGGTTTTATGTCAGTATACGCAAGTTGCTATGGCAGGTATTGGAAGAGCTGAATGTCGATGTCAGTGATATGCAGATACTGTAGCACAAGAGAGCTACTCATTGTAAATGAGGCCTTTGTCTGATGCTTTGCAATTCAACCGCATTGAATCTATATTATTCTCACTGTTAGCGCGATTTGGGTCTATGCGTCGCGCAAAAACGACTCTTCCTTTACGAACGATTGAGGATCAGCGACCGCAAATTTGCCAGTATCAAACACAGATGCCCCCCGGGCTCAGTCACTTTCCAGGTACGTTGAACAGTTCTCAGCTTGTCATTGCCATTCAATTTGGTAGTGATGTCACTGCTGGCCTGAAAGTTGGGGCTTTGGCTTTCGATATCTTCAGGCTAACCTGCGAGCCAAAGCTCTTGTAAGTTACAATTAAAAGTAGTAAGGGTAGGGAGACGGAAAAACAGAAAAGGCGAGCGGCCCTTAGGTCGTCAGAAGTTAGAACGGCGGATTCTGGACTCCGCATCCTACATATGCAGTTTGTGTACATTTATTTGTCTTTGATGCATGTGACGGTCAGACCCGTACGAAAGCAAGAGCACACAATCGCAGTACTCAACGCATTAAGGAGGGCATTGTGAACGTGAAGAATTCATTATACAGATGTGGAGAGTACATCTTTGTGAGAACACATTCCTGCAGCCGCAAGCATACACTGTTGCAAAGTGCACCTCTTCCACATCTCTCAACGGCGCGCTCTCAGATCCCGTTCACAGTGCTTCCATCGGCACTTGACGCGCAACTCAGGTGGGGCACAAACTCTGTGGATTTCCCGCAGGTGAGAGGAGAGATCGTGACCACGGAGAAGTGTAATCCACCTACTCACCCCACTCACACACGAATGATTGTACGAGAGAATCGGCTGGCTGCAAGTGACGATTAGACAGCATTAGTAGCGGCGGTCTTTAGCTTGCTCTGCGTGTTGTTAAGCTTCTGGGAGACTAAGACGTGCCAAATCTTGGATGTTGAGTTGTGGGTGAGTTATTGTACTTTGAGCTGCAGTTTATGAATCAGATCTTGAGATAGTCCGTCCTCCAGGTGGTCAATATGTTTCAGTCTGTCGATTTCCACTTGCAATATATTTGACACTTGAAAGGCTCGGGTTTTCATAGTGCCTCGGGTTGTGCACGACTCGCACCAAAAGAGGAGCATTGGATCTGGACAACAAACCCTGCAGATCGAATAATAATCATGGAGGGGTTCTGTCATATTATCGTATTCTCTCGAGACCGTTCCTCTGGCATGGTTTGATGCAACCCCAAAAAGTGGACGAGTTGATTCATGGTCATTATGGGGTTCGCAGAATTCCCGTTATATTCATCGCCAGTACTATTCATCTGGCGTTGCAGGATCAAGTGTCATATGGCTGGCTTGCATATCAGTCCCATCTAGTTTCACATCTGCGGTTCAAGTGATCGCCAACCGACAAGCACCCTATAGCCTCGGGCTGGAATTATGAAGCAGTCGCTGTCCGAGTGAGTATTCGCAACCTTGTCCTGAGTTGAAAATGAATAGATTACGGTGATCACGAAAACCCAAATCTCACTGACGCGGTGTCACGCACATTGATCCTTGACGCGTCTGCACACAGCGCGTTGCATATTTGCAGAATCGACCCTCTCGGCAATGTCAGGTATCAGGCATGCCAAGAAGTGCAGACCGTACTAGTAGCATTGAAGCGATGAGGCTATATAACAGGCCCGTATATTCCTGTTCCGGAGAAAGTTCACGCCATCAGTGTATGCCAATAGCTGAATTAGGGCAACGTCCCTCCCGCGGTGGTATGTATACCCTGGAGAATGTTATTCTGTTCAGCAGGGTTTTGGCAAATGTGATGTTCGAGTCAAGCTGTCAAAAATTAGCGCAACATCCGAAAGCATGCTCTGAGACACATCAAGGCAGGCCACCAATCGGTCCGACTAGAACCACCGTATATTCGAAGAAACATAACTCTGATAACAATGGTTTTGCTTGAACAAGAACATCTCAGTAAGTGGTACAATCTCACGTATTCATACACGTTACGCTTTACAAAATCAATGACGATACTCGAGAATTCGATTCATGCGTCAAGTGGTACTGCAGCACGTCCAGCATGGGTTATTATAGACAGGTTGCATCCCTTTTTTGCAGGGAAGAGGAGAATCGGCGCAAACCTCCAAGCAGATCTGAGCGTCATTGGCGGAAATTGCGTTCACCCCGGTGAAAGCGGCCAGAACGGCGAGGTAGACGAACTGAATAGGCTTCATGGTACCTGCCATGACCATGCCTTAGTGGCGGCACTGAGTACTAGAAAACTACCCACCAACAAAAGTTTTGTCGTACTAGGTACGCAAAGCTGCTATGGCAGGTAAAGAGTTCCATGACGGTTTCAGTAATATGCGGATAATGTAGCGCAAGAGTGCCACTCACTGGATACGAGGTGTTCGTTTCTGAGGCTGTTGAAACTCAACCGCGTTGAATTTATATTGTTTTTGATGCTTGATGCCGGTGCGACGGGGCGGACCTCCGGAGGGAGTTTTGCACCCTACAACTGGACATGACACGATGCACCGGTGCCCTTTAGACTAGATAGTACTGACCGACATAGGGTAAATTACCCCAACTAGACATGAAACTGGGGTACGGCATACTATTACATAGTCGCACCTAGATCTTGATCTTTGACACACGGAAGAAGTCTGGCACTGCGTGGTGAGAAAGCTGCTTGGAAAGGGGGTTCGTTGATCGAGGGTCGCTCTTTCATAGTACTCGTGTCCACTCGAAAGGCTGGCCGTAACGGTTCATGGCTCGGTTTCTTTGGAATGGCTCTCTTTGACAGAAATAAAAAGTATGTCGGAAGGCGACCAAAGCACACTAGTCAAAGCATGATATTATTGTTTACCGTATGTAGTACCGGTGCAGAAGGCTGGTAGCTTGACTGATGGAGTACTAGCTGGGTGGTCTTGGTCAACAGTGGCCTCGCATTGTGCGACAGTAACGTGACTATTGTGTGACTTTCGAGTGTAAAATGAAGTCACGGTGGCGATCGCGAAAGTTTAGTGGACGCGTCTGCTCACAAAGAGATTTATAGTCCACCAAGTCCACACCATCCAGACATATAAATCCAGTGCTCAACATGCAATCTCTCATCAACTCATCCCAATCCCAAATTCACAACGTCCTTCACTACACCTGTCCCAATGGCTTGTCCCTATTCCCACTACCAATCGTTCCCCTTCGCTCTTGATCCTTATGCTCTCCAGTATAACAGAGAGCGACGTGAGCGCGCACTAGCTCTGTACCTACAGCAGCGGCTTGGGAATCAGCCTACCCCGAATGCTCTCCATGCACAAGAGTACGATGAGTCTCCCAACCAGACCCGCATGATGCGAGACGCACCACATACCCGTATGTTAGAGGATGAGGATTTCGACACCCAGTTCCCGTTCGACGGCGACAGGGCCCGCCAGCAGGCTGAAATACAACAGGCCAACCGTGCCATCCGCGATCAGGCTGTTCGTGAGCACGAGGCCAGTACCCGAGAGTGGCACAATTTTGTTGCTTTCCAGGCTCACCTCGAGGAGCAACGACTCTCTGCTTGCAGCCGTTTAGATGCTGAGAACTTCCTCGCGGAAACAGTTGGTCCTGTATGTTCTCACATATTCGGTCACTCTGCTCCATATGACTTACCACAATTCAAGGTCCCTGTCCAAGACGAACCCTCGCTCAAGGACATGATCTCTTCCCATCTTATGGAACAGCACCGTCTTATGGCGGAGCACCGGTCTGAAGTGCGCGATGCGCTCCAGGCGATCCTTGCCCGTCTCTCTAAAGGCACTACAATCAAAGCTCCTACCGAACTGAACACGATCCCGTAACATCCTCGACTGCCATCTCTACGTCGGTCAATGTCAACGAGGAGGGACCCACAACTTCACAAGAGGGTAAAGGAAAATCCAAGGAGATTGCTGACTCCGACACCCAAGAAGAGCCTTCTGCCTCGCCAGCTCAGGTCACCTCTTCCCTCTCCCAGATCTCCTCCGTAACCGCTCGTCTCGAGACCCTCCTTGCTGCCTTCCAGTTCCCTGCCGAGCTTGATTTCTCTCCTGCTCTCGGCAGCTGCCGATGTATTTGCATTGACCTACACGCCAGTCAACACGCCAGTTCGCGCTCAAGAGCATGCACTTTCATTGCTCTTCGCAGATTTGGACAAAATTCCCAGCTTTGGGTCAGATGTAGTGAGGAACGCAAGGCGCGCGGTTGTGACTCGCGTGGATCAAGCGCTTGCAGAGCTTGATAAAGGTGTGGAGGAGCGAAGGGGCCGTGCTCGTGCCGAGGCAGACCCGGTTACCATTCCTGTCGAACAGCTTGCTCACCTAATTGGTGACGACCCCTCAGAGCCCGGGAACGTTGCCTCTGCGGGTGTTGCCCTCACCCAAGTCTCCGTTGCAGATGAAGTTCCCATTTAGACCTGCAGTCCAAATCGCTACTTGATACCATTCAATTTTTATTTTGCCTCGATGTTTTCTTTACATTTCACTTATGTTCCGCGTCTTATACTTTGTACATACTCCATATTCGTTCATAGTTACTCGATTACTGTACTCTAGTATGTATAATGAGTCAAACCAAGTTGCCAATGCACGTATTTTGTACAGTATTGTCGAGCTGGAGTGAATCCCAGATAACGCATATTCGGGGATGATCACCCCAGTGAGTAAAAAACTCTAGCACTCTCCTTAAGGATAAACAATCATCACCCAACACATATAGTAGGATACTGTATTTATCACATCTTTAGGCTCGCGAATTTCATGACCGTTTCTCAGGAAATCAGCTCGAATGCATTATATATACGATTTACCGCCACAGTACAGTGTTCATCGCAAACTCTTATTTCGTTGAGCTGCAGGCGGCCCGAGACTATCGATAGGAAGGACGCGCTGGCCGGCTAGGTGACGTAGAAATACTCTTTATCAAACAAATATGAGTCACGTCCAGTCAAACTGCCAAAAGAAAATCAGCGGAAAATCGAAAGCATGCTCAAAGAGACCGAATTTAGACAGACCACTAACCAGTCCAACTGGAATCGCCCGTAGGTTCTAAGAATATTCAATGATGACAATTTCAAAACAGATACAGGTGGTACGTTTCATACACGTCACTCTTCACAAATTCAATGGCGATACTTGGAAGGCGGATCATCGTCAGTGCAGCAGGTCCAGCATTGGCCCACAATGGTAGCTGTCGACCCATATGGGCAGACAATAGGGGATTGAGCGCAAACATCCATGCAGGTTCGGAGGTCATCGGTGGCAGCTACGTTCACCCCAGCGAAAGTGGCAAGGATGGCGAGGTAGACGAATTGAATAGACTTCATGGTACCTGTCATAACCATGCCTTAGTGATAGCACTGAGCACTAAGAAACTACCCACCAATAAAAGTTTGGTGGTGAGATACGCAGAGTTGCTATGACAGGTATTAGAAGAGCTATATGTCGGTTTCAGTGATATGCGGATACTGCAGCTCGAGAGAGCTACTCACTGCAAACGAGGTGCTCGCTTCTGAGGCTGTTTCAACTCGACCACGTTGGATTTATGTTGTTCTTGATGTTGGAACTAGAGCGATGGGCCGACTTCCGGAGGGTGTTTGCACCCTACAGTGAGGCATTTGCGAATTCAATGATATGACGCAGGGCACAGGTGCCTTGTAGACTAGATAGTACTGTCCAACATGGGGTAGATTACCCCAACTGGACATGAAACAAGATTACACCGACAACTAACTGAAGGCAACATTCAGCATTAGTAAATTACCATTACAACGTTTCTTTAATGTCCGTGGAGGGGTGTGTCCTAGAGAATATTAGTACGTTCAGTGGTGTGCTGGATGTAGTGAATTTCAGTGCCAGCGTAGTCTCTTGAGTGTCCTAGGACCTAGACAGACCAAAGACTATGGTGCTATCGCTGGAATTTGTCACAAATGAAACAATTGGCCCACTTGTCACTACACATGAATATATATGAAGACCTACAGGAAGATATTCGCTCCTTCTGATTAACCCGCAATGGACAGTTCTGCTGCCAGTGATGAGTCTATATGTCACGCCACAACATCCAGAATCCTTCAAGTATGGATGACGGCCAGCTAGACTCCGATTTGAATGTAGACACCCCCGCGACCTCGGTCACTTGCCAGCGTGGTGCCAAGGGTCACAGCCATAGGTGGTTGAACAGTTCTCAGCCAGGACCAGTATGTACTGTAACGGTTTTCTCTCCACACGGAGCTCCGAAATCAAGGTTGTAACCTCAAATGGTGGCAAACTCACAAAGGCTACAGGGAGACCCCATGCATATGACGCGGCAATTACGTGGGTAGAATGTTATTATGGGTTTATGACTCTGCTCTCTCTTCTTCACTGCTGAGAAGCTGTATTGCTTCCTCGCTAGATTGATCTCTTGACGATCTTCTCTTCTCACGGAGGGTAATTCCCTCGATACAAAGTTAAATATAAAGAGCAGCTGACCGCATGTCGACTAGTTCCGTTCCTGTGCGTCGAGGAATTGACTGTGGGTGTGCACTATTCCAGACATGGATCCATCCAGAGCGATGATCTGAAATGAATGTTGTGCGAGGTGAGCGCTCGATGCATCGTAGAGCTTGGTGTCGTCAGTGCAACTCCTCGCGGCGATCTGAAAGAGCTTACTGGAGTGACTAGCAGCTGCTGCAATGCCATAGATTTGACTCCGCAATCCGATGGCACGACGGCATCGCTTTGAGCAGGTCAACGTCGTGTAGCATCTTGAGCGAATGTCATAAGTTGAAGAATGTGAAGCGATAAGTAGGAGACCTATGACATGGGTAGCATAGTTAGCTGCCTGCTAGAATTCACCTTCCTCAATTTGCTCGGCCCCACTCTATTTGATTTCGTCTCAAAATATCATTCGCAGCTGACCGTCCTTCACTATCCGCGTCACAAATACCTCACCCTATTTCTCTAGTTCCTCGATATTTTGCAGGGCTTCTTTTGATGACTCCTTCAGAGCAGCGACGGTCAGCGATATTACTGCCCTTACATATCTGCCCTGTATTTCTGTCAGGAGCTCTATTGACCTTGACGTCTATGAGTCGGATCGAGCATCATTTTGAACGTGGTGTACATTGCTTAGAGTCGGCAAAGACTCAAAAGTTGAACAAAATAAGCTAGCGATCTGTTGGAAGTCGTCAAATGCGTCGAGCTCAAGCTTCAAGCTGACCCATAACAAAAGTTGTTTGCGTTTGTGTATTACTTACTTGATCTGCTGCTTTGAACTCAATTCATCGAAGCTCCATCGGTGTATTTAGAATCATGATGCATTAGGCTCTACTCGTTCATGAAATCCTCTGGGAGATACTCGCCCATGCCAATCAAACATTGATTTTTAGCACCAAGTTAATAGGTCGGAAATTTACTGCCGCGCTTGCAACAACATGGAAAGCCTTCCACAAACCTACGATGGATTTGCTGTGGACTGGAATGTACAAGTTAAAACCATTGCCAGACTGTGACGAAGCTGTATCCACTGATATATCGTAGCGGTCGAACTGTGAGTGCAAATCTGTCGTGTTCTTTCCGTTCACTGGCTGACTGAGCATCTAAATAGTATCGCTCCGCCAACGTCGAACCGTTATTTGCTCATGAAGCCCGTCAGTTTTTGCGTCACTCCGCTCGTGTTTTCTCATTGGAAATGTCATCATTTCATCTTAAGCTTCTCTCGGTCATCCCTATCGAGAAATGCATTTTCCCCAGGTTGAGGTCATTAACGTGGGCTCTTTCCACTGTCAAATATTTTGATCTATTCCTACCCCACACGCTGCGCCAATGTTATATAATGTCCGTCAGCGAACTGCAATCTGCTGTGACTCATTGCGCTGCTTTGGAGCTCTTATCGATCCAAACTTCTGATATGAGCGCCGCCGATGAGCCGTCCCTGCTGTCTGACGGGGTCCGTTTGTGCGAGCACCTCGTAACGCTGTCTTGTCCACCGCTCGACTGGGTAGCATGGAAGCACCTCTCCAGCCTCCCCACCCTTCTCAGTGTCAATCGAAGAAGCGCGCAATGCTCTTCCTTGGCCGTTAGAACAGTGTATCATCAATTTCTCACCATTCATTACCGTCTTCGGCCGAGGCCGAGCAACTTTTTCGTGCGCTGTCCTATTACTAATATAAATCTGGTCAGACCCTGGAAAAAATTTCCATTACTTTGAACGACAGGTATCAGGCGCCCCGGGGCAACCCTTTGGCAGTGACTCCACATCTCCTTTGCTTCATACAGTTCTGAACCCTCATTTGTGGTGATACTTTCATCTACCTTGACGATGGTTTCTCTTGGAAGCCATATCGACTTGGCCGCACATCCACACTCTGGAATTAGATAACTCGGGTCTTCGTTCCCCCCCGTTACATTCCGCGCATTAGTCACAGTACTCCGTCTACGTGCGAGTTGCAGTCAGTACTGTGGAAATTGACATTGATACTGATGGTGAGCCAATACAACATAGTTCCCTGGAAATTTTGCGGTTAGAGACTGTCCGGAGTTTTCAATAGCACATCCTGAAGCTGTTGCTCACACCATTTTCACTTGTTCACTTGCATTAACTATGTTTTCGGGTCTCCGGACGATTGGGATGAAGTCAATAAGTGTCTCAGATCTTTGAAAGCTGCGCTGCATGCAACAGGAGCTGCCTCGAGTACTTGAGCCTGGCGTATATTCCTGTTCTGGGAATATCCTGGAGTTGCTTCATTTGTTAGTGTTCGTTCATTGCCTGTCCTTTTTCGTTATGATTACTCATGTTGTAAGGTTGCAGTCACATTCCCCACCCTTTCTCATCCCAGGAGCCTTCAGGCAGCTTGACAATGACTTTCTCTTGGAAGCCATATGTAAGCATAATCTACATAAATACTGTCCGCGATACTGAAACACAAGCTTTCAGTATCACTGCCTTTTGGCGTAACAGCTAAGCGGACAACAGTCTTGACTAAGTTACACCATATCAGGTTGGTTGCACATCCGCAACCTTCATCCTTCCGTTATCTTCCGCGGATTGTCCGCAGCCGACTCGTCCACACCTGCATACGCAGTCGATATTGTGTATCTCAATATCGACCCTAATGTTGAACCAATACAGCATACCTCCCCTACACATACGAACATCGGAGTCTCCCATACCAAATGCTGAAGCTCTCGCTCGCGTCATTTTCTCATGGCTCCCTTGCGTCAATTCGAATACGTGAGTTTGCGATATATTCATAGTCGTGGGATATCCTGGAATTGAAACCATTGTGCGCAGTACTAGTCAGAGGCAGATCTAGATGCTGACGTGCAATAGGCTTGCTGGATATTTGGTATGCAGGACGTGAGGCGGGTCTCATTTAAGTTGCTAATTAGCGTGCAATATTCAAAACTGAAGTCGGACTGCACAGAATTTCCGCGCATGAAATACAGGTGATAGATAAACGGTAGTGTTTCAAACGGGCGTCTGCAAGAAAAGAGCTACCATGTCATCTTGACTGGAACCAAGTGGTTATCCCAACAGAATCAAAATATGTTATTCTTAGATTGTGCGAGTTCGAAACTTGCTGATGATAAGGATTTTTTCCACCTTGACATTCACTCATGGATGGTTTGGTCAGAGGTTCATTGATGCCTACTACGTCAAGTTAGAACCCACCGGCTGGAGCAGCCGTGGAGAAGATGAGTCCTTGACTAGTTGACACCAAGTCCCGTTCCTTTGCCTTCGCATTCTGCCTCATCTTCTGCCCAATTAACACATAGGGAACCCACCGCCTGCAGCAGCCATGGAGGACACGGTGAACATGAATTCTTGATTAGCTATCGAGTCCCGCTCCCTTGCCTTCATCTTCATCGTCTTCTGCACAATTAGCACACATGATATGAACACCTTTTCACGTATGAGATCAGCTTCAGCTTGTAAGTCCAGGTGAGCATGACACATTATCCTTCTCCGATCGTGCGTCTCAACGAAATAGGAGGGGTAGAAGCGAGCAATTATACCGGCATTAGCGTCGCTTCCATTGTACAACTGTTGGAAGATCGTCAAAACTCGTTCACATTGTCTGTAGATCGTGATGAACCTACATCAATTCCACCGCCCTGACCTTTCTTCCATAGGTACATCTCTCTCCCCTCGCTGAACGACGCAGGGCTAGATGACCAGACCTCGTAAAAAATCCCGCATCCAAGAGTTTATGGAATCCAACCTACAACGATGAGAACATAGGTGTCTTGAGCCAGCTGCGAAGGCTCATAGTTTCACCGCCTAGCGTGAGCAAATCCGGGATCATATCCCTGCGCTGCACCGTTGCCAGTATCTCCTCCCCCTGGCTAAAAACGGTCTTGAGGCTCATTCCTACCAGGCCGGCCCTGACGGTCCTGACAGAGTATCGTATGCGAGTCTGTCCACGCACTGTGGCATCTGTCGATATCATCCCATCGTGGTCGAAGTCTAGTATCGTTGTTGCACCGAATGCTGGATCTGGAGCAGCGAGTTCGGATTCGGAATTGCTGTCGATGAGAGTTAGCTGGGAGTCCATGGGATGGAATTACGCCAGACGCTATCAAAATGGAGATCTTGCCTTCTAGATAGATAGGCGCGTGTACTGAGGGTGCGCAGTTAACATTTTGGTAAGTAGCAGTGTTCTACATGGAAGATGCCGTTTGAAATGTCACAGCTTCTTCGCGTGAAATCAAAGAACACAGACAAATAAGCCGGTCGTGATGGAAAGATTCAGGAACGCCGACGTCGTATTGTCAATTTTAATAACGAGTCGATTGACAGCTTGAACAAGAGGGTACCGAAGCGAATGTAGATTTGAAGTTGGGCAGCCCTCCGTAAGTATTCGTCCAGCTCGTCATCACTGTCAGAATGAGCACGTCCCGGTTCCCAAGTGTGAATGACAGCATCGAGCGAATAGTGGAATCAGTGACAAATGATTAGCTCCTCAGTAACGATGAAGACCAAACTCTACTTTTATCAGAAAGCTTGGTCATCATTGCTGTTGGGGAGTTGCAGATTCGCTGCCGAAGAGAGAACAAGATCTACGAATCGAGTAGTTAGAGGAGAACGATGCCATGGCTTGGAATGGACGACCTTGATAAATGATCTTGATTGAGTAATTGCGACTGCCGACGGATGAAGTGCGTGAGAGCCTTTACAAGGTTGCGTTTCCAGCAGGAGAACAATAAATATCGACAGCTTGTACTGAACGGCGTGGGATCTACACAGATGGGCAGAAATATATTCCTGACGTCTACGACAGAAAGGAGAATAAAATAGCTGGTGATTCTCGTTACATACCTGGGAATAGCTGTGCACAAAGACCTAGTGTCAGTTTAAGGATACGGCAGAATCCGCTAGCACCTTTGGACCCGTCGGTTTAGAGTTGAGAGTTGACGATCTTGAAGGGCGGATATGGGTTAAAGTTGTCAGGGATAAGCAGAGAAAAAGCTCACCGACAGGCAGAGGAGGTCGGAACATGTGAGAACTTCTACTCGGTTTGTAAATGTGGGCATAGGATCTATGTAGTCGAACTGACGGTGCTAGAATTCTCGGATGCATAGATCCCGTGTTTAATTGGAACAGTTGTTGATTATTGTACCTTGAAAATGCGTGAAGACCTAAGGAGATGGCCAGAGTTAGTTCAACGCAAGTTCAAAAATACAGCAGAATGCTCACCAGCTCACTAGCACCTTTGGACCCATTGGTTTGGAATTGATGATCTTGGAGGACAGGGAAGGAACAAAGCTCATCAAGCTGCCACTGCAAAGTGAAGGATCAAAGTAATTGTGATGAAAGATGCTCACTTGACATGCAGAGAAGGGCGGAACATACTAGAGCTGTTACATGTGAACATGGGATCTACATAACGGGACAGATAAGCCCATTGTGGAGAACCCATGCTCCAAGGAAGTAGCTGGTCACTCTCACTACATACCTTGGTATAGTAAAAGTATATTGTCAGTAGTATTCGACTGATGGGCGGAAGACTCGCCTGTCCGCCTTGGAGAAAGAACGCTAGCAGTTTGTAAGAGAAAACCATAGGATCTGCATAGCCGTATGTTATGTCTCCAGGTCTAAAGAATCCCATATTCAACCGTAATAGCTGGTGATTCTCGACACATACCTGTCATAGTATATATGAAGATCCAAGAAGATGCATATCCTGATAGACTATCAAAATCTGGAGACTCCATAAATGGCTAGTTATACTCGTCATATACGAAGACCTAGGCCTTGATGAATAGAGTCAGTGAAAGTACGAGTGACCTGTACGCCAGTACCTTCCCGCCCATAGCTAGACCTATGCCGACCATTGCTACCTGCAGGAGAATCTCGTAGTTCCTATGCCATACCAATGTGGCGCAGACATCCAGGCTTCTCGCACTGTGGCGCCCTCGATAACATATGCATATGGAGGTATATGTGGAGGGAGTCGAGGAGGCGGTTGTGCCAAGGGAGTGCAGCCCAGGTAACCAATGCTGAAGGGCACGTTAGTTTAATCTGTTGATTTTGATGAGAATGAGACGCACCTTGTGAGAAAGGAAGTCTTGCACTTCCATGGAGCCGATCGTGGAGGCGCGGGCTGAAATGAAGATCAGCTCTGATTGGAAGAGAGTAGATGGGATCGCAAACCAGATATACTGAAAGTCGAGGATTTCGTAGATTATATCTCTGTTCTCTGCAATCATCCTGAGCAAGAGATACCTGGCAGATAAAGCATGACATTACTGATTACGATTATACGCAGACCTCAGGGGTTGAAGCTAAGTGCCAAAGGAGACACAGATCCAGACCAAAACACACTGAGATGAAGACGGGATGGCCAGTGGGCCAAAAATAAAATCGTACGTGCGCGCGTCGCGTCGCACGTAGAGACGAGCACTGAGAAAAGAGGCAGAAAGATAGGAGACTACTTTTCAATTTGCTGGTTTTATGAGGCGCGCGCGGAAGAAGCATCAGGGATGGAGAATCTCCACGTGAGCGCTTGTCAAGGTCTAGGCCCTGATTTGCATCCCAACGTTCTAATTTCAACGATGGATCCGCGTGAAACTCCATGTTGTATAGAAGGACTGCTACGACTGCTGGCAGATATCATCCAGGCTTTTGCTTAATACCTGCCCGGCTTTACGGTCAGACTTGCGTGCTGTTGAACGTACATCACTTACCTTCAGCTGAAACGTCACCCGCAGACAACTATGAGATTCCTGTCAAATAACATTCATAGAAGTAGGTGTCCGATATTCCCGATAATACGACAGCTGCTACCATCAAGAACGCGTTTGAGAATCAAAGAACGACCCTGCGTGCAGTCTGCAATACGACGGGCTTCTACTCGCAGATTCGCAGGTGTTACCTCAACGTGGAGCAAGTCACATGCAATAAAGACCAGAACGCACTCTTATCAGCGGGCCAGGGCCATGTTATCAAAAGACATGTTGAAGGGCTCCTCAGACGTACGTCACTTCGTCTTCCGCATACTCAAGCCCCGGCGGAGGATTTGTGAATCGCCACTGGGGAATAGAAAAACATCTGCTGAGCCTGGGCCCTACGTGCGTTTTCAAGGAAGAAGAGGCTAAAGAATAGTGCTATCTGACCTTATGGGGGATAAGGTACGGTCGTCCGATGATCAAACTGGAAATTGCTTGCCAAGGTGTCTGCTATCAAGAACGTTGGAGCATTGAAATTCGCTAGAACTCGCTGGGGGGACATAGATAGGCTCACATATACTTACTGCTCCCTGCAAAAGCAAGGTAGGCTTCTACCGAACAACTTACTACCCATTTGAAGCTGTGTTCTGGTACGGCACACGCGGCATGTGTCAATCTTGCAATATTATACAGGTACCATCAGTCCAGATTCGTCAAGAGTGTTTGATGGAAGTTGATGAACTGGCCCATATAAGTATATGCAAGTCTCGTGAGTGCACTGCCGATAAGATTCTGGATTGGCGTATGATGGAGCATAGCCCCGGGACCGTCGTAAGAAGCATCCAACGCGAACTGCCCATTGACAATGATAAAGCGACACAAGAGTCCCTTTGAATGATTAGTAGCTACCAATTATTGATAATTGTAGATGCGAACCGGAGTGAGGAACAAAAGGAATGAGAAAACAAAGAGGATGAGCTGAAATTGGTTGCAGCTGCCAAATCATTGTGTTCTTCATTTGGGCAACGTTAGGAGGCTGTTACTTGTGAGAAATGGTTTGATCACGTTGAAACGGTTATAAATTCCTCAGACCGGGCTCTGTTTGGATCCTCAGCTGGCGTCCCTCAGTACAAGTATATCTCTCCTAGTCCACGATAACTGCCTTGAACGATATGTCTGTCCCAATTCACAGTATTCATTCAATCCATGGCACTTTCGCAGGCGTATCGCCCTACACTACATTCTCATCGAACGCTGGCGTTGTAATTGAAGGCTCTCCAATGGATAAAATTCCACCAGGCCTTGCCAGAGTTGCATGGCGCTCAGCGCCTGTATCACTCCCTAGCACAAGCTCTCGTCGTCTCCCATCCTTCCCCGTAGCTCGTCGTGTCCCTCCACCACCACCTCGCGCTATCGCACCACAGACTATCCCCTTCCCCTCGGAAAACCCATTTAATGACTCAAATGCATGCGTCGCACCCATACCACAGCGACCCGTTCCCCAGCGCACACACCTCGCTTCACAATCATACACTGTCAGACTCCCCGGCTCAAACCCAATCGACGTCCTCGTTCGTCAGCGAACTGCACAGCGGGCCGCACAGGAGCGCGAAACCCGATGCAGGGTCGTCGCAGGTATTTTGCTGAACAGGGTGCATGCTGTGGGGAAACCTATGCGTCGGCTGCCTCCAAGTACAGAAGCGCCTCGGGCATATAAACGGAGCAGATTATCAATGATTACTACTGCGGAAGAAGTCTGGTATGTGGATTCGCACCTTCTTGTTATTATTAGCGCTTATATGGAGCCTTGTCCTTGTCAGTTGAGTGTTTCACTGGAAGATATTGATTTGTGGGGCTGTAAATTTCAAACATATGTTTTATGTGTTGTATAACAAAATATTAATGGACAACTGGGACTCGGGAAACAATCCATGACGAGAATTAATGCACGGCCGAGCATACTTGTTAAACTGAAAACCGAGCACCGATATCGAACCGTTTGAAAGCCTAGAACACAGCAGAAAACTAGAACAGTTTGACTAAAATCCTCGGTAAACCCCGGAATCAGAACAGCCGAACTAGCTAGCCGAATGGAAGCATGATTGATTCCCAAGGGATTCCATCCAATCAGAGTGTCACTAGCACACTGCCTTAGCACGCGTCACAACACGAGTAGATGTGGACTTGATGGGTTCACCAACGCTGTTCTAAGCACCCATGTCGACCATGACATCGTTCCTCAGCTCTCATGAATGAAAATCTTAAAAATTCAACGCTACATGTCGCGCCCGTGCGCTCGGAGACAGCTGGCGCCCACCGTGGCAGAATCTGAGCTTCTCTCGGCACACGCTCTTCAGACTGTGCACACACCGATAAGTACAGCTCATACAGCGCCCAACCTAAACCGGCTGTCCTCACCGTAGTACTGTCCCGAACATGAATTATTCATTAGCTACGGACAGCCCGTTTAACACTGCCTTGTTGTCTCCAGAGGGCCGTGCTGTGTATCGCATCGATACATATCTCAGCTCATCTACGACCACTGTTAAGAAGGTCGCTGGCGGGCAGAGTGAAATGGAGATTGGGAGAGTGGTGTGGCAATCTGGTAGACCTGGAACGGCTGTGGTGCATGGACACGAGATATACGTCAACAAGAGCAGTTTTTTCAGCTCGTAAGATCTTTTTTTCTTCGCTTTAATTCTGTCCAGTTGTCTTATTTTTCTCTTTCATCCAGGTCAAGAACGTTTACAGCATTAAATGGGCAATCGTATAAATGGACGTTCAATGAAGGATCAGCATTGGTGAGAATCATTGCAGCAGGCACCTTGCTGTCGCTGATCTTACTCTTAAAGATGGCAAGCAACGACAGCAGACAAGCCCCAGTTGCTACCTACACACCAGCAACGAGATCAAATCCTGGGCTACTACATGTAACCCCACATGGTCTAACCATCACCGGAGATGTCATTTTGAGCTTCGTCTGCGTCGAAGGCGAACGACGACACGCGATGAGGAAGAGTCTAAGATGATGTCATGCGGAGAAATTTCAAACGTTCAAACGTACTTTCGATCGTGTCATTGTGTTCATTTTTATGCTACGTCTATCGACTCTTTCATTCGTTCGACGCAGTCATGATCATGCATATGTGTGCAAGCGCTCTTTACTTTTTCCTCCTTTCCGTATTGTTTTTTTCACTGATTCCTGAGATTATAACTTCGGGTTATTGTTGGCCTAGATACTTTTATAGATCTAGAGTTACTTTGGACATTCACATGTATCATTTTGATATGGACCGTGGCACATACCCGGGGTACCTAGTATAAATACCTGTTGATGTTTGTCACTCCGTCAAATTTATAGGCTGGCGCTTGCAATTGGGGACTACATACAAGTATGGATATATATCAAGCCGCAATCCCATATTGCTGCGTACTTGTTCGCTGAGATATCTCGTGCTACCCATGCCCCTTTATATATCCTGGTCCACATGAACGACTGTCTTCTGTCTATCGCTCCGCCTACCGTAGAAGACTAGATTCACCTCCCGGAATACAAAGCGAGCTGATTCAATCCAAGCCTGTCCAATTACTAACGCCAACTTGTAAGCTCCCTACTTCCAGTCTTACGATTACTGATTTTCTTTATCATCGTGCTATAGATAAAGTTCACAAAGCACTTTTTTTTACATACACATTCACATGTTTCCTTTCAATCTAGACCGACGGGCCCAGAATCCTGGCTATCTTCTGGACGCCCACCCGGCGGGAATGCGTGCTGCTTGCTGCGTACTAGTTGTTTTGCGGGATACTTGTTCGCGGTCCGGATGTGCCACTCGATATCATGTTCCTTGTCAAACGAGTCAACGCCCGCTTTCCATCCAGCTGGTCTACTAGTAGTACCCCCCGCCATGAGCGAATTCTTTACTACGTCCTACACGGTGCACGCGCCCACCTCGCGAATGTGCGAAAGCCAGTCAACTCGGTAGTTTCCTGCTTCTGGTCTCATGAACACTGATTTTTTATATCATCGTACTATAGATAGTCTATAGTACACTTCTGAACATCCACGTGCATCATTTCGATCTGGACCATCGGGAATTTGTTGCCTGAACGTTGAACTCTTAGCGGCCGTGAGCAAAATAACAAACTCGTTAGTTTCCTACTTCTGGTCTGAATTTTTTTATGTTGTACTAGATGCTTTTGAATCCGGAGTACTTTTCGACATCCACGTGTATCATTTCGATTTGAACCATCGGGGATCAGACTATTTGTTCCCTGAACTCTTAACAACCCTCCTCGCTGCAGCGGCGCACTCATAGTTGTTTTCCGAATCTAAATCCGCGCCGCCCGATATCTTATCATGCCCCTTATCAAGCGGTTCAACGCGTCTGATGAATACTCCCGCTTACTATCTACCTCCCAGAACCGTGGCAAAGAGCGTAAGCTACTTCCATTCCCTACTAGTGCTGCATGCAACCCGATTCGCAACTAACATTACAAGCAGAATCAAATACAGAACAAGAAACACCCTTACACAGCGCCCTACCCCTCCTAGAAGAAACACAAGCAACGTTCCAGCGCCTCCGAGGAGATTCTGATTTCAGCCAGACCAATATCTTCCGATTCATCGCTCCGTTCTTCACTTTTGCATGCGTCTTAGCGTCCGTCGCCACCGCTCTCCGAAAGGATATGATGCCTTCTCCAAGCGCTGTGTCACTCGTTGAACTGAGTTCGGGTGTCTTTGTGCTGCTTCTGGGTGTCTTGGTGGCTTTGGCTATCTTGAGAGCGATTATATGGGGCGGGGCCGTGGTTATTGATGGGTTCTTGCTTGTGGATATCAGGAGCCTGAGCGTTCCGGGTCGGGAGAACAGAATATCGAAACTTAATCAGCGGAGCATCTTGTTTAGTGGATTGTTTTCTTAGGAACCCTCCTCTGCTTCTGGCACGGGTCTGACCGTCGGGACGAACGAAGAGATATTCTGGGCTGCCTTCTCGCACTAACCTGTGACCCACCGGCGCGCCTGTTGCATCTCATCTGGCCCCTTGTTTTCTGCTTGCATCATTTGAATATCGTTGGTGCATTACATATGTTAATTTGCAATAACTGTATACGGGATCAGACAATCATGATGGGACAGAAGTCTGGTTTCTCACAGTATCTGGCTGAGACAAGTATGGAGTACATGAAATTCCAAGGTTCGTTATACTTCCTGAAAACACGGAGTACAGCTGAGTGGCGAATCAGCTAGCTTAGTATGTGCGGGAGTGTAAGATAATATAAACAGAAGAATGTCCTCCTGTTCCTCTATGCTTGGAATAAAGAATGACGATATCAATGTTGATGCGGAGTTATCGCTGTCTGGCTGAACCTCCAATTGAGGCGCTTTCTAAGTCTTGTGTACCTTCTGTCTGTTCGAGGGTAGAAAATCTGCGCTCGCGTTTAGAAAGCGCCGGCCGAGTGTCCTCATTCTCCTCGTTGTCAATGGCGTGGTGACCATTGGCAGGAGGCAGAGCTCTTGATCCAGCTCGGGGACTAATGGACTTGGGTCGGGTATCAGTCTCCTTAGGCAGACTGTCTAAATCCTTCTCAGGAATCTAAACCGCGATGCCATCAACAGAGAAACGAAAAAATACAACAGGCTGGGAACGTACAGGTAATCGGACGAGGTACGCTAGCAGCGTGGAGCATGCAGCAAGCGTGAACACAGCGCGGAGACTGATGGCATACGACTCTCTTGCTGCGCGTTGCAAGTCCGGCGGCAACCCACCCACGAGGGTAGTTGAATGCCTGATCTGACTCACGATCTAGATGAAGAAATATAGCGTTGGAATGTACTGCTTAAAGGGCAGAAATTCACCTCTGCTGCGCCATCACCGTGTATTCTTGATCGAAGCTCGTAGTCGAGTTTGTATTGGAATAGCGCCGATGAAATGGCAACGCCCCCTACTTGACCTACGGGAGCAGTTAGCATCGATGACAAGAAGCCGTACGAGCGACTTACCCATGCCTCTGAAAACCTGACCAAAACCAGTGCCAACGGCCATCGCGCTCTCTGAATATGTTGCATCATTAGCAACTTCAGCACAAGAGCCATAACTACGTACCGGGGAGATGTGCGAGCAGGGCAACTGATTATTTGTGTGCGACATAATTAACCATCTAAAGCACAGCTGATTACCGACATCCCACACACCAAGATTTGTCTGTAAAACGACGGCGTTACCAAACCCGAGCGGGACCTGATATGTCATTATGATTCATACATCAATCGAAAAATACAAGGTAGCGCTCACAATGCTCAGCCACATTTGCAATGGTCCGGAGTCCTCCCGCATCAAAGTGATGAGAGTGATCCCGATGAATGGAAAGAAACCAAAAATAAGGTTGATGAGTTTATACTTCCCGGTGCGGTGCATCATCCATCTAGCGCTGATGTGAATAAACAAAATGACGACGACGCATTGACTAACCCGGCAAACAAAGACCCAGCGGACATGCATACACTGTTTGGCATCAGATGCAAGCCTATCCATAATCCAGACTGCGGTTAATGCTAAATTAAAACGGATCAACATCAACATACCCGCAGTTGATGCACTTGTGAGGGCCACCGTCTGAAACCACGTCGGAAAGAAATACATCACAGTGAAGTTGCACAATGCTACAAGGAAGTTGTTAGCTCCAACAAGAACAGGGACCTTCTGTTTCAAGAGGAATGGTGCCATGATAGGCTCTTGGGCAACCAACAACTCTACTAAGATAAAAACTACAGAGAAAATGCAGGCGAGAGCCAGCGGCACGTATACCCATCGATCCGACCACTGGCCAAGGGTCAACCAACTAGACATTTCAAGTGAACGATCACTTACTGGGAGATCCTCGTTGTATTTCATACTCAAGAATACCAAGCATGATCCAACCTGCAAGGAATTAAGAACAGTGTACACATGATAGTATCGACTCACAGAGAGTAAAAGGGAAAAACTACCGCCATAATCTATCCTCTTCAGAACGTCCTTGGTGTTTCTGCTTTTACCCTAACATTATATGAGCAGGTGACAGCTTTAGAATATTCTTCAAGCGCTCACGGGAGTAACGTATCGCAAGTTGTAGGTCGTAAGAGCGAGCGACAATACAAATAAGGGCATTTGAATCAAGAACGCCCATCTCCAACCAAACCTAGAATGCATGGTAGACAGGGGCAACAAGATAAGGCGCGCGCGCTTACCGGTCACTTATGAGACCTCCTATGGGTCCTCCTAGACCCATGCCAAGCTAAATATAAGTAATAAGTTTCCGGATTCAAAAGTGATGGAACCAAACGAACGCCATTGAACACACTTTGTACCCCTTGTGCAAGCCCTCTCGACTATAGGTGTTCCTGAGATAACGATAACGGGAAGGCAACGGAGTAGAACGCACCCGCATGGAATACATATCACTCGTAGTGATCCTGAATTCGTCATGGTCGTGTTTAGTAATGAACTGAATGGTTTGGCTGATATTGGTCTCACGTGCAGGTCGTAACAATACCACCACCTCCCATGCCAGATAGCTGTAGGAACATGTCACAAAAGAGTGAAATGAAATTGATGAAGGAACGTACAAATCGCGCAGCAACCAACATCCACATGTTCGTAGAGAAGCCACACAACAGGGTACCCACTGCGGTAATACAGACGGCCAACTGGTTTGCACCCCGTCTCCCCATGATGTTGCATAACCGCCCATATAAAGGTGTAAAAGTACAGACAGCGAGCAAATATCTAAGAAAAAGTTCAAAATAGAACTTCGAACAGAAGAATCCCGTATTTACGATGTACCAAGCCAGCTAGCTTCATGTGACTTGTTAAAGTCAGAGGAGATGGATGGCAGCACTGTGACAGAACTGTCAGATCAGTATTCGGATAAATGCGACAGTCAAAACGCCGTACGGGTGGCGACTAGGGTTGCTGGATATGTTTTGGTAAGAGTTACGACTCATCAATTGAAATAAAGACATTGTTCAACGTACTGTTCAAAGACTATCAAGCAGTCAGAAAATCCAGAAAAATTGCTGGATGAAAACTCACTGAAAGGAAAGTTGCAGACCACAGACCAACTAAAATTCCGTAACGCGTCGACCTTGAAATGTCCCGAGGGCCACTGGGTGGGCGATGATCTTGTATTGAATTGCGTCCATTCACGATCAGCGGATCTCTTTCGGTCGCCATTTCGTGAGTACGTAGTTGGGGTCAGAAGTCAAGAGTGCCACGGAATCAATTCCACTCGGAAGCGTTCTTAGAGATCGGACTTGTTTCCGACTCGGAGCAGGGAGTCCGTGGGGGAATGCAATGACGGCATTTGGACACATGTCGGATAAAACTATAACTGGGCCATTGATTGTGATTGTGATGCCGCCGGATTACAAGTTTAGCTAGCTCCTTCAAAGTGTCTTAGAAGACCTTACATGCAAGACTACAAATTTAGTGCCGCGGTGGCCTACGTCAACGTAAGACGTTAAAGGCTTATGGCCCATTAAAAGATTACCGTACCCCATATGTTGGCCCTTAAAATGCTTTCGTAAGGCCGGAATCTTGATCACGTGAGGTCCGTTTCATTGGTCATCATCGCTGACAGCTACCTCTAACCAACAAACAACGATGAGCACACCAAGATTTGCACTTTCGGTGCTCGCTAGGGCGTCGACATGTATGCGACATGCCGCAGACAATTATATGCGCTCTGGGATAGTCTCAACGCCGATAGCAAGTTTGAAGACCGGCTCCGCCCTGCATAAGACGCGGTCATTCGCATCCTCCTCAATCGCGCGTGCAGCCCCCCCGGCACCCGCTCATGTTCCAAAGTCCACCGCATCTATATTTTTTGCTCCAACTCCAGATGAACTAAAAGCACAGGAGCTTGACTTAGATATAATACCCGAAGAGGATATCAAGCTAGAACTTACAAACCGAGCTGCGGAGGTGTGTTATGTGCTTCTAATCAACTCTTAATGTCTTCTGAACTGCAATGGAACCGAAGCAACTGAAATCTATAGCTACCCGAGAGCACCGCCCCAATGCAGGTCTGCGCGTTGCAGTGGAGTCAGGAGGATGTCACGGCTACCAGTATACAATGGAGCTTGCTTCTGAACGACATGCAGAAGACTAGTGCGTTAACAACACAATAGTTGCGTTATTTCTAATCGGTATCCCCAGCCATTTCACACATCCCGCTATAACTCCATCAAATATCTATATCGACGCTGTCTCACTCGGACTTCTCAATGGCTCTACAATAGATTTCGCTACTGAGCTCATCGGGAGTTCGTTTCGCATCGCGGCGAACCCGCAGGCGAAGGGTGGATGCGGCTGCGGCATTAGCTGGGAGATGAAAGATTAAACTTGTATGAGACGGAACACAGTTACCATGCAAGGATATTACAGGCGTATACTAGACGTATTCATGCAACTCACATCTCTTGTACGCCTACTGCTCCATCACTGTAACTGTAGCTGACGATTTGATTTTCGCAGATGTACTGTCATCGTATTGCCAATCTACTTAATTTGCTCTGAGCTGCATACCACCACGCCCGGGGCAAATTCTACAATACCTGATAGTGTCATAGAAATTAAACAAGGATAACTATTCCCGCAAGCGACGCCAGCTCGCCACAATTCTGGCGCTATACATCAATGACGTTGGGACGCACAGGTAATAGTCGAGAGAAGTTGAGGAACGGAGCGCCTTTGACTGAATGGTCGGCTAACATACTATTAATTATCCGTACAATTCTGGGCGATGAGTACATCACCTGATGAAAACTGCTATCGGCAAAAACCTTTCTTGTCTTCCATTTCCAAAAAAAATGGACCAACGCAACTGGAGGCGTGGGCTTCAGCTGGATCTCGGCAACATAATTGACGTTCAGCATCACATCTTACGGGAGCAATGCACGCCTTCAATTCAGTTGAAAATAGTAGCGCGACACTGAAACGTAAACTTCAGCTGTTCAGCTGTCTGTTCCGGTCTGATGCGACATCGTCGGTTGGTGATGTGCGGGGGATTAATAATAGACGGGCACTGTCAATCTGTCCAAAACTTCCGTCTCGCCGGAAGGTCGTTTCATTATAATTAATACTATATTGCCTTGTACGCTTCCCATGTAAGGTTAGAGACTGCAGTTGAGATCGAGGGTAGAAATCTTGTGGAGGCTATCGAATTCAAAACCGCTTATGCTTGTGTATCCATCCTCCTGAGGCCAAGTTCAGGGCTGCCTAAAAAGGTACGTAAATCATCATGACGTTTGTTGTATCTAAGTACAGGCTCTCTCCATGGTACCGGTTCTGAGTTCCTACAACTTCAGTCTCCGCGGCTGTGCAATTACAGCACGACACATGGTAGTGAAGGTTTGCAACACAATCATAACAACTTATCAGTGCCTGTCAGGCTTTCCTCGAAATTACTGACGCAGTCCAGGCGATTGCTCAACTGAACCAGTCAAAGTAACGGGGACCCCATTAATGACTATCTGCTGTCAGCTCGGCTAGCCGGCAGTTCACGGACGTCCTGAGATGTGTACATGTGAATGGAAACATTGAATGTTGAGTAGGTTTACGGATACGGTTCCCCAGGATAAGGCTCAGCGCCTACGCCTACAGAGTTCGTACCAGCGTTTCCTTTATTAATACTAACCTGTCAAGCGAATGGTGAAGTACTTTATGCAAACTCTAACTCAAGATCGACTGGCGGCCGCACCTTAACGTCAGTTCCACCGATGGCAAAGACCAATTAACCTGCTATGCCCAAATACAGTCCACCACGTGCCCTGACCACACGACGGCTGCCTACGTGGACTAATCAATTTACGATAAATTTCAAGGGGGGAACAAAGTCATTACTTCACCAATGAAGTACCATATGGCATTGTATAAACTTAATCTGACGACAGGAATGACAGACTGCGGTTGCGATCTGGAAAAAATACTAATTTCCGTTTGACTATCGTGCGCCACGATGATTTGACTCCTGGCTCATCATATTTGGTCAAGGGACCATGAGGATCATCATGTATGTAAGTGGCCTGAATTTTATTTTGCTCTTAGGTTTCATTTGCTGACTCGGCGAGCTACGGCACACCCCAATCCTATTCAGTTGCTCCATGCAACGTTCCTCGATCGGACAAATTTTAACAAATTCCAGATCAATCGATATTCAGTTACAAGAAAGCGGACTGTACACGTATGTAGTCGATCCCGATGTTAGGTGATACACTATAGATAATATGACACATGGAATAATTAACGAAAGGGCTCTTTGGCCTTGGCTCTAAGAATTAAAGGCGCGGAATAAGATATTCACAATGATATCCGGCGCTCAGCGGTGCCCGGCCTGCTCGCATCCGGGGCAGAATCTATTGATGTTGGGGGCTGTCATTTCTGCTGTCAGATACAACGGCGAGGATAGCAATCGTGAGCTTACAATATTGCTGAGGGTACTGGCGACTAATGATCGGACGAGTCGTCAGGGTGGCGGTGATATCCGAAATGCGAGTGGAGCGGGAGTGAAAAAGTTTCATCATCATGCAAGTCAGTCATCGTGATCGTAAATGAGTCGTGTGTACGTACTACTGGCAGCACGTCTGCTTGCACGAGGGCGGAACGCAGGTGGCAGGATGGTTAGGGCTGAACCTGCATTTGGAACTGTCACAGACGATCTGCAAAAGCTTTAGACGTTGCTTGTATCGTTGTGCTGTGATGTCTCACCAATTCATCCGGCTGGCGTAGGAAAGTCGTTGGTGTTAGCCCCGTTACTGAGAGTCATCTGTGTGATGCTTACGAGGTTGAAAGCGTGTCCACAGCGAAGGTAAACGTTGCGAACGCTGAAGAGAGGGTCAGTAAAACCACAGGGGGATTTTGGGACTGCACATACTGTCTCCAGCAGCACATTGTAGTGGTTGATAGTGGTTGAGAGTGGTTGGTGAATAGATGAGTGTTGTAGAAGAGATCTAGTCGATGGTGGGTGATCCTTGACAAAGATTCGCCTGCCCTTTTATCCATCCCCCAATAGGCGGCTATGTAGCATACACGGCAATGAAACGAACGTAGCGTGTCTGCTCAGGGTGCTAAAGCGGATTATGCATTTTTGAATTTGGTGGCTCATCTGTGCACAAGGAGAACTTGAACAGGTTGCCCAGCCATCCAAAACGAGAGGTGTCGCCGTGCGTCATTTGATAGCGTTTTCGCAGGACCTTTTCTCGAGAACGACTAATCGTATGAGGAACAAGGCCCAGACGGGTACAAATTTGAACCCGGGGATCAACTCCAGATTCGGCCACACCTGCGGCATGAAGTAAGTAAAGTTGGTGACACCATATATAAGGCTAAATTGTATACTGTCAATACCTGAAGAAAGTTAAACTACTTGATTTGCAGGAATGACTACCCTGGTATAACAATTGAAGAGAAAGCTTGAGCTGCACGCGTGAATTTGGAAGATGTCGTACTATCGGTGACCCTCTGTTGCCGGCATTCATTGAAGATGCACTCAGGCTGTCCCCTGCATTTGACTGTAACGGGACCACAGATGAAGAGATGCTGAAAAAATAGTCACATAATCCTATGAGTCGTTTCCATTGGAATATGGCTGTCTACCGGTTGTCTACCGGTGATGTTAGTTGCTTTGCGCCAATCTCCTGTTGCTTCATATGATGAACAGACACTGTGACAAAGGATAATTAATAGCTGGTACCCGGCGCTTCAAAAGGCGATTGATTGCGAGAAGGTTGTGACGTTACTATCTTTCTGCTGAGTCATCGGTCCGAATCCTTTTCAAGTCGAATCCACTTGAACGCCTCCTTGTTCTGCGCCTTCGTTGACACGGGAAACCCATGTTATGACGAAATCAGGACCGCCTGTCGTGACACCCCCATTATCAACATTGAAGCAGAAGAAGAGGAAAGTTTTTCATGAACACGGCAAGGTAGGGCGCTCGTTCTGACACAACGCTTCCATTATTCGATCTTCGGCCAGAGATTATCTCATGAAAGTCTTTACGGTTAGGATTCTTTGGAGCTAGCGGTGTCAATCGGCAAGACACAGGAGGATAAAGCGTTGCTTAAGGCTGAGAGACATCATCAACCGCAGGTGGGTACATCACGTTCTCAGCCTGCAAATTCCCCGATACATCCCTCTCTCATCATAAATCATTCCGATTCTTAGGCTGGTCAGCCCCGATCCGTGCGTACACATCAAAAAAGCAGGACAAAAAAGAAATTGGTAAATCATCAAAGACTGTGCGTGGTGTGCAATTATTTTTTACACGGTTTCTAGGAGCAGGTAAAAGCTACCATCGCGAACCAGCGGGCTCGGCTGAAAAGGGAGAAAATAAAAAAGCGCAAAGAGCACCCGGGGCCCGCGGTCCATCAAAAGTCAAGCCCGTCAGGTAACGCACAGGATCGTGTGCCTCGCAAGAGGGTGTCCTTTGCTTAGGCTTTGACGTATATTTTACATTTTTCTCGATCAATCAAGTGCAGTAACAACATCTGATCATCAGCCCGAGTGTCTCACCGTCGCCGCTCGTTAGCATTATGGATTGATACCGCTGATTAAAAAAAAGGTTGGGTTCGGTGTGGCTGGCGTCATCAAGGAGCCGATACTCGTTAGACTTAAATGTCTCCTGTATCGCTTGTGTGACCATTGATTGTGGTTGTGGGTCACGGCGTTCAGGACCGCTATATTTATCGCGATCGATGTAAACATAAATGACACTTAGTTGAACTGAGTAATTCAAGTTGTCCAAGTTTAAGTGAGAGCGAGAAGGACGGGGCAATATTGCTAGAAGCCGAGAGTCCTATGTTGACTGCGCTGCGAAGCTGTGCATGTTCCAACTTTACACGAAGACAACATCCTGGTCGAGAATGGCCTTCAGGACTCTATTCTGGTGCACGCCTAGAACCGAGGGGAGATGTTTTTGAACCCTGCATTTACCCACAGAATGTTGAAAAATTAGATATTTGAGCTGAGTTTGAGCCCCGAGGAAGAACCGGGAATGGGCGCATGTAGGCATATTCGAGGTACAATTTCGGCGCCAACCGTAGGACTCTTACCTAACAACAGTTATCCTTTGGTGAGTGGAGGGTTACAGAAACCTAACTCCACAACTCAGGCACCTACACACCAATGTCAGGCTGTCACTCACTGTCAGTGTCCGTTCCATTATCCTGGGATAGATTCTGACTCAGAGACTCTAGTACATGCGCTGGAGAGAATCTGGGCGATGATCAGCGAGTTATCTCGTAGATAACGAGCTCCGCTAAGGTAGATATGTTAGGTCAGGGATCGCGACCTCAGATAAGTCGATATATTGAATTCTCGGACACGCCGCCAAGGGTAACCAACCTGTGGGCCGTATAGGATAAACTAAGATGAGTCGCAGGACTTGCATTGATCGGTGCGCCACTGTGGCGGCGGCGTCAATTAGCCGCACCCTTGAATAATCACTCGAGGACACATTGGAGAAATTATCAGCATTGATTAGAGGTTATATTTCCTACTGACTGTGTCAACATGCTTGTTCCAGCATAATGAGGCGGTAAGGTGTGAGAGCTGCAAGGCTCACAATGGATCATTGCGTGTTTTATGTGGCACTGTCTGCAAACACCATGAGGCAACGCTGATGATGCAAGCAAACTTTCGTGAGTATGTAGGGCGGTGAGACGCACTCACCTTGAGCAGTGTTCACGAGTGGGTGTGTGCTTGTCTGTGCTGATGGGCTTGATCCTGTATAATTGTAATAAAGGAATTCGGCGGCCTGACTGTGGCGGGTGGTTCTGAGGGTGTGGATTTTCAAAGTCCGCTGGGCCGGATGTGGCATGCCTCTCAGATGTTTGATTCACTTGCGCTTGCCGCCTCCAACTTGTCTTCAAACTTGCTAGCTGAGGCACATCGAGCGAACACAACGACGCAACACCGACTGGCGAATATTTAAAGGGAAATCAGTTTGGTCCCCTTCTGAATGTTGGCGCACTCATTAGTTTGTGATACTTTTATTACGGACTCAAATTAGTCTCACTAACATCAATCAGAACATTCAATTTGACGGTGCTTTATAGTAGCAATGTCGCTTTATACACCAGTATTTCCACCGTCTCTCGAACGCAGATCAACAGGGCGTAAGGGCGCGTCCTCATCCAATAAACTCAATCAGCTGTCCACTGCCGAGATTCTACGCGACATTCATCTTTTTCTTGCCACCAAACCTGAGGTACTTGCACCGTTGTCAAGACCCAGCTCTCCCTCGTTCGACAAAAAAGTTGAAAATTTGAAACACACTGTCCTCGAGGCAGTTGACGCTGCAAGAGGGGACTCAGGGGACAGGAAATGGACCCAGGTCAGCGCGAAGTTGAAGATGGGTTGTGTCAGGGGACGCTATCGTATGACTGGGTTAAACCAACACTGGCATCCAGCTGAGAACGCAGAATGGATACTACCAGATGACGAGGAAACCTGGTTGAAGCTAGAGAAAGAGAGGGCAGAGGCGAGGTCGTCGAAAAGGAATGCCAAGCAATCTCGTCATCCCGACAATTTATCGACTGCAGCAGTCGCGCCATTCCGCGGATCAGATCTAGCTGCCAATCAGCTGCCAGTAGAAATGATTCAAGCAACGGTCTCGCCCAAAACGATGGAGAATGTCAAGGAGAAGGTAGTAAAGTGGCAAGCGACGATCTCCACACCTGAAGGCGTGTCGGTTACCGAAAAGACCGTGTCTACTACCCCAGCACTCAGGAGTGCTTCCAAGTCAGGGATGAAACTAACAGCATTGCCGAAAGATAAAAGCCAATCCTCGTCGCTTAGTTTTCCGGTCGTAAAGCGCAATGTTGCAACCGTGACTGGTAAGAAGAGTAATAAGGGACGCTCAGATAGACATGCTCCCCCTAATTTTCGGGTCCACGGAGATCCAAAAGGTGACCATACTGCCAGCGGCTCCAAATTACCAGCGGCTCCTAGCGGTGACGGGCCAGAAAAAGCTAGCCTCAAGACCCCAGTGAGGTCCTTGCATGCTCCCGATAGGGATTTGCCCAAGATTACAGACTTTCCAGAAACGGTGAGTGCGAAAGTCGGGTTTTTGTTTCTTATCGAACTCATCAGCCTTTGTTTTACGTTGTCTTTAGTCGTATATTCCTCCATCCTTCCCATCAGAGCTTGAAACTTCGACTCCACAACCACGGCATGACGCCGCGGTGCCTGTCCGGATAAAGCCCCCGCCGATTTACCCTGTATGTCCATCATCATCTCTTCCACATCCGTCTACTCCCAGAAATGGCGATCATAATCATCTCGGCGAAGATCCTTATACTGTTGATATATCCCCTTCGCTTCCGCTACATTCCGACGGGCGACAAATAAACAAACGCTCTCTATCACCGTCTTCTTTGCATGATATAGTATTTTCCACTTCGAAGAAGCAACGGTTACGGTCCCCCCCTGGAGAAAATTCAGCCTTCCGCTCTCGACCACCGACCCAATCGGCAAATGTGCCAGAGGTAACGTCGAAACGTGCAGTTATGCCAGCCTCCCCTCGTGGTGAAGGTAGACTTCCTACTCTCACTGAATTGCTGGCAGCTACCCCTCAACCGAAGATACGTCAAAGGCCTCCTTTGCAAAATATACTTCGCGCCGAGAGTGAGCCTTCACCACATGCCGCCAAGGAAAACCCTTCGCCTGCAAAGTCCTACTTCTCAACCCCGGGTTCGGGGCCAGTCTGATTCCCCTACGTCCAATCACAACCTCCTTCTTCACTCGCCTGTCAGCCCAATGCGGTCATTTGCTCAAAATCCAGACGCATTTCTCCCGCAGTTCACCTCCACCCAGGCTGGAGGTTCGTGTAACAACGGGATGAGTAGTGGCGTCTTTGGAGGGGGCTATCGCTCCCAGTTTGATGTGGAAAAACACGTTGACCGTGTTAGCGAATTATTAGAGAAGGACGTGGATTTTGGTGGATGGTTGCGCGATGTGCCGTCAGTGGAAGAACCGGAAGCCAGCCAGGAACAGTGATTATCACAACATAGCCTCAGGCAATACCCGCGAACGTGCAAGCTGCTGACCAGTTGTACTCCACTCTTGTGTATTTTAGTCGCGACTTGTTGCTTTACTAGGAATAAAATCATAGTTTCAAATCGAGCCTGGGCCCTAGAAGGAAGGTTGAAGGGAAGAATGCATCCATCATTGCCTTGAGGCAGAATGAGATACCGAACTTCCATATTGGGGACGCGTCTTGATCACGTGGGTGTAGTATTGTTCGATAACAGCGCGTGTTGCACCCAACCACGACCACGACCGAGACAGCCACAGAGCTTGTCCTCGTCGCCGCCCACGATGAGCAGACGAGACTCACGCCTTTCCCTTAACGTCCGTCAGAACGATGCTCTTAGTGAATTTGAAAACTGTATGTCATTTATGTCGCCCTGGGTCCGACTGACGTCTGTGGCATTCAGTTAAGAAGAAATTCCTGCTTGCCAATAAGCACATCACCAAGTAGGTTGCCCTGTCAAGTTTGACCTAATTCAGAAACAGCTCACTGTATGATACCAGACTTAATTCGACTCTCAGCGTCCGTATCGAGGAACTTAACGCTCAAATATCCACCCTATACGTCGAGAACCTCCGACTACGAGCATCCGAGATTGCGCTCACGGCACAACTGAAGAAAGAGCAGGAAAAGTCCAGGAAAATAATGGCTGATGCTGATGCTGCGGTGAGTGTTCCATACCCCGAAGACCCACCTGCCGTCGCTGAGATCCAGCTAGACTGCTAATTTAGTCAAACATCTGACTTTTTTGCGGCAGTCACTTGGTATTGCTCCCGGGGTAGCTTCTCCCGCCAAACAAGTCAGATCAGCATCCAGAGCTCGTCGACCGTTCGTAGATCCCAATGCGTCACCACAAATGCCCAAGCTTTCGCGTGCGCCCAACATACCAGGCATATACGAAGACGAAGAATTTGCCTCTTCTCCGGAAGGAGATGAAGAGGAGGCAGAGCATATACCTAGTCCTACTATTCGGCGAAAAACCAAGTCAAGACTCGCAGCATCCCGCTTGCCATTACCCGCCCGAGTTTCCTCGCCTCCGCCACTACCAACGCCACCGCAAGCTTCTGCAGAGGAACGAGGGTCGTCGAACAAGAGGAAAACGGGGAGAAGGGAGAGTGGGCTTCTCAATGTAAGTACGGATGGTGGTGATAGGGTAACTCCACCGAGAGCTGCAAGTCCCGCCTTTGGGTCTCCTGCTCGTAGGGAGGCTGGTTTGGCTGAGGACGACGAGGAACGAGAAGCTGTCAGGAAATCGAGACTACCACCGGCTCATGATGATGATATGGACTACGTACAACCAACAAAGAAAGAGAGGGAGAAAAAGATGAAGCAGATTGAACGGGAGCTACCATCAGAAGAGGGTGAGGCTGCTACTTCTTCACGAGTGCAGGAGAGGAAACGACGAAGACACGAGGACTACTCGGGCCTCAAGGATGTCACAAACTCACCGAGAAGCCGTGCTATGTTACCACCGTTGGACACTAATGCATCAGGTACGGCGCACGTTCAGGCAACGTGAAATGCGGACGTATGCGATCGTATCTTCTCTGACTGATCGATTCGTAGATCGGGATCGACAGCACACGCCTGATACGGATGGAGCAACGCCAATATCCGGAGTCACGTCGTTGGCAACAACCCGGAGCTTCTTGTCCACGCCAGCTACCACCCCTCCTCCAACGATATCTCAGATCTCACAGTTACCGACACCTCAAACATCTTCTAGTCCGATCCCTCCGCCATGTGCTTCCACTTCTGAAGAAGCCCCTGTGGGAGGGCGCGAACGTCGTACACGGAAAAGCGTCAATTACGCTGAGCCCAAGCTCAACACGTGAGTCCCATCCCTTACATGATTTCCTTGTGACTAACGGTTCAACCACTAGGAAAATGCGGAAACCTGATGGTCCACCGATGCAGCCTACAACCGCTCTAGGGCTGAAGAAGAGATCATCCACGACTAGTGTTCAAAGTGATGATCCTGAGCGCAGACCGTCCTCAGAAGGCTTTTCACAGTCCAAGACTTCAATCCCTGTTGCTCGTTCTTCGTCCGGCACGACAAGTTCGTCGTCCTCGGCTACCGCAAATACTGTCGTGAAAAGGAAGAAGTCGCGCCCTCAGGTCGAAGTAGACGACGACGAAAGCGAAGGCGCCCAAGCTGATGCCGAATACGGAAACATCAATGGTTGGGTCAACGTTGAGGGACGTCGACGGAGCGCACATCATAGTGCCGTCCGTCGTGCACTTGAAGCTGATGACGGCAGACGGCATAGTCTGGCCGTGTGACTTTGTTCTGGCTGGTGTGGTACCCTTGGTTCTATTCATGGTATCCTTCCGCGTAGGATTATTCTAAGTATACTATTGATCATGACGATATGAAACGCTCTGGAGTATAAACGAGCGGGTATGCCACTATCATACAAATACCACATATTTTTCTGTAATTCTACGTTCCTGAGGATTGAGAAGATTTAGTTTTTGTGGACACGATTGAATCAGCAGGGTAACATTTACAAAGATACATTGCATAGGGTCAATTGCAACCCTTCGTCGTTTAGTGACAGCTACGATTCATATAACCACAACTATGTTTGTTTGACACGTCTCAACCTTCACAAACTTACACCTCAGCCGACTCACATGAGCTACCAGGAACTCGTGTCAAGTAAAGACAGCTCAGAAATATGCCTATAAACAATCATTAACGTGACAGGGCATATCTATGAGGGGTACAGTACTCACGGCAGCATTGGGAGGGCTCGCAGCGCCGCCAAGACTGAAAAAAGAAAAAGATACTATTTAAGCGATACAATCCTATACAAACGGGAAACCCGGCTGACATGTTCAAAGGCCAAGACGTGAAAAAGAACGTGTAGCGATTCGTCTCTTGGCACAATTCTGAAAGAGCCTCGAGATCAAAGAATTCTCCTGTTTGGCGGAAATAAGAATTGGATTTTGACGCATAAAATTGTTATAAAGTACAGACCAATAGGCATCCCATAAAGGCTTGCATCTCGTTGTCAGGGGTGAAAATATTTTGGGAAAGGTTGAAACTTACCCAAGAATTGTCTGCAAGACCGCAAGGATTCAGCGATAATGCTAGTGACCGAGACTTAGACTAACCTGGTGAAGTTGCGTTCCCTTTGGCGTGGGCCAGCGCTATCACGCAATTAAGTAGTCAGACTTACGATAACGCCCGCGGGGAACACACCTCCAAAGATGGCTGGTCAGATGCGATAGCAGCAAAGTGATTATTCCTGCAGGCACAATCAGGCCACTATTTGGTAACGTCTGAGAATAGCATACCAGAGGAAGCGCTTCATATCTTCACTTTGTTCTATTCCAGCGCTATATTTTGCTTCGCTAAGCAAAAGGGGGATTAGGATACGGATGGGGTTGCATACAATGTTTCCTTTTCTGAACCGCCTCTCAAATTGGCCTTTGCTTCATTAGTGCTCGCGTAGTATTTTTGGGTAAACCCGACGCGCAGGAGAAGGATGTCGCCTTGTCGGAATTCAACCCCTTGCTTCTTCGCGATAGCCTCCAATTCGGCAACAGTAATTGGATGACTCGTCCAGGGATCGTACGGTAAGGCCTCGCCATTCGCCGTGTAGTACCTTACCACATCCAGGAGAACGCCGCGGCCGCATATGCCATGATTAGCCCAGTCTAGAGGCAATACTCAGTCATAGTATATGGGGTAGCGGTTTGTAGACTTACTGTGCATCCCAAGTTTGACTTTCGAATGATCGATCTCACTCGGATCATGCAATTCCATTTCGCCCTCAGAGAGGGTTCCGGCGGGAGTGCTAACAAGATCCGCGGTGAGTGCTGTCGAAGTTCTCAATGTACGAAATCAATATACTTGTTGTAGAACACATTGTATTCTGTTAACCCATAGTGCTTTAAGCCGTCCCACTGAGAACCCGATTGTGTGTTCTGCAAATTTAGCTAAGTGAAGTGCCATCCGTCAGGCTGGCTGAAAGGGGACATACGATATGGATAATGTCATCACGGACAGGTATGGTGGGGCCGTACTTTCCAAAGGTAGTGATGGATGGAATCTTACGCCCGAAAACGGGCTGGCAAGCGAAGATCAATGAACACTGAATGAAAACGCGGCGATCACGGATCCGCTTACCCTCGAGGGGAAGTGGATTGGCCTAGTTTGTAGTATTGTAGGGTCCTAAACATTTCAGTCTTTACGCAGAGCCATATTGCTCGCACCAATTCAATGAAACTGTGCGCCCTAGACTATCATTGACGACAAGACACATTATTGGTTATCATTCGTTTCGTCTCTTTTGAGATAAACGCACCGAATCTCCTCTTGAGCAGCTCGTGCTACTACCTCGGGGGTGAGCAGGTTAATTGTGCCTAGCTCATCGTCCTTGCCCCATACGTCCCACGCACATCCTTTGAAATCATGAAAACTTGGTAGTTCATCGAATGTAGGGAGCACTCCGACTATCCATAGGCTCGGTATTAGCAATCACCTCATCTCTCTCCACCCTTCTGAGAGAACATACGTTTCAAACGAGATGCCATGACTGTTGCCGCTTGATTGGAGAAGTATCTACACATTGGTAAGTATATACCCCTCGTTTACGCGTGGAGTAATGAGATTCCCTTATCGTCGTACCTTGTCACACCTGGACCAGCAGACGTATCAGAGGTGTAATTTATACTGATGAGAACAGGATGAATATAAATACACGGCACGGGAACAACGTAGTACAGGCGCGAGATAAGATGCTGATGGCAATCCTATCCCCTGATGAATGGATGAATTAACGCTTCCTTGGGAGTAATCCGCCTTGCTGGATCAAGTGCCATGCACTTGTCCAACAAATCGATGAACGAGGTGAGCAACTTCATCTCGTCATCCTTCATCTTGACTGATACAGGTGGCATGAGACGGGCACGGAGGTCACGACCAGGTTTGGAGATGTGAACTTTGCGGACAACATTCTGGTGAAACAATCAGCTGACGCGGAAGGTTATTGATAAGAGATCACATTGACTCACGGCACCAGTGACACGGTCCGTCTCTACGCTCTCAAACCCGCCCATTTCATCGAAATACATTTCTCCGAACTTCGCCTTCTTGATCATTTTAGTGTTGAACCTTCCCTTGAGCTCCATCATGAGTAGAAGCATTTGATTGTTCGACCGGCCAGGGAAAAGGATTTTCCCCGTGTATAGTTCATACAGTGTGCACCCAATGGACCAGATATCGAGCGCTGGATCATACGGGACTCCGAGGACTAAGTAAAATGACGTTAGTTTTTAACTTCGACAGTAGTATAAGCAACGTACTAATCTCAGGTGCACGATAAAATCGACTAACAAGATAGGGGGTGATGTCATTTTCCGACGCATCCGATGCTGAGCCTAAGTCGCACAGCTTCAATAACGTCTTCTGTTCATTAACCTGAATTTGTCATTAGTGAATCGACAGCTGCCAGAGCTAAATTGAATTTCACCAATATGTTGTCAGGCTTGATGTCCGCATGCATGATGTTGACTTTCTTGAGAAGACTCAATGCAAGGAAAAGCTGGTGTGCATAAGCTCTGACGGCCTTGATATTCAGACCGACATCCTTTCCAAAGCGCTTCACAACATCCCGAAGGTTCATGCTAGAGAATTTTTTGTCAAATACCCAGGAGTAGAATTAAAGAACCTCCAACCTCATGGACTCGAACACAAGACAAAGGTGTCCGCGGTGTTCAAAAGTTCTCTCTAGCCGGACAATGTGCTTCTTGTCTTCCGGGTCAGCCTGCTTTAACTTGTTCAATATCTGCACTTCCTTCAGACCAGCACGATGCCTAGTGTTGCTTTAGCGTTCTCAGAAGCACCATATGGAGACAGTGTACGAACATAGATTCCTGACTCCTGATGATTTTGATGGCCACCTCTTTGTTGATTTCAGCATCTTGAAGGACGCGTGCGCGGACGACATTGGCAAACATTCCCTTTCCAAGCGAAGAGAAGACCTGGTACCGACCACCATCAAGTTGCTCACCAAGGATAACTTGGTAATAGCCCTCATGATCCGAGGCAGAGTCTAACGTCGTCGTGATAAGGGCGGGTGCTGCTTTTTTCTGCGTACAAGGTCAGACATCGTTGACGGACAAAATAGTGAGAGCGTACAACAACTTTCTTGACTTTCTTTCGCTTCTTCTCGGTTACAGCTGCTGCGAACATGTCATCGACATCGTCTTCTTCTTCCTCCTCTTCTTCTTCCTCAATAGTTTCTACATGCATGGGTTCGTCTTTAAGGACTCGCCTTTGTTCGTCCTCTCGACGATCTAGGCTGGGATCGTAATCTGCGGCAGATATCTGATCCGGTGCACCATCTTGCATCTTAGCACGGACATCTTCATCATCCTCGTCCTTAGCAAGCTCAAAGATACTGTCATCTGGTTGTGGGGATGCAGAGTCTCGTTTGCCTGCATGATAAAATACATGAATCCACACGAGACGTTTTCTGGAAAGAAGCTTACTCATTGAATCATGCCTCGCTTTGGGGATGTCGGCTGCTAAACTTGCGGAAGTATCGACAGTACTGTGGGGCTGAGGTGTATCAGACACAGATGCAACAGGTTGCGGTTGGACCGCACTACTAGGCCCAGGGCTAGGGCTGACGCTCTTATTAGCACTGGCTATCCCGGAGTGCCTGGCTAAAATGGCTTGACGCCTGGCACGGCGAGCGGCTCGAGTGGCTGCTTCTGCAGCGGCTGTATCGATCTCGAGATCAAGTTCCGGATCAGGTTGTGGAGGAGCAGTAGGTTGTACCAGTTTCTGAATATGAGTAGCCTCTGACGGAGCTCGCGTAGATGGAGTCAGAGATGCTGCGCGGGCGCTACGCGCAGGAGAAATTCTTGACAGAAGAAAACAATGTGAAAGAGTATTCATACACTTGGATTCGTTGATACTTACTCGCCTTCTTCTTTGTCCGAGTACTCCTTAGCTTGATGAGAATGTCCATTGGATGGTGCAGGTGAACGGCGATTCCGAGGTGGAGTTCGACGACGATGTTCATCTTTTCGATCGTCTTCTCTACGGCGATGTTCTCTGTCGCGATCGCGGTCTCGTTCACGGTCACGATCCCGATCACGGCCGTCGCGCCTGTCCCGGTCTCGAGAATGGTCGCTAGGCCTCCTCGGGTCTTCTCTGGACCGTCCAGGCTCCCGCTTATCGACACTGTCTCGTCTGCTACTGCTAGATTTGCTGGGCTTATCTGTGGGAGACTTTAGGTGCACATCCCGCCAGTCTCTAGGTTCGTCTCTGTGTCTTTTGTGCGAGTGAGATTCGGCTGCGTGACCCTCCCAAGACCGCTTTGATCCTGCGGATGCGTTAGTCATCTTCTTCGAAAGTAATTGGGTTTACGGGACACCGCACGATCAACAAGAAAACGTTGGGAAAGATGTGAAAGTGAGACAAAAAACGAACGAGCTCGTCGTTGTGCTTGCTGACGAGGAATGTGGAGAGCAACAAACAGTCAATCAGGCACTCCGGATCCAGTAACTCCGGGTGGTCCGTGCGCATAGCATCAATTGATTAAGTGATATATGGACAACGTTGATTAATATTAATTCCCTCTCCTCTCTCGCAATCTGGCAATTGCCTTGGTGCCTGGAGAAGGCAAGGGTCGAGCTTGGGCCGCGTGGCGTGTGACTCGAACTGCAGATGATCTTGTGGTCACCTTGTTTGAGGCTGACACTGAGGTACTCTGAAGACGAGTACGGAAGCCAGCAGCTGCCATCCTATTGAGCCGTTGTCCACTAATACCATGTTGGAGATTCTTATGGGTCGCTGCATCATCAGAGTCGGAAGGATCTTCAGATGAGGAGTCTGCTGTGAATTCTTGTTGTCCGTGAGAAGGCTCGTCAGATCGTTCAACGTTGGCGAAGAGACTACTTCCTTCCTTCAGAAGGTAGTCCTCCACGTCCTGCTGCTCTCGGAATGTCTCGGCCTCCGGGCGGGGATTTGGAATCAGTGGTCCTTGACTCGATGGTTCGCCTTGCTCAGCTGAATGCCCTTCATTTTCAGCCAATTCCAGGTCCCACTGTCGACTTTCCAACTCGACACCCTCATAAATGTGAGCTTGAGAGTCACCGCCATCCACTACATTTCGTTCGGCATCTTCCTCAGGAACTTCCTCCAGCTCTGGCTCTTTCGCCTTCCCCTTCGCCGAAACTACTCTCCGGCGCTTCGATGCCGTCGCAGGTTGCGGAGGCAGGTCAACTGACTGCGATCTTGCCCGAGTGTGACGATATGGCGCGTCAGAAGTGGCCACAGCAGGTTGATGACTGCGAACTTTGCTCAACGTCCGTACACGTTCAACTTGTGAGTGAACCTCAGTGTCGGCAGCAGAGGTGCGCACTTCGGCAACGGGGCTCTGTTCTCGCTGAGCTCGTCCACGGCGTGAAGGTGGTCTTCGCGCAGCTCGCAGGGGCTGTGCAGTTGAAATAGCCTGTGAGCTCATCGACGTCGCTTGAACAACCGCAGTAGCTCGAGCACTTGGAGCTTGTCTTGATCGTACGTCGACGGGTGAATTGACCAGGGTTTGCTGCGTAGCCAGTGGTTCATCGGATCGAGCTGCTGGAACGTCATGCTCAGGTGATCGCGGCACTGATAATACATTGAATCTGCCCGGAATAATTACAGTAAAATAACTAGTCAAACAGTTGTGATACATTGCACGAAAATAAACTTACTGAGGCATTTGATTGACATCGAAACTAATCGCACCATCGAGCGCTCCCCGCGCGAAAGGTTCATGATTTCCTTCTTCCGGTGATCTTCCATCGTTCTCATTCGAAATTCGGCCATGACTGCTATGACCACTTCCCCGTCGTCCCTTCTCTACAGCGGAGGCGTGAGGTCCTGATGGTGTAGCCGGACTGGCCACACGCTGTCGCTTCCGAGGCGACTCCTCTCGGAAACTTGCACGCTGGGATGTATCGGGATCACTGCGACGCCGCCTACGCAACTGAGGCTGTGCAGGACCCGGATTATCATCGGGCATGTCATTCTCTTGAACCTGGTTGCGGGCTTGTGGAACGCCATCGGGCACCCGATTATCAGGTACAGCGCCACCCTCTGCTTGTTGTTCCAGTTCCTGATCGCTTTCCTCTTCCTCTTCCTCCCGCTGTGCTCCTCTTCTATAGAGACGCGAGCGTGGATCGTGACCGAGACCATGACCCACGTTCTTGAGTTGTGCTGCATACCTGGCAATCATAGGATCAAAACGCACGCGATTCATCCTGTAGCGCTGGCGCCAGGATTGCCACGGGTGTCTTTTCGCCCACTCTCTATATTCCGGCTCATCGGCCTTGGAAGAATATTCTTGTGAATTAAAACGCATATGCTCAGGGTTTTTTTACGTACCAGCTCCTCTGTCAACACCTGGTACAATAAATTCCCAGTGCGTCCCCCATCGGACGCTTTAGGCCATACAGTCGCAATGTAAAACGCGAGTCTTTCATCATCTTCTGCGGTAAAGGGTACGCGTCTGACGAGTGTATTAGCAAACGAGACGTAGGAACGGACGCGAAATGACATACACACGCCCAACTGGAGCACCGGGCATACCCTTCCTTGCTGGCCGACGATGTTCATATTTTCTAGCTCCAATGCATCGACGGACAAAATCCCTACACTCAATATAGACGCGCTGCTGCCAGAGGACATGTGAGCGGTAGTAGCGCCGGCGGATATGTTCGATGTCGGCTTCTTCATCGACCAAAATCACGTTGGCTTGCTGCTCATCCTCGCATACATCACCTCCATATCTCTACAACAATTGAATTGAATCAGCAATTGGAGGCTTCCACATTAAATAAGATAAGTTAGTCGCATACCGTGATCTCCTGTTCGAGTACATCGCGTCCTTCCCTGACACTTAGATGGAAAAAGAAGGCTACAGGGTCTCCGTCTTTCACAAATATAGCATCCTCGGCATTGGATCCAGCAGACCGGCTTCGTCGCGCAACATCTGCGGAAGGCATGGTGGTAGAAAGAATTCAAAGGAAGTAAAGCATTACCCGAAAGTGCATAAATTAACGAGCTGAGCTCGAAATTCGGAACCCCGCATTGTGGTTAGGGTTATAACCCTATACCTAACCCTTTGAATGCCCCAACTGAACTGAAAACACAGAATGTGGCTGACAGTGGTTAGATGTGAGGATAATGAGTGAAACTTGGTTAGATGCAATGATTGATGGCTTGTGGTATCTACTCAAATAAAAAACGTATTTCATCAACCCATCCTGTCATGTGACTTTGTATTTCATCTTTTTACCAAAGTTGTGATTATCTCATTTTGCTATAACATAACCATGTCCACACCTTTCAGTCTTATAGCACTGCAGAACCTGTTGATAGGACATGTATATTGGCCTGCAAAACCTGATGTACAGGACACTGGCCAGCCTATGCACCACCTGTGTAGGCTGGCCATGCAAAATCCTTGTAGGCTGGTGCCCCAGACACAAAATAATGTCTCTGCCATACCTATGTAGGCTAATGATGGAGAACTCCTGTAAGCTTATACCTCATATAGAGAATGTCATTTCTATACTATTTATATCAGTGAAACCAGCATATTAATGTAGATCTGACTGTCATATCCCATATGCCAGACATAGATCCCATCATATTCACACGCTTTCTGGACCTGTTTCCGGACCCCATATCCAACTCATTCCTGGGTCCCCTATCCTGTCCACCCTATGCACATTCCGTCCAGCAAGACATCCGGACTTTAACTCCTCTCAGATTCTGGACTATATCCACCACCTCACATATCTCAGTCCTGTTTCTGCCCTGCCTTCCGGATCCCCAGATCTCCGGACCTCTGGATATTAACTGTACTATCTCTGGCCCTATTCCCACCCTCTGTCCGAGATCCTGCGCCTATCCCCATTTAGGCATCTCTGCCTTTCCAGTTCTCGGTTATCTCTGTTTCCATCTTGCTGATTGATCCTTGTACTAGTTTCATCTCCAAGTTCATTTACATATGTTCCATCTTACTTACCAATGTGTTTCCGCATGCTTGTACATAGCCTTACTCCTTTGCTTACTGATCCTCTCAGATAGCCTCTAGTATACAGTGGCTCAAAAAACTGTCCACATGTTTTTGCATTTTTTACTATTTACAATATTGTGTGAGAATACATAAAGACCTCAGTGACATGCTAATACCATATTGTAGTGCTGCTTCAGGGCTTTGGATTGAGCACCACATCGTGAGAATCAGAGGAGATATGGTGGAGATACAAGGCTTACAAAATCATGACTCATGCAGACAGTTTTTTGAGCACATATTAAAACTATATAAATCATCATTTATGACACCATAACAATCATGCCACCATTAAATAAATTATAAAGTGGTGTCATTATGTCATTTTAAAACCATATCTAACTATACAAACCAAAATTTTCCATATGTCATGGTTATATTCACCATGAAAGCCACCCCCCCTGCTCAAAGGGATAATATCCTCTCTCTTTCCTATTCTGGCCTCTCTGCTTGTCAAATTTCCTCTAGAACTGGAGTATCCAAGTCCACTGTGGCCAAGTTCATCAAAGAAAGTCACACAGACAAGGAAAACTTCTGTGAAGGGTGTCCATCCAAGCTCACCTCTACTGATAGGAGGGCTATTATTCAACATATCACTACAGGAAAGGCTGATAATGCTGTCCAGGTCACCTATTACATCAATTCCACCATCACATTCCCTGTCTCTTCACACACTGTGAGAAACATTCTCAAGACAGCTCATCTCAGGTCAGTAACAAGGAAGAAAAGGCTCTCCTCTCTATCACACATATGCAGAGATGACTAACCTTTGCCTTAGCCCATCAGAATTGGATTACATGGACTGGAAGCATGTTATATGATCATATAAGACCACAATAAATAGGATTGGGTCAGATGGCAAGGTATATATGTGAAAAAAGAAGGGTGCTAGTCCTCTCTGCATATGTGTGATAGAGAGAAGAGCCTTTTCTTCCTTGTTACTGACCTGAGATGAGCTGTCTTGAGAATGTTTCTCACAGTGTGTGAAGAGACAGGGAATGTGATGGTGGAATTGATGTAATAGGTGACCTGGACAGCATTATCAGCCTTTCCTGTAGTGATATGTTGAATAATAGCCCTCCTATCAGTAGAGGTGAGCTTGGATGGACACCCTTCACAGAAGTTTTCCTTGTCTGTGTGACTTTCTTTGATGAACTTGGCCACAGTGGACTTGGATACTCCAGTTCTAGAGGAAATTTGACAAGCAGAGAGGCCAGAATAGGAAAGAGAGAGGATATTATCCCTTTGAGCAGGGGGGGTGGCTTTCATGGTGAATATAACCATGACATATGGAAAATTTTGGTTTGTATAGTTAGATATGGTTTTAAAATGACATAATGACACCACTTTATAATTTATTTAATGGTGGCATGATTGTTATGGTGTCATAAATGATGATTTATATAGTTTTAATATGTGCTCAAAAAACTGTCTGCATGAGTCATGATTTTGTAAGCCTTGTATCTCCACCATATCTCCTCTGATTCTCACGATGTGGTGCTCAATCCAAAGCCCTGAAGCCATACTACAATATGGTATAAGCATGTTCTTGAGGTATTTGTTCGTTCTCACACAATATCATAGATAGTGAAAAATGTCAAAACATGTGGACAGTTTTTTGAGCCACTGTAAGTCAGGAGTACAATGATACAGAAATTGCTCACAGATATTTTATGAGGGAAAGCATTGTTGGTGAAACATTGTAGCTTTTGATAGAAACTCATAGCTAAAGTCTTACACTTCAAAGCATCTATGAGGAAGTGATCTAGGACATCAAAGGTAAAAGCAGATTGAGGGTGAGTGATGCTGGCAGGAAATAACCTCACTTTTAAGAGATGTAGGTGTCTGTCCTTATCAGCACCAGGACACTGACACCAGGATACATAGTGTGAATAAACTCCAGTGGAATGTACAATGACCAGGTTGGACAATCCTAACTGAGTGTCATAAATAGTATCCCCCTCTCCATGTCCAAACACATCTTCCATCACTCCGAGATCCAACCAGGGTGAGGGGTTGGACTGCTGCAACAAATTGGGGCGAGGATGTCCACCATGGCCAAGATGTATGATATATCTGTGGTCCCATAGAGTAGTAGACTGGTAGAACTTGCCATTCCAAAGTTGAAGGTTGTGGAAGGGATGGTGCTGGTGGGCTTTGACAGCACATGAGGGACACCAACTGTGCTCTCCTGAGCAGGACAGACAATAAATAAAGCCCTCCTCTCCTCTGCAATCCTCACATTTCCCATTGTTGATCAGCTGTTCCAACTCCAACAACACTGAAAGATATTCATCATGACAAGGCATGTATTGCCAAAGAAAATCATTTTGGGTCTGCAATGTTGGCCAATTGTTAATAATGGTGTCAAAATAACTCACTTTGGTTTTTTGTTGGATATCATTTGAGCCTCCTATATTGAAATCACCATACACTCTCTGTCATATTCCACCAGAGAATGATCTTCAGTACATTGTTGTTGTTTTTGTTTCAAAGGTGAGACTGGCTCTATTTCACTATCAGAGTTTTCATAGACAATTGAAGCATTGACTTCTCTCCACATATTTTTTCCCCTTCAAGTTTTTCATGATATATATGTATATTTGTAAGCACCCTGTTTTCTCTTTGTTGAATGAGTATCAGATGAAGATGGAGCTACTCTGAGCCTATTGTGCCTCTGTGTGCCTTTTGAGCTCATTGAGATTATGAGTGACTCACAATGACCAGAGTGCAACATGAATTTTTGCATGGCTACATAATCCCCCCCTCAAAAAAAGCAAATATCTTTGGGATTTTCTAGTACTATTTTCTACATATTTTCTCCCTTTTACCCTTCTGCCTCCTTCCTACTAACTCTAAAAAGAAGCTCTGCATGGGAAAACCTGGCCTTGGCACCCCCACCCTGTTGTGCACAGCATCCTTCATAAAGTGGGCAATTATGAACTGTTCTCCATTAAGCCAGGGTCCAACAGAGTGTTCTAGCACCCTTCCTGAGATATAAACCATTGTGCCAGGAGAATAATCAAGCTCTGCTTTGAGGTTTGCCAAGGCCAATGTTGCATGATGGTTTCTTCCCAGACTGACAAGAAGATCTAACAGTGAAGGAGATCCACCACCATCTCTGTGGCTAAATGTGACCTGATTAGCAATGATTTCAAGTCCTGAAAAGATTGAGGGCCAAGATTCCACTGGGACAGGTTTTTTTGGGGGGTGTCACACTTCCTTGATGACCTCAGAAAATGCTGAAATGCTAGCTTGGAAAAGATCTGGTGCCACCACAGCAGTTATAGCATTCCATAGAACTCCTGATGTTGTCAAAGCTGCCATCCATTGTTGGACCTTCCCTGATCTATAAGACTCTGATGTCACCAATGGATCCATTAGTTGCTAAGAATAGAGTTAAAACTAGACTAAAAATAAACACTTGGTAAAAATACAATATCTCTTGTCTTTGCATGAAGTATGCAGGAACCACTGTTATTCTACCAGCCCCAAACTCCCCCCCACCATCTGGGACCATATAGCCCTCATCCCTCCAAGTGTCCTTATTTGTAAGGGATTTGAGAAGAGTATCCCTCAAGCCAACAGTGATGTGGTTGACATGCTCCTGATTATTAATTAATTAGCCTTGAAGGGGAATCCCAAATCAGAAACATACTAGGCAAGAAGGTGTCAAAATATTAGGGAGGTAAACCACTAAAAATTTTCTGTACCTGTCTATAACTGTTGTTGGAACTGAAATTTTGCTAAGTGCTACTTCAGGGAAGAACTTCTTCAGTCTATCTGTTTCAGCAGATAGCAACCCATCCAGATTTGGTGGTGACAATTTGACCTTATCAGCATACTGGTCCACATCCCAATCAATTATTGACTGTAGTTCAGTATTTAAATTCATATACAGCCATAAATATCTCTTCACTCACTGGGGTTGACCATGGCATGTGCAATGGTCAGGGTGGCCTGGGTGATTTCATATTCTGAAATTGACCCATCATTGAAGGTTAAATTATCAGCCAGTGATTCCAAGCACTGCCAAAGCTGTACTGCTATTCTCATCCTTGATTCTCTCATTAATTAATAGTCAGCTATGATCAATACTAAACCATAGTTACCTAGCTTTATGCAGTAATTCAGTTTCAACTCTACCATCTTGAAGGACACCTAGTTCAGATGAATTGCCCATGATCTCTCCAACCCTCCTGGTCAGAGCTACCACTAGCTCAGTTGTCTTGCTTTTGAGGTTGTCCATTATGAAGAAAAATGAACCAAAGTTCTCATGATCTGTGCTGATGCCTTGTTTGGTCAAATTAAGCATGATGTAATTAGACAATCAGACCATATGAAGGCAAATTTATTGTGACATAATAACCTAATATGGTCTGATTAACTTGGGCCCTTTAGAACCATTTGCAGAATGCCAGGCCAAAATTGTGGCAAGGAGTATTTCAAATGACAAAGATATATTGAATGGATTTGTGAGGCTGTCTAGCCAAGCTGACTTGCTCAGTATGAGAATAGTCAGATTATTCACTATTCTTGTACTGGATACAAACATTATTTTGTCTTCCTTACAGTACAAGAATAGTAATGAAGACAATACTCTCTTCATGTGCACTCTGTGTCCCAGTGTGAGAATAGTCAGACTACCATCCTGTACTGACTGTGCAAACATCTGCCACTAAGAGGACCAGTAAAGCTGGACAGCATGCTTCTGGAAGTATGAAGAGTCCCTCATCTGCTGCTCTGTCAGCATCTGCTCTCAAGCACTCTGCTACTGCAACCATGAAAACATAGTGCAAGAACAGAGAAATGGTTCACTATTCTTGTATTGGATGCCAACATCATCTTATCTTCCTTGCAGTACAAGATCACAACAGACTGAAATATTGAGCAATGAGGATTATTCCTTTGTTGCAGTGGTCAAATTCTAATCTTTGGACATTATTGCTCTTTATATCACTCTCACATGATCACATGACTTAGATTTTGGGCAAAAAGTTATGAGTCACATGACCAAAGAATTCCTAACAAGGGCAATACATTTGCATTGCTTCATCTAATCTAGAGTATACAAGTGCAAAATTTTAAAAATGACACAAAACTAAGGTAAATGATGCAAGACATGGATGGAGGGGCCCTCTCCATCCAAGCCTTGCACCCTGCAGTACAAAATATAGGTAAAAATGTGCAGTAATTGATATTCTAGTGTAGTGAAAGTGAGTATGAGACTGAATATTAAATTGGCACTTACCAGATTAGACCAATGAAGGAGTAGTGAAACCAAGACCATATATAAGGCTGGAGAAAGAAATGTGGTTAGTATTAGAGTATGTAGGAAAGAGAGACAAAAAAACTGGCTCAACAAACAAGGCAGGCACACCAAAAGCTAGAGAAAATGCGGTTAGTATCTGAGTATACATGAAGCACAAAAAACAGGCTCAATAAACAATGCAGGGGCGCAAAATCTAGAGAAAGAAATGCAGTTAGTGTTCTAAAGTTCAAGGTGCCAATCCCTGAGGACATGGATAGCCAAGAACAAATCCCCCAGATCTCAAAGTGTCAGGCACCAATCCCTGGGGACATGGATAGCCAGGAACAAATCCCTCAGATCCCAAAGTAAGAGGTGCCAGTCTCTGGAGACATGGATAGCCAAGGACCTAAGAACAGAAGAAAAGTAAGAGGTGCCAGTCTCTAGAGACATGGATAGCCAAGAAACAATTGAAACAAAGAAAAGGAAACTGATCTTGAGGTGCACTATCAAGCACAGCTGTGAATAACAAATGGCAAGTTAGTACTGCAAAGCATAAGTAAAACAAAACATACTAAAAGCAGTTGAAAATTAATAGTAGCACTGCCTTTGACCACTTGCAGCTGCAGTCTGCAAGTGGCCAGGGGACAGGCCACAGGATATGAGTGGATGATAGAGCATTGAGAGAGTGAGGTTGGAAACATGAAGTTGAGAAAGATGAACTGTGGGAACAATATTGATGGTTGATGTATTATTTGTTTATTTGTTGATGTTTGCACCAGCCATTCCCACGCACAAATCCAAGGGAGCAAACAAGTCCATGATTGGACTTTGCTGGTGGATGTCATGTGCATCTTTGGTTGGTTTTTGCACAAGTTTCTTTTGTCAATGTGTCTTTTTGTCATGTGAGTTTGTTTTGTTTGTCCCATGTGATATACTGACTAGTTCTTGGGCATCTTTTTTTTGTCAATGTATCTCATTTGCTGATGTGTCTCTTTGTTAATGTGAGTTTATCTTTGTGTGATTTTGTGGTATACTGACTACAGGCACTCTTTATTCAGTAGATCTTTTCTCAGCGCATCTTTTTGTCAGTGCCACTCTTTTCTAACGTGTCTGTTGAATGTGAGTTGTCCTTATTTTGTTTTTGTGTGGCACATGCAAGGTATACTGACTACAGGCTCTCTTTTTTCAGTGGATCTTTTCTCAGCACATCTTTTTGTCAGTGCTGCTCTTCTCCAACACATTTTTTTGAATATGAGTGTCCTTGTTTTGTTTTTGTGTGGTGCATGTAACTCTGCTAACACTGACTACAATTCTAGCATTTTGTGCACTCTCCCTCATTAATCATGGCCCACACCAAGAATACCACCAAGAAATGTACTGGTGGCTCAGTGCCATGCATTCTCCTCAAGATCTCAAGAGTGAAACTCTCTGGAGGGGACTACCAGGAAATGAAGGCTTCGAGCACCACCAGGGGTGCCTTACCTGTGGGAGGTGGGGACTTAGAGAAGAGAAATGGTCAGCATGAGGTTAGTCTATGTTCTCTATGTTCTCTGTCTTCTATCTGCTAATTCACTTTATCTTTCTTATCAAGGCTTTGACTGCCACCAGTGATGACTTAGAAATGAGAAGTGCCCACAATAAGGTGCACACATTCTCTCACTCCTCTATTTGTTAATGTACATTGTTCTTCTTCTTATAGTATTGTATACTCTGCAAGGATGGTGCAGAGTGCTATGAAGACAACACTCTCTTCATGTGTGCTCTATGTCCCAGAGTCATCTGCAGGCTCTGCCTGCAGCTGCCACCTGACATAGAGACCAAAGTCCTATAAAAGGACATCTCATTCAGGTGCATATGTTGTCATATTAAGATAGAACAAAGTGCCACCTACTTTGTGAGTATTTTTCATTTGTTCATGCCTCATTGATAACATCACATCACTACAGGGTTTCTATACCAGTAACAGCCTTCCCTTCTTGGACAAGTTCCTATCTATCACTAGTGCACTTGAGGTGTCTGCCAAAGCTGAAATATCAGCAGCTCCAGTCATTTTTATTCACCTTATCCTTGTCGACTTTGAAGTGGCTGGTAGCCCTTTTGAGTTTGCTCACAGCTTCCTTAAGCCTTACTACTGTGGCGATGGCATCAAATATATTGAGGTTTACTATGACAGTGGTACTGATGGTAAGCTTGCCCCCTACTGAACCCAAATCCACCAGATTATCAAAGGTTTGAAGAACTCATTCATCTGGGAGCGTGTTGTCATCAGTGTGTCCACTCACACTGATGAGGACTTCAGAGACCCTTTTACTAGGTATGAAGATGATTCAAAGAGCTATGTGAGCACTCCAGTTAACGATGTGAGTTTTTCTTTCTTTGGAACTGGCCAATAGTCACTATTGTTACAGTTCTTGGATATAATCCTCCAACCCTGGCAAAGTATCATTGACCATGCCCAAGAATCATATCTCTGGATGCTATGCTGTGGCTCCCTTGTCAACAACCTAGACTCATTTCATGGCTTGCAAGAGGCTGTTGTCTGGTAAGTTTTTTTTGCCTTTATTTGACATGGTTTATCTAATGTTTCCACAGACACAAATTAACCAGTACCATCACCTTCAATGTTCCTCATTTTCAATCTTCTTTCACCTTGCACTTCCTTATTTCATTTACCAAGAGGGTTCTCATTGGGCAGTGCTCACTTTAATTGGCTTTCAAGGATATGCTCTCACAGTCCTGGGACCTTGGCAGCCACTCTGACATATTTCTGTTGACCACTATCAAGGAGGGCAGCCTTAGTATCTCTAGGTTTGCATGGGTTAATGTGGAGGTCTGTCCTTGGGGCAACCCCTTGCCTATCCAATGCAGTGGGTATGGTAGGGTTAATTCTTGGAGGTCTGCCTATGTCAAGGACAGCAAGACTTACATTTTTGAGTGCAAAAATGACTCTTACAAAGTAAGCCACACATTCTCTCAGCCACCAGGGTCCACGGCACTTTATTCTGGTAGGAAGAATGGTAGTACCTGGTTGGATATTCCATTGAAAGCACACTTGGCTTGATTTATATGTTTTTCTGCAATATTTGTCTTACACTGTTCTTTGCTCATGTTATCACTATTCTGAGTTTGAGTAATCTTTTGTTTTTCATGTCTGAATCTTGAGATTTGGTGTATAAACTAATGTCATTAAGTCTGAGTCAGTTAGATGTACTCATGTGATTTGAATCATGTGACCCCAACATTGTCACCTGATGAATACATGACTGTGTTTTGATCATGTGACATGGTTTGCTGATCTGTTGTCAAGGGAGTTGTAGACTGGTTGCACTTTCTGCAAACTTATACTGGCCTACATTCTTGAGATTTTTGCATATAATGGCTGACTAGACACATGTATTCAAGAGTGTTTTGGATGAGCACAAGGTTACCTATGTTTCTGCCAAAGGAAACACAGCCAAGAGGGCTACAATCCTCAAAACCATCAAGAATACTATAGTTGAAACTGATCAGGCCAAGAATCCTTCTATTATACTGCCAGACAAAAACTTTCGGAAGGTAGGTTTCCAGTATCTTTATATCTACAGTAATCTAATTTTATAGGCTATTTGTACATATTACTTGCAGTTCCTGGAGGATGATGAAGACCAGGACCTCAAGGAAAAAATTATACAGGAAGGTCATAAACTCCCATCTGGTCCAGGGATTGTCACTGTAGACATGGTCAGAGACTGAGAGGATGACAAGCCTCTGGATGCTGCAGCATTCAAGACTGAATTCTCACCTTTTGATGTTGCTCAGAAGTTGTTTAAAGAAGAAATTGGGGAGTATGATAAGAAGCACTGTGACACCGCTGCTGACCTGAGGTCTATGGGGACAAGGACAAAGCTTGTCCAGTCCTAGCACAATGCCCTCTCACCAGATGTGCTTGAGGAGCTCAGACTTGTGGCTGAAAAGTGAAATGAGGAAGGTGCTCATTCTGATGTCAAAGACAGGTATTTTTTCAATACTACATTGATATATTTAAGATACAGTGGCTCAAAAAAGTGTCTGAATGTTTATGCATTTTCAAGTAATTGGATAATAGCAAGCCAGCACCTGAGTACAATATAATGGCATAGGGACAAGTCTAAAGGCTTGACATCATAGCTATAATCTGAGATATATATTGTGGGACCTAGACCATATATGGGCAAGATATGGTAATTCTAATCACATGACTCATTTGGACACTTTTTTGACATTGTATCCAAATCACAAAATCCAACCATTCACAGATATTATTCTTAATAGAAGTGGTGCAATAATCAATATTTGGTCTTACTTTAATGTTATTTATATATATGAACCCACATAACATCATGAACTTTAACATAATCATCATACAGCCCATCTCCTTTGCTCCAAAAGATAATATCCTTATTCTCTGCTCCTCTAGTTTGTCTATGAGGCAAATTGCTTCCAAAACTGGTCCTAGCAAGTCTACTATTGCTATAGTTATGCTGGCAATGATAGAACATTGATCTCATGAGCTTTGAGCCATTTTGTAGCTAGCTTTGAGGTATGCTTGGAGTCATTATCCAGTTGGAAGATAATGTCTTCTTCATCAATTCCTGACTTCTGCATGCTTCTGAGTAAACACTCCTCTAGAATGGAGATTTACTGCTCTACATTCATGCCTCCTTTCACCTCACAAAGAATCCCCACACCATTCCATCTCCTACAACCCCTACCATCATACTTCTTCTTCAAACTTTAGCATATTCTTGATTTCTCTTTCCTCTAATGGTTCCCCTACCTTTTTTGACACATATTCCAGGCCATCTGACCCCATTCTATTGATTTTTATCTCATATGACCAAACTACCTTTTTCCAGTCTTCCACAGTCCAATGTTGGTGCTTTAAAGCAAAGGCCCCTATAGGCTGCTGAAAGAAGAGGCATTTTCTTCTTGGTTCCAGCCATAAGATTGGCTGCCTTAAGGGTGTTTCTGACTGTTTGAGTGGGAATGGGAGTGGGGATAATGGAATCAATGAACTTGGTGGCATGGACAACATTTGAAGCCTTGCCAGGTAGGCTTTAATGAACAATAGCTCTTTTATGCTATAGAGTAAGCTTGAAAGATCATCCCATTTTATGATTTTCCTTCTCTAGCATGTGCTGGTTTATGACTATAGCAATAGTAGACTTGCTAGGACCAGTTTTGGAAGCAATTTGCCTCATAGACAAACTAGAGGAGCAGAGAATAAGGATATTATCTTTTGGAGCAAAGGAGATGGGCTGTATGATGATTATGTTAAAGTTCATGATGTTATGTGGGTTCATATATATAAATAACATTAAAGTAAGACCAAATATTGATTATTGCACCACTTCTATTAAGAATAATATCTGTGAATGGTTGGATTTTGTGATTTGGATACAATATCAAAAAAGTGTCCAAATGAGTCATGTGATTAGAATTACCATATCTTGCCCATATATGGTCTAGGTCCCACAATATATATCTCAGATTATAGCTATGATGTCAAGCCTTTAGACTTGTCCCTATGCCATTATATTGTACTCAGGTGCTGGCTTGCTATTATCTAATTACTTAAAAATGCATAAACATTCAAACACTTTTTTTGTAATCTCATGTGTATCTACAGATACTGTAGCTGACACCAGAAGAAACTTATGGAGGACTTCATAAAGATGGCAGGAAGAACTATGGGTTTACATCTTGTGATTCTTGCAGCTCATGATCAAGGGGAGGGAAAAATGCCTGGAACAACCATGTCAGTGTTGTGTTTTCTTTTCTCATCAACATTTATATTAATGAATTACTGGCTTAGCTGGGAATCCTGTCCCAGGAAGTCAAATAAAACTTTTACTCTCACATCCAAAGAAAATAAAAAATAGGCAGGAGAGTCTCAAGACCACCTTGCTGACTGGCTGACTAAAGCAGAGTACAGTAAGTCTTGGCTACTGTAATTGATTTACTTGTGAATGATCTAGCAGCAGGCATAGACCCTGAAGACCAATCTGACAAGGAAGATGAGAACTTGCCTGATTTGACAGTGCATGTTGACAATGAGGGTTATCCTTGCCTATCAACAGGGTTTAAATCTCTCATGCTCAAAAATCAGCAGAAGGTTGTACAAAAGGTCTTTCAAAAGGCTTATGGTGATTTATTTCTATTTTTGAAGTAGTGTATTTTTCTGACAGCTTACATTCAACAGTGGTCATCTCAAGCAACCCTCAGGCTGCAGTCCCCTGGGGTCATATCACTCAGGATCTGGACCATTACCTTGACATGGACTGCATCCCTCGAAATGTTGTCATCAAGGATCCTTCTCACCTGCAGAAGGACACCATCAGCACCATTTTTTTACTTTGGAAGTTATGTGCTAATTGTAATGAACCAATTTTACGATTCATTGGATATAAGGAAGGTGACTTCTATGATTCTCTGGCTAAGAAGGGTGATGTAAGTCAAAAATCAAGGAAGAACCAAAAATATGTGGAAGTATCAGATGATGAGGACAAGGTACTGAAGAAGGTCCCCTTAGCCAATCTTTCTTCAGATGAAGAGAAAGACTTGGCAATAGGTCTGAGCCACACCTTATCTCTTTCCCATTCCTGCCCGAAATTCCATATGGGTGGTAATACAGTCAGTTATCTTCAGTCCCTCTCCACTCTCCCATCATACCATCATCTGTTGGCCATAGTTCAAAAGCTTGCTGAGACAGTATGTATAATTCACAAATTTTGTGATACAGCACTGAATTTGACTTGTTTTTGAAAGCAAACTACAGATTCTAAGGGCAAAGCTAGGAAGCAACATCTGCCTGGTTGGTCATCTTGGATGTGGTCTGAGGAATATCTACCTCAAAATATGCACTATGATATTCAGGCATCCTTCACTGCTTTGAAGAAACTAGAGAACTATATCATCAGATCTCATGGTTGGGATATGATTGTTATCCTTGGACTTGGACTCCTTCATGAGTGTCGTTGTGCTCAGAAGTATGAAGCAGATGAGGCCGGAAATGACATACCTGAATATTTGGGCACCTCCATCCTTGGCATTCAAGTAGGGAAGAAGATTGAGGAGGTGATTACCAGAATTCAGGCAAAGGTGAAGGCAATGCTGCCAGATGATCATGAGAAGCAGATGTCAGTGAGCAAAGAAGTTCACATGAGGTGTCTGGAGAACAAAAGGCAGGTGAAAGAAAGGAGGGAGGTGGAGCAGGCAAGGGTTGCTGCAGAGAAGAGGGCTGTTGAGGAGGCTCATATAGCTAAGGAGAGGGCTGCCACATTAAAGAAGGCAAGTGGTACTAAAGCTGGGGAAAAAGTAAAGGGTAAGCGACCAGCAACAGATATGAATGATTCACCCATGAAAAAGGTGAAGACATCTGCTCCTCCTGCTCCTCCTTGTCATTCTGCCAGAGGGAAAGTACCTTTAAAGAAGTACAAGGACTGAAACACTAGTATTAGCACAATGTCTTAGAATTTTCTTTTTGCAGTTTGTTGTCATATACACTTCAATTTTCATGTCTATATTTATATTAGCACTGAGGATACTTTACTCTATGTGTGATATGGTCCATGTAATTTATGCAGGTAGTTGTAATAGGCCTATGTACCTCTGCTGATTGCACAGGCAGGATAGCCTGCCCCACAAGAACATATTGGCCTATTAGGCCAGCCAGTCTACACCATATGTAGAGCCTGGGCAGCCATCACCTGATATCATATTAGCCCATTGGGCCAACCAGCCTATGTGGCATGTAGATCAGGTGCAGCCACCCTACTGATCACATTTTGGCCCATTGGGCCAGCCTGTTTGTGCAGCATGTAGGCCAAGGGTGGCTGACCCTTGATAACATATTGACCAATTGGGCCAGCCAGTTTGTGCAGCATGTAGGCCTAGGCTGGCTGACCATTCACAACATATTGACCCTTTGGGCCAGCCTGCCTAGTCACCAGGTAAGGAGTGTAGTTGTAGACAGTACTTTTTCTTCTCAATATGTCATAGAATTTGGGTCACCATCTATATCATCCTATATGGGATATATCTTTTATGAGATGAGTGAGGTTGGCTAGACCTAATACTGTATGGAATCTTATGTTAGATTACAGTGTTTAAGACAAGCTGCATATCTATCCAGATGCATGGTAAGTCAGTGTTAAGAACCATGCTCAAAGGAGAGAGAGACTGACTCAGAGGGGCTTGGCCTCAGCTCATACGCTGTGCCCCTTACCTGAGTATGTGCCCTTCATTTCAGAGGAAGTCCAATGATGGTCCGATGAAGTCCAGAGGACTTCCAGAGGCTGGCTATTCTGGTGGAGAGTGCGGGAGGACTTCTGGAGGAGCGTGGGAAATGTCCGGAGGAGTGCGGGAGAGTTCCGGAGGGATGCAGGAAATGCTCAGGAGAGTTCCCGCTGCAAGGTAATACTTCTACAGGAAAACAGGATGGAAGGATAGGAGGTCCAGAGGTATGGAGGATGGAACATCCGAAGGTATGGAGGGCAGAATGTCTGAAGGACAGGATACTGGAGGTATGAGGGACAGGACATCCAGAGGTACAGAGGACAGGAGGTCCAGAGGTCTGGAAGGAATAGGGGCTATATCAGACAAAGTCCGATGCAGAAGCAAGCAGAGGTAGACTACTCTAAGGTAGAGTTGGAGGGACAGGAAGTGGACCTAAGTCCGGAAAGAGGGTAAGTGCCAGAAAGGCAAGACTCCAGCCTAGGGAAGCAATCCCTAGACTTGGGACAGAGACATAGGGGACAAATCCGAAGGTCCGGAATTCCGGCCTAGGGAATCCATCCCTAGGCCTTATGGAAAAGGACAAACTCAGATGGACTGAAGTCCAGAAGAAGATTGGGCAAGTCTAAGTTGATATTCAGACTGAGGACTCTACTGTAGTTGTACAGGGGTTATACAGTGGCTCAAAAAACTGTCCACATGTTTTTGCATTTTTTACTATTTACAATATTGTGTGAGAATACATAAAGACCTCAGTGACATGCTAATACCATATTGTAGTGCTGCTTCAGGGCTTTGGATTGAGCACCACATCATGAGAATCAGAGGAGATATGGTGGAGATACAAGGCTTACAAAATCATGACTCATGCAGACAGTTTTTTGAGCACATATTAAAACTATATAAATCATCATTTATGACACCATAACAATCATGCCACCATTAAATAAATTATAAAGTGGTGTCATTATGTCATTTTAAAACCATATCTAACTATACAAACCAAAATTTTCCATATGTCATGGTTATATTCACCATGAAAGCCACCCCCCCTGCTCAAAGGGATAATATCCTCTCTCTTTCCTATTCTGGCCTCTCTGCTTGTCAAATTTCCTCTAGAACTGGAGTATCCAAGTCCACTGTGGCCAAGTTCATCAAAGAAAGTCACACAGACAAGGAAAACTTCTGTGAAGGGTGTCCATCCAAGCTCACCTCTACTGATAGGAGGGCTATTATTCAACATATCACTACAGGAAAGGCTGATAATGCTGTCCAGGTCACCTATTACATCAATTCCACCATCACATTCCCTGTCTCTTCACACACTGTGAGAAACATTCTCAAGACAGCTCATCTCAGGTCAGTAACAAGGAAGAAAAGGCTCTTCTCTCTATCACACATATGCAGAGAGGACTAGCACCCTTCTTTTTTCACATATATACCTTGCCATCTGACCCAATCCTATTTATTGTGGTCTTATATGATCATATAACATGCTTCCAGTCCATGTAATCCAATTCTGATGGGCTAAGGCAAAGGTTAGTCATCTCTGCATATGTGTGATAGAGAGGAGAGCCTTTTCTTCCTTGTTACTGACCTGAGATGAGCTGTCTTGAGAATGTTTCTCACAGTGTGTGAAGAGACAGGGAATGTGATGGTGGAATTGATGTAATAGGTGACCTGGACAGCATTATCAGCCTTTCCTGTAGTGATATGTTGAATAATAGCCCTCCTATCAGTAGAGGTGAGCTTGGATGGACACCCTTCACAGAAGTTTTCCTTGTCTGTGTGACTTTCTTTGATGAACTTGGCCACAGTGGACTTGGATACTCCAGTTCTAGAGGAAATTTGACAAGCAGAGAGGCCAGAATAGGAAAGAGAGAGGATATTATCCCTTTGAGCAGGGGGGGTGGCTTTCATGGTGAATATAACCATGACATATGGAAAATTTTGGTTTGTATAGTTAGATATGGTTTTAAAATGACATAATGACACCACTTTATAATTTATTTAATGGTGGCATGATTGTTATGGTGTCATAAATGATGATTTATATAGTTTTAATATGTGCTCAAAAAACTGTCTGCATGAGTCATGATTTTGTAAGCCTTATGTCTCCACCATATCTCCATCGATTCCCATGGTGTAGGGCTCAAATGAAAGCCCTGAAGCCATACTACAATGTGGTATAAGCATGTTCTTGAGGTATTTTTTCGTTCTCACACAATATCATAGATAGTGAAAAATGTCAAAACATGTGGACAGTTTTTTGAGCCACTGTACATGATAAAAAGGATCATTACCATGAACTTATGTGGGTGTCCCATATATGGAGGGATTTGATGAATAGAATATGGTGTAGGGATTTCATTTACTATGGGCTTGTATAGGCAGATATTACTTAGTGTTATGTTCACACTTTTGGTGCTTATGTGATCATCATAGTTTTCACCACCTACCAGTACCAGTCTGAGACTGAGAGTTATTAGCATGATTTCCTATCCTCTCTGAGCACTGAGCTTAGTCCAGAAACCCTTTAGGGTTGAATAGCAGCTAGGCATAGCACATTTGACCCAACTTTAGAAGGCTACTTTCCAGTTCTCTTCTTGTTGTGTTTCCCACAACAGTTTGGCTTTGGACATGAGACAAACAGATCTCCTGCACCAGGGGATCTAGCTCTTTATTTTCTGGCATGTCCCCAACCTGGCATCAATTTATCCTTTTCTTGGAAGGATTCTTATGATGAGTAGGTTTCCTTATTAAAAATTGCTAAACAAGCTAATTTTGGTGGATGTAGTTGGTTGGTTATGCAAAGATATGTCATTGATGGAAATTTTATAGCACAACATATGAAGATGAAGACTCCAGAAGATGATGTTTCACTGGCAGATAGAAAGGGATACATGGTAACAGAAGAACCTTATGAAGCTCACATAACCAAATCCATCAAAAAGAATGAGGCAAGTTGTCATATTTCATGACATGTTTCCTTGGAAAATAACATCTAAGGTAATCTCAGAAATCACCCTGTAGCAATCACCATGCTGTGAATGCAACTAATATTCAGAGAAGCAATCTAAGAGCTACTGGTGTTGGGGCAACAGCATGTGCTAGGCATAGATGTTTTGTTCCTCATTCTGTAGTAGACTTTCAGAAAGGAGAATGGTATGTAGTTACATTGTTGTATTACTACCTTTGCTGACTATCTAGTCAGGCAAATGAACATGGACTATTGTATTTGCAATGCATTGAAATATCCATCAGAAAATATTGGCAATGCACTCATAATCTATGATGTTGCATGCCAGTGGAATGTTAACTTCCATGAACAGGTGGATCAGAGCTACCACCTGTCTCTTCCTCAATCAATCAAAATATTGCCAGCAATTGGCAAGTTTCATTTGAGTGCTCATAAGCTACCATGCTTTGCCAGATACAGCCTCAATTTTATTACAGGAGCTGGTCATATTGATGGGGAAATCTTGGAGACCCTCTGGGCCCCATTTAACAAGATTTCCCCCACTGTAAGATCCATGACTCTCTCTCACAGAAAGGAAGTCTTGGATGACCATATGAGGGATTCTAATTGGAAGAAGCTTGTTGGAATTGGCAAGTGCCTTTACTTCCAAAATGTTAACTTTGACTAATGTGTCATTTAAATAGTTAAATCATTACTGAAAAAGCATCATCAAGCTGTACAGGGTGTTAACTACACTCAGGGTCCATATGAAGAATTAACAAATTCTCTCAATTCAAATGATGTCCAGAAACAGAAGAAGCAAGCTGAACTAGCAGCTCTTGATCGTGGTGAGCTTCTTGACATCTATCAGCTTAAGATGGATAAAGGTAAGTTCAGTAAAATTGGACTTTGATTCAGTCCTCATTTCAAATCATTAAAAGCTCCAACCATGGCTGAAATAAGGCTGAGGTTGACTGAAAATGAACTGTCTACCAATGGTAGGACTGGGGCCATTTCATGGTTTATTGAGGTATAAGGATTACCAATTGTTTGATGCCAGAAATAGCCATTTCAACTCTTATCTTAACCACCATCAGCACACCATCAATGTTGGTCAGCATGGACATTAACTCCCTTTTCTCTCATCATTATCAACCCTCAGATCTCATTCTTTGTCACTGTCACCCCATTCTCAGTTCACCATCTCCAAATCTGTCAAATCTGCTATGCAATTCTTGTCATTATGTCTATA